AAATCTCGAAAATAAAAGATGGGAAAAAAATTCTACCTACGCCACTGAATTCTTCGTAAAAAGTTGCCCATATAATGTTTTATTTATAATACTCCATCTTTGATAATAAGTGAGATATTCGCGATTGTCGTTTTCGCAAAATTTTCAGTTTTTGCCGATAGGGCGAAAACAAAAGACGATAGCTGTTCGGAGTTTTCGGTATTAGCATTTTCTCGAAAAACGAGATCATGACATGTAAGCTACTTTTTTTCTATCTCTTTTAGTTTCGGAGATAGCCTATGCGGACATCGAAATTGGGACACCCTGTACAGGCAAAACCACACAGTAAAATTTTTTTATTTTCTTTTTTGAATTACTTTACTTTTATCCACAGATTCAGATTTTACAATAAAATATATACGGTGCCATTTAAAAAATTGGTCGTGACCATCATATAACCTTGAAAATAAGGTCAAGGTCGAAAAATGTTATCATCATATGGTTCCCCCTTCGCAAAGAACAACTATCATTTGGTTCATTTTTATCTAAAATGAACCACCCTGTATAAATAAACTCACTAGCATCATAAGCTCCGATATTTGCGGAACAACTAAAACTGGAACTAACAGTAGACCTAAAACTAGAAACATTTGGGTTAAGCCGTGCGTCTTTTAAGACGGCGAAACCCGAATGATTCTAGTTCTAGGTTTAGTGTTAGTTCTACTTTTTATTCAATAAAAAGTATACTAAAGTATGGTACTTATATACTACAATCTAGCGCTAAATAACAATTAAAACTAGAACTAACACTAGACCTAGAACTAGAAAGCACGGCTAAACCCGAATGTTTCTAGGTCTAGTGTTAGTTCTAGTTTTAGTTCAATAACCGAATAATAACTAAAACTTGAGCAAACACCAGCACTACAACTAACACTAGACCTAGAACAAGAAATATTCGGATTTAGCGTGCGTCTCTTAACATGGCTAAACATACAAAAAGCCTTCAGAGGCACGGCTAAACAGTCAATATCGAATATTTGTATTCATTTAATATTGTCATTTGAAACAGCTAGCCAACAACAGATGACGCTAGTGCGAAATTAGAAATTTAAACTGCACGAAATAATAGTCCGCGTGTATTGAAAGGTTAAGTTATTATTTTGAATCTGCTTATTTTTGACAATTAATGAATTATTTTGGTGACAACTAAAAAGAAAGGTTCAAAATGTAAAAATTAAAAATTATGTCTTTACCTACAAAGAGTAGTCGTTATGGGATAATTTCCGGTGCGAATCTGGGTGTAATTCCGGATATACGGGGAGGAGTAGGTTTAAGATTTTTTAATTCAATGGCTAGAAATGGAGATAAACTGCATCATGTCTGTCCCAAAAAAATAATTAAATCTTTTATACTGAAAATTAGCTACTTTTTAGTTTTTTCTTGTAGATGGAAGCGACGATGGGCGATACTGAAACGAAAGGGATGGTTCGATCTAAAGCTATTCGTGTGGCAACTTTATTAAGAAATCGAGGAATTGAAGAAGGAAATATTATTGTAATTTCTAGTAAAAATCATTTAGATCAAACAGTTGCGTTGTTGGCTTGTTGGTTTCTCGGTGCGATAGTAGCACCACTTCACTCCGATTATGATTACGAAGATTTAAAACACGCCGTTAGAATGTTACAGCCAAAAGTTGCTTTTTGTGGAAACAAATCTTCTATATTGCTACACAGGATAATGCTGGACATAAATGTTAAATGTACGATTATAACTTTTAATGAGGAAAGTAAACAATTTCCTACGTTTAAGAAATGTTGTGAATTATATAAGGAAGATCCTAATTTCGAAGTGGCTTATATAAGCGAACCCTCAAAACAACCAGCAATTATTATTACCACTTTGGGCACGGAAACCAATTGTAAATTAGTCGCCGTCTCCCATTATAATTTAATATTACGGTATAGCCGTTTAATTCCAAGATTTAACAAATCGGAAAAACTACTTTCATTCTTTCCGTTGAGTTGTACCATGCATATTTTGGCTTCATGTCTTTGTTTCGATACAACAGTACGATTGATTTACTTTAAACATTTCACCGAGAAAAGTATTTGTAAACATATTCAACATTTAAAAGTCGAACATATGTTTATCGATGGAGAATTGGTTGTTAAAGTGGTTGCGAACGCTCCTCTTCTGGTAAATGTATTATAAAATTCATTAACCCTTTACCACACTTTAATATTAATGAGAAGTTATTATTCATAAAACACGTTTTTATTGATTAAAATTATCTAAAATTAAGTAAAAAGGGACAATTTCCACAAATCTCAAAAATGGCTAATTAATTAAATTTAATGTTAACATTAACCTTTCAAAATTTATATTATTTCTTTAAAATATTTTGTGCGTTAAAGGGAGATAAATGTAAGATTTAGTTTTTCAACTGTGCAGGATTATGATTTGACTAGTTTGAAAACGATCTTCGTAGCTGGTATGCCATTATCGACGACGAATTACGCAAAGGTTTGCAGGACGTTTCGTGGGGTTGATGTGAACACGACTTATCAGACAATCGAAACAGGAATGATGACCGAAATAGGTCAAGAAGTGTTCAGTTTTAACAAACAAAAAGTTCTTTCAGTTGGAAAATTATATCCCGGCCTTAAAATTAAAATCCTTGATATTAGAACGAAACAAGTTTTAGGGGCTGAACAATCAGGAGAGATTTATGTTAAAGGTGCTGCCATCATGTTGGGGTACTTAAAAATTTTAATTCTTGGTCTGTTTTAAATTTTTAAAATTATTATAGATATTATAGAGATCCTTTAGCTACCAGTAAAGCTTTTGTAAAAGGTTTTTACAAAACTGGAGATGTTGGTTCATATGATACAGATGGATATGTTTATATTAAAGGAAGATTAAGCGATCATGTATATCGAAGTGGCTTCTTATTTGGTCTTCAAGATATCGAGGAAGTCCTTAAATTAAACCAATCCGTTTCTGAAGTTGTATGTATAGAAACCTTTGGTGCTATTATTGCATGTGTGATTAAAAAACTTGGACACGAAATTAAGGCAATTACTTTATTAGAGTAATAATTAATGATTTGTTTTGTTATAATGTTAATTCTTAAATATTGTTATAATTAAAGTTTTGTCTACGATGTATTACCACCTTATAAAATACCATCGAGAGTAATATTTCAAGATTATTTCCCCAAAACGGTCCTAGGAGTTAATCGAAAGAATATCATTAAAGAGAACATTACAAAAATTCTTCTAGAAGAGTCTCTTATGAAGGATGATTCACTTAGAGATGATAAAAGATCAATGGAATCTTGAGTATTATTTTTTATGTAAAAAAAATTGTAAATGTTAATTATGTCAAATAAAAACAATAAAATTGTTAGTTTTTAAATAAAAATTTAAAAAATCCCGCCACTATAAAACAAGTCTGTCACCTCAGACTTCTTTAATGTCAATACTGTCACTTAAACATTTCCTCCTAAAATGTAAAATCTTCAGTTATAAATATCCTTTCTTAATTTAATGTGAAAATGGCAGCCGAACCGGCTAATAAATTAGAAAGTCTTCCAACAATAACATCCGCAAGTGGGCCACCTTTAACAATACCAGAAATAACAACAGGTCTTGGTACAAGATTTTATGAATCCCTGGAAAAGTATAAAGATCAAATTCATTGTGTGGACTCATCAACTGGAGCGACAGAAACTAAAAATTCAGTAAAAATGCGGGCTATAAAAGTTGCCAAAGAATTAATAAAAAATGGTGTTGGTCAAAATGACGTGGTTATAGTCGCAAGTAAAGTTCACATGGATTTAATAGTATGCGTTTTAGGGTGTCTTTTTGTTGGCGCAATAGTGGCACCCGTACATTCAGATCATCCTCACGAAGAATTAAAACAATTAGTTATAATTCTGCAACCAAAATTTGCATTTTGCGGAAGTCGCTGTTCGAGATTATTAATGCCAATTTTAAAAGAGGAACGAATTAATTGTCCCATTTATACCTTTGAATCCGACAGCAGAGATTTTATCAGTTTCGATAAATGTTTAGAAAACCCAGATGATCCAAGCTTTAAAGCTGCCACAATTCTCAATCCAAAATCGACAGTAGCTTTCATTTCTTACACCCAAGGAACCGAAAGCGATCAAAAAATGGTTGCAATCAGTCATTACGCCATCGCAATGAGATATATGTCTATGTTAGATTGGGCTTTTAAAAAAAGTGAGAAAGTCGTTTCAACATTCCCAATGAATAACATCACAATGATTCTTGTTATGTGTATTTGTTTTGATTCGCCGGCGAAGCATGTTATATTAGGTTCAATAACTGAACGGGCAATTTTAAAAGTTTTACACGATCTAAGGGTAGAAGTTTTATATATTGATTCCGATTTAGCGATTCGAATTTGCAAAAACACGGCCGTCGGTGATTTCGATTTATCCAACTTAAAAATGATCTTCCTTACAAACGCAATATTGACTAAAAACTACGTTCGAGTTGTACGAAGTTTTCGAACCTTAACGGTAGCAATCGATTATGGTACCGTTGAATCCGGAATGGTCGCATACGCAACCCAACAAACATATTTACAACACCACGATAAACTCAATTCAATCGGCCAATTAATGCCGGGAGTTAGTGTTAAAATTTTACCACCCCAAAATGGGGTTGCACCACCCGGATGGGGCGAACTCCACGTCAGATCGCCTTGTTTAATGTTAAGTTATTACAACAATCACGTTCCAACAAAACCGATAAGCAAAGGATATTTTATAACCGGAGATTTAGCAAAAATCGATTCTGATGGGTTTTTATATATTCGGGGAAGGTGTAGCGATGAAATTATAAGAGAAGATAATGTTTTTTCAACGGCCGAAGTTGATAATGCCATCTTAATACATCCCGATATTGAAGAAGTTGCTGCTTTTGAAAATGAAGATGGCGATTTAATCGCGTGCGTAGTGAGAAAGGAGGGAAGAGATGTTTCTCAAGCATCTATTTTAAAGTATGTAAATTTTTAATTATATTATTCTTAAGTTAGTAAAACTAAACTCTATAAACGTTTTCGGCACACTCTTAAAACGTTCCGGTAACATTTGGATGGATAACTTTGTTACTAAATTTGTTAACCGTTTTGAATTATTCATTACGGTTTCTAAGTTAAAGTATATACTTTTGCTTTAATGTGGTTGTATGGAAAGTAACACATAGCGGATGTGTCCCCTTCTTGAAATCAGCCATAAATATCGTCAATAGATAGATAAATTTTCTTTATTGTGTTGTTATTATGTTTTAAAACTACAGCAAAAAGTACGGACTTCATACGAAAATCTAGGCTAAAAAAGAAAAGCATCATAAAAATACAATACAATTATGAGCTGACTATCTACAGCAAGTAAAAAATAAAAGTTGCTAGATGTTACAACAAAAAGCGCACGATTACTAACTATGGTAATGTCATCGGCAAGCTCTCCAAGTTTTCAAAATTGTTTATCAGATATTCATTAATGTTATAGAACCTTTTAAATCCAAGGTTTTAAACTGCTTAGCATCAAGGGCCCCGATACGCACACGCAGCACATTGAACAGCTTGGCAGTCAGAATATTCAATTCAGAGAATTTGGTTCTGCAGCATTTGACAAAGCGCAAACCAGTGATACAAGCATCTCCTTTGCATTCGAATAGTCAGGGCAGAGTGAGCAGAGTAACCTCAACATAGAATGGCGTAGGATACCTGTGGGTAGAAATACCCGTAATAACTGACTATCAAAGTGTCAAGGGTACTATATTTATCAGATTTCTTATTGCAAAAATGATAATGAAGAACTATGCTTAAGATGAACCTGCAAGGCAGAATAAGAACGCTGCAAAGTACAATCCACTTTTCCTAGTAACCTTATGTGAGATCAAATTCATGAAGATAAGTTCAACAAGTTCAATTCTTTTTAATTACGAAAATTCTGGATTTTCTAATTCTGGAAAATCGCTTCCAGGTCCGAATTATTCGTACGTTTTGAACCATTTCCTTAAATATTTCCATTCGTGGAAATCGAAGATGTTGACACAAAGTCTTGGAAATGAAAGAAACCTCGGATTCTGTATCAATGAGGCTTTGAATGGTGACTTAATCGCGATAAGAATGTATTCATTGTATCAGTGCATTGTAATCCTTGAAGTATTGTAATCCTTACTCATAGTGTTCTTTGCCTTCATGTGATATTGTCAAACAACAATTTAACATTCTTATCTTGCGGGCAGCAATAACTACTACTCGTATAATCTGCTCACAACGTTAATATCATTAAAGATAGACAAGAATGACCAATTGTCTTACAAAATTTCCATTCCGGGAAAATCACCTGACCACTGTCTAAAAACTGCAAGAAGGATATTTATTACGCAAGTGTGTTAACGAACAAAAGTCATTGTCCATCATCGTAAAGCCTGACAAATTAGTCAAAACCAAGTCAAGCAATCCGTCGTTGAAATTGAAGCAATAATCACACTGAATGAAACTCTACAAAAATTTCATCGAAGTATTTTTTGTTGTCTATTGAACAATGCAAAACAATTCAGTAATTTTTACATGACCCCAACAATCAGCATTCAATTATATCAATTTTCTTCGTATCGCGGTCAACACCCAGAGTATCAAAATATAGTTTTTAGAGTATCACAGAGTATCACAACCAGAAGACACTTTTAGTTAGCACAGTTCTTGCAGTGTACGATTATGGGCTATCTGGTTGTGTCGCTTATTTCAACAATATACCATCGGATGTGATGCTCTGTAGGAGAAATAACTAAATAAATCCATTTGATGTGCAAAATCGTTGCTTTTTACATTGAATATAAAATGGAAAGCAAATGTAAAAGAAATTGAAAGAAATTATGTCTTATTAAGCTGTGTGTGCTTCTTCCTTTTTATAAGCTTCATATACTTCTGATATCTTCTTCTTAAGGTGTCAGTCCCTCACGTTCTTTACACATGAGCACTGTCTCCTGTACTGCCTCTTTTAATGTGATCCAGGTAGCTTGTCTTTCGTCTCTTGATAATTGTAAGAATTTCTCTATCTACATTCATTCTTCTTAGTACCGTTTTATTGGTAATGTGTTCCATCTACGATACTTTAAACATTCTGCACATTACCTATATTTCAAAGGCTTCTAGTCGTCACATCGAGTGACTCTCAACGTCCAGGATTCAGTCCCATACAAAAGAATGGAATAAACATATGCTTTCACAAATCTATATCTTCATTCTGGTTGCTGGCAGGTTCTGATAGCAAAACAATGACAGTTCCTCACAACATTCAGAACATCTAACAGAGCTAGCTATTAGTTTCGTCTGATAATTGAGGAAAACACCCGGAACTAAGGTCAATTAGCCTTAGTCTATATTCTGCAGTGATGACCAGCAGCACTTATAACATCTCCAGCAAACCTTCAAACATTTGCAACTACATAACTATAGGAATTGTTTGCAGAGCTTTGTTTTCGCTGATACCGATAAGCTGACTGATTTCAAACCAATAAGCTGACAAACTGATGACAGTAAAAGACGACATAACGGCGGTACTCTACCAGGAATCTGGGTTAATAATTGTATTATTTTTTAGTACCAGATTAACAAAAATAGATGGAAAATACCACGCTAAAGATTGCCTCTCGCTTATTAAAGTCCCAGATCTTGCAAAATATCTGATTTTGCATTTTCAAAGTCAATCTGTTCCCATAGGGGGACGGTATATTTGAGTTGGATGCTTATACGTTAGCTGCAGATACTGAAAGTGCAGCAAAATTCGTTGCCCGTCTAGAAAAAATTATTAGAGAGGATGGCTACACACCTGACCAGATTTTTAATGTTGATAGAACAAGTTTGTTTTGGAAGAAAATGCCTGCAAGAACATTTACACCTAAAGAAGATGCTGCTCTCATACAGACCACGAATGTTTTCAAAGAAGAATTAGACGGAAACAAGGTGACAGAGCGAGGTCGACTTTTCTCACTTACATAGTGAAAGGTGCTATAACACAATTTTCAATGTTTTTCACGAGCTGGATATTGTTATAACTTCAACTGTGTATTTTCAAAAGAAGTTATTAATAATATTACAATTTAGCTTTAAAAAGTTTTCAAAATCGGTAATTGCAAAACTATTCCAATCAATCACTTGCACATGCAAGATGTGCAGCATGCTCGTTGAAGTGGTGTATTCATTGAAACTAAAGCTATAAAGTAGTTATCTCGAGACACCAGTTGAAGTTACGTAAACTGAATATGAAAACGTGCCACATTAAGGATGAACGAAATATATACGAGAAATTATTTAATTCTAATTGAATTAATTTAATCGTTAACATCAACTACGAGCTTTGTGAAGTCTTTACATGCCCATACCCTGATGTTTACTAAGTCTTGAAAGTCATAATAATAGTCAAGTGCCCTGAAAGACATAAATTAATATTGTAAAGCTCGTTTGATATAGTAATGGCAGCTATCGAATTGGGATCATCTGCTTTATTCGATCAAGAACAACTGATTTTGCACACTTTTTATTTTTCTTTTTTCACAATTTAGCCATAAGTGGATTTAAAATAAAATTTAAGCAGTGAATCGAAAACGCTCTAAATTTTTTTGATACACAAATATTCATTAACTATAATATATATTAATTTTTTCTTATATATTTTTTTATTTTTTGTAGGGTGGTAGCAGAAATTCTTCCAAAGTACAAAATTCCTACTAAAATTATTTTTAAAACTGGTTTACCAAAAACATTATTGGGAACGATCAAAAAATATAAATTGAAGGAATCTATGGTTGAACTTATCAGGGAGGAATCATTTTATCATGCAGATGTTGATGATTAAAATTAATAAATAAAAATTTAATGTAAAATATTATAGTTATTTTTATGTTAAAACTGTGATTGAAGCAACTCGGTTATAATCGTGTTAACGATGCGTTATCAAATTATTCTGCAATTAATTATTTAATTGCGAACTAATTTTAATTGCGAAATAGAAATTGCGATTCATTTCTGGTTCAAAAACTTTTTGCAAATTTAATTTCGGAATTTATATCAAACAAATGAGAATTAAGACTGCTTTTTTTATCTCAAATTTATTACACCTATATTTTCTTCCAGCGCAATAATTTAAGGCATAAAAAAAGACCTTGATTTATTTATGTAACTTATTTTTACCAAATCAGAAAGATAATATAATGATCTATAAATAATGCTAAAATTATCTTTTAAAATGTCAGTCTACTTGCTAACCAACTACGTCGAACATCATGAACAACTCGAAAAAATCTAACGACAATTTAATTTTAAGAAAAAATAATGAAGTTTACGGATTTCCGTTCAAAAAAGAAATTGGACAAAAGAGTTACGGTTATTTCGTGTATGAAAAAATGATTCAAAATAAAGATAAAATTTTTCAAATCGATGGGTTAACGGGAGAAAGTGAAACTTACGGAAATTTGTTAACACGGTGTAAAAGAGTGGCACTGGAAATGATAAATCGAGGGGTAACAGAAAAAGACGTCGTACTTCTTTGTAGTCAAAACACTTTAGATGCGATCGTCCCAGTTTTTTCAACTCAATTTATAAATACAACTTTGTGCAGTGTCGATCCATCTCAATCCGTTAAAGAAGTTGCTTATCTTTTAAATTTAGCTAAACCCAAAATGGGATTTATCGAAAAAGAATCCGTAAATTTAATAAAGGATGCTTTAGAAATAAATGGTTTGAATATGGAAATTATTGTTATGATTCATGATGATGATAAGAATTCTCTTGGATATTTTTTAAAACCTAAAATTGGAGAAGACGATTTTAAACCGAAAGTTATAAAAGATTCTAAAATAGCAGGTTTTATGTTTTTTAGCAGTGGAACTACAGGATTGCCAAAAGGAATTCCTTATTCCGGATGTGCAGTTTTAAATAATAATTTGAGTATTATGTAGAAAATAATTATTTAATTTTTAATTAATTTTTGAAAGAACTTTTTTTTTGTAGTCATTTCGGTATTGAAGCTAAAGTTGCAAGCCATTTATCCACATTTTATTGGGTATCAGCATTAGTATTAACAACAATGGTACTACTTAATGACGGCATGAAGGTTGTTATTCCAACTAGAGATACAAGAGTTTTTGCAAAAGCTATGAGTGATTATAAAGTAATTCTAAAATATTTTCATAAAAACAATCATTGATTTTAATTTTGCATTCCAGGTTACTTTCGCCTTTACATCTTATACATTTGCAGTTGGATTAAATGAAACCATCACAAATGATTTAAATTTTAATCATCTTGAGTACTTAGTTCTTGGTGGTTCAATAGTTCCCGAAAATCACCTCATAAAATGCAGAAAACTTCTCCCTAAAACACTAGTTTTAGTGTCTTATGGTCAAACTGAAGCTGGACACATTTCCAGTTTTACAAAAGAAACTTATCATTTTGCTTTGCAAAAACTTTCAAGTGTTGGTCAACCAATTCCTGGAACAATCATAAAGGTGCTAAAAATTCTTATAATTTTTCCTTCATCATTTTATTAATCTATTTTAGATCGCCGATCCAAATACTGAAGAACCTCTTGGAATCAATCAAAAGGGTGAAATTTGTATAAAAACCAATTGGCATTTCAGCGGTTATCACAATGCGGATAGTTCTAACGTTTTTGATAAATCCGGTTATCTCAAAACGGGAGATTTGGGATATTTCGATGAAGATAACTGTTTGTATGTTAGTGATCGATTAAAAGAAACGTTTAAATTTCAAGGTTGGCACGTTAGTCCGGCTGCAATTGAAGAAGTTCTTCTTAAACATTCGGCTATTAAAGAAGGAGTTGTCATCGGTATTCCACATCCGTTAGATGAAACTCATGCTTTAGCCGTAGTAGTTCTTAAAGAAGGTTGTGAAGACGTTAGAGAGGAAGAAATTGTTCAGTTTGTTAATGAAAGAGTTTCGGATAGGGAGAAATTAAGATCCGGAGTGAAATTTTTAAACGAGTTACCAAAAGCTCCGTCTGGAAAAATTATGAAGAGAATAATTAGAGAGAAGTTTGTAGTGGTACAATAAAGTAGTAAATTTGAAAATTGATGTTTTATTTAGTAACTTTTATGTACAAGTAGAGAGACCTTTGGGGTAAAGTCTCTCATCTCCGCTCATTTGCAATAAAAAAGAAACAAAGTTACACAATGTTATGTAGAGTTTGCCAAGCCTCCAACAAACTAAGCAATTTGTTCCAGCAATAAGAAAAGGAAACCCTAAAGTTTAAGAAAAAGTGGTATGAAGAAGATTTTGTGTGTTGAATGATAACTTCTGGAATAGATATTGAAGAGATGATCTTATAATATAAGGCTGCGCATTAAATTGCATCGTTCATACACAACCAACCCATTAACCCTTTGACTCCGCTTTTAGCAAAGATGTGTCTTACACTAAGACATAAAATATTCTTGTTGTATTCTTGTTCTCACTGATCGTTTCAGAGAAAATAAAGGTAATCCTCATAGTTTATAGTCAGTTACCAACAAAACATTGTACAGATCTATTTATCATGCAATAATTAGTAGAAATACAGTTTTGTCTATAATTAGAGATATTCTATTCAATCTTAATACTAGGCCTAAGAGAAAGAAAAATGATAAATATGTGAGATAGGTACTCAGAATTGTAGATTACAAATGTTAACCAGTAAGCTATAGAGGACGGTCTTTTCCTCGATTATACTATATCTAGCAAACCCGGAAAAGATGGGATAAAAATTTGGATAGAAATATCTAGAAAAATCAATGTTAAAGACTTGTCAAGACTTTAGCACGGTATTGGCATGACAAGTGGACGTAACATTATGATTAACAACTTCTTCACAAACATATCTTTAGTAAAAAAAGCAGAAAAAGCTGAGTTTGGATGATGCCATGAGAAAAACTGGTAAAAATATCCCACATCAATTACTAGGTGTGTAAAAATGAGTGTTGTGTTATTCAGATTTTTTGTTTAATAAAGAAATGACTTTAATATGTTTTATTACAAAACCCAGAACATCGTTGTAAAAAGACAAAAAGTACACCAACAAGTGTGAAGTTTGTAAACGGTTTGTGTGCCCTAATCGTAGCAAAAGAAACTATGCCGACAAAAAGACAAACTGTAATAAATGTAAACGATGAAAATGATAAACTATAAAAAGCAAAATATAAACGATTTTTGTCATGATTTTACAAATGATTAATGATTTATTTCAAATTCTACATACAAGGCTTTGAAAAAATTTGAGGAAGCAAGTGGGACCAGTCAAAAATGTGGAGTTGAAACCAAAGATGTTTATGTTTAATCTCCAGACACTGGTGCAATATTGCCAAGATGAAAGAAAGTACGTCTTTATGTGGAGTAGGAATAGGAATAGGTAGAAAAAAAATTATCGTGGCTAAGAAGAAATATCCGTCAGTGGATCATTCCAATCATTACAGATTGCTATACATAATAGATCCATCTGATAGGAAAAACGATGATCGCCTACGCGTGAATCAGCGTGGCATGTTAAGAAGAAGAAGAATGATTTATGTACAATGATTTTTTTGTAATGTTCAGCTTCTAATACTAAGTTTGTAATTTTTGTTCATATGATAAATATACTATCCAGCTTACGTTTAATGATATTTAACTGTATGCAAATGTTCAACAATAGTCATGAACAAAGTGTTTCTTTTTTTGGTGACATTGATCACAAACTGGGTCCTCAGTGACCCAGTTTTAGGGTGTTATGAAAGTTAATTATTTTGGGACGGTGAAGGTTAATAGCACAGGGTTAAAGACCAATTTCGAACATATTTTTAATATTAAAAAACACTTTTTGGTGAAAAAAATAGCTTGGAAAAATGATTGTATTAATTGATTGGTGTTGAGACAATAACTAATAACGATAGTTAAGTGACTTGTAATAAATAAGTGTGACTTGCACTTTCATTTTTATAAATACGCGCAATTAATTTGCAAACGTTCGACGAGTTGACATCAAAATTTTCCTTTAAACAAAAGTTGTTAAAAAACTTTTCTTGTAGTACTTTAGTTCGATATCAACATGTGAGTAATCTTTCATGGTAAAAAAAATAATTATGACGAAATCTGTATAAATACGTGATTAATGTGATTATAGATCGTTATATAATACATTTGTTTTTATGTATAATTAAATTTTATAGTCACTGAGCGAGTATTTAAAGTAAGTCAACGATATGAAAAGATACGTGTAGATAAGAATTGAAAATCCTTGAATCTTTTCTCAGGGTAAAGGTGAACAGCTCTTGAATATTATTTTCGACATGACATAAACACGGTTTTTTTCTCAGTCGCAGAGTAATACGTAGTTGACAAGTACATCACACAAAATGAATAATCCTCTAAAACCAAACAGTGAGTTAATTTTAAGAAGAAATAATAAAGTTTACGGTATTCCGATGAAAGAAGAAATTGGACAAAATGGGTACGGTTACTACGTGTATGAAAAAATGATTAAAAATAAAGATAAAATCTTCCAAATCCATGGGTTAACCGGAGAAAGTGAAACTTACGGGAATTTATTAAAACGCTGTAAAAGAGTGGCATTGGAAATGATGAATCGAGGAGTAACAGAAAAGGATGTCGTTCTTCTTTGTAGTCAAAACACTTTGGATGCGATTGTTCCAGTTTTTTCAACTCAATTTATAAACACAATTTTGTGCAGTGTCGATCCATCTCAATCCGTTAAAGAAGTTGCTTATCTTTTAAATTTAGCTAAACCCAAAATGGGATTTATCGAAAAAGAATCTGTAAATTTAATTAAGGATGCTTTAGAAATAAATGGTTTAAAAATGGAAATTATTGTTATGACCCATGATGATGATAAGAATTGTCTGGGATACTTTTTAAATCCTAAAATTGAGGAAGACGATTTTAAACCGAAGATTATGAAAGATTATAAGAAACCGGGTTTTCTGTTTTTTAGCAGTGGGACTACAGGAATGCCAAAAGGAATTCTTTATTCTGGTTATTCTAGTCTAAATAATAATTTGAGTGTCAGGTAAAGTATAATTAATCAATTTTATATAAAATTTTTGAAATAATTCAGTACCATCAGGTATTATGCAGCAGTAAAGCAATAAAGTTTTTGTAGTCAACTTGGTTTTGAAGCTAAAATTGGAACTCATTTATCTACGTTTTATTGGGGATCAGCATTACTAGTAACGACAAAAGTACTAATCAGTGATGGAATGAAAGTTGTTATTCCAACCAGGGACACAAGAATTTTTGCGAAAGCTATGAGCGATTATAAAGTAATCCTAAAATATTTTACAAAACAAAAAATACTTTATTTTTACATTCCAGGTTACTTTAGCGTTTACATCTTATACTTTTGCTATTGGATTAAACGAAACCATTACAAAAGATTTAAATTTTAACAATCTTGAGTATTTACTTATTGGTGGTTCAATAGTTCCCGAAAACCATCTCATAAAATGTAGAAAACTTCTCCCAAAAACACTAGTTTTGTTGTCTTATGGCCAAACGGAAGCCGGATACATAACCAGTTTTACAAGAGAAACTTATCCCGTTGCTTTGCAAAAAATTTCGTGTGTTGGTCCACCAATTCCCGGAACTATTATAAAAGTACTACAAATAGTGATGTTTTCCTTCATTACTTTATTATTTTAGATCACCGATCCAGACACTGAAGAACTTCTTGGAATCAATCAAAAAGGTGAAATTTGTGTAAAAACCAACTGGCATTTAAACGGTTATCACAATGCGGATACTACAACCATTTTCGATAAAGCCGGTTATCTTAAAACGGGAGATTTGGGATATTTCGATGAAGATAACTGTTTGTACGTTAGTGATCGATTAAAAGAAACGTTTAAATTTCAAGGTTGGCACGTTAGCCCGGCTGCTATTGAAGAAGTTCTTCTTAAACATTCGGCTATTAAGGAAGGTGTGGTAATCGGAGTTCCACATCCATTAGATGAAACACACGCGTTAGCCGTTGTAGTTCTTAGGGAAGGTTACGAAGGCATTAACGAAGAAGAAATTATTCAGTTTGTAAATGAACGGGTTTCGGATAGACAGAAATTAAGAGCCGGAGTTAGAGTTTTGAAGGAGTTGCCGAAAACTCCGTCTGGAAAAATAATGAAAAGAAAAATTAGAGACAACTTTATAAACAAGTAAATTTGAAAATCGATGACTTATTTGTCATTTAATATTACGAGATTATTGTTTTAAAACGAGGAATATACGAAATAAGCAACCAAGTATACACAACTGTAAATTGTGTAAGTTACTTGAAAAAAAATATAAATCATTTCATTTATATTTCGAGTAACGTAATGAAATAAACTAACTTTTTCAATAGTTTATCAAAATCTTTATGATTATTTTATTATGTTCTACTAATAATAAATGTTTTAAATATGGTAACGTTGTATTGATAAATTATTAAGAATCCCTACCTGATACCTCTTAGGTTAAATATCATTCTCCAATAAATTCGGGTTATTGACTGTTCCATGTTTCACCACGCTAATATCCTTCTTTAGTCGGGTGACTAATCATTCCATCACACCTAAAACAATGAAATGAGACCACCAGACTCACTACATAACGTATATGTTGTCTGTTGCTTCATCTGCGTGTTGACCTATTCATTCAAAAGTAGTTTTTTATTTTTCAAATTTTCCATGCCGCATAGTCTCCTGACTCGTTGGAAAAGAGTGAGAATTATAGACAGCTTCTGTTATGTTTGGGGTGGTGTGATGAAGCTTGTAAGTCAATATTCATAGGTATGCGATTTCTTCCAGTAAAATCCTTGTTTAGTTGTTTATTGTTGGTTCCTGGTTACTAATACATCGATGATTCGCTATTTCAATGATTTAAAAAATTCCCAATTCAAAGACGACCACACGGTTGCTCCCCCATATTGCTTTAAAACTCTCCTTTCCAGCATAAGTATGTCTATGACAGCCAACTTGTACAAGTTTTGGCAGTTTCTGCCTTTTCATGCGTATGTGTATGCTATCCACCCTCAATGTGAAATTGAGATATTTACTTTTATGTACTGCCCACCTTACCTATTTCTTTTTGCGTTCTTGATTTCATCGTTCTCACTGGACGTTCTGAGGATTATCTTCACTTTCACTGCGATCCTCAACTTCCAGTATGAAGCATCGTTTATGACGATCAGGACTTCTTCGTCTAATTTTTCGGTTTCTGCGCTTTCTTCAACGCAGGAAGCCGCCGATTAATAATTAGCAACATGATTTCTGAAACGACTCGCAGTGAAGATATTACCGATATTTAGCACGATTAAGGAAGTTATAGTACTTCGTTTTTGAAACACATTAGGTACAATATAGCCATTAATGCATGTTTATAATGAAATTATGTCAACCCCAACAAGATGTAGATGGTTCTTTATACACGAATGTGTAACTTATCGATGGTGTACCCCATAGACTGTCTACAAGATGCCTTAATTACCAAAAATACTCCTGAACTTATAACTAGCGAGGTTAAGTACTTGGGCCAAAAATTAAAAAAACTATATATTAGATGAGTTATTAGACGAACAACCCTCTCCACAACCATGGAAAGTATGTTAACCCTAACACATCTCAATTAACATATCCAGGAGCTTTTGAAAACTTAGTAAATATCCAGCCTTACTTTTTTCTTAACTTTTGAAGAAAGCAGAATTTACTCACAACTTTACTGAGGTTATTATTTAATACATTTTGCCGTTTTAACTTATTTTTATTTCAGTTTGGAATACATTCTGGGAATGGAAGTGTAATCAGATTAATACCTACGTTAGGTGCTCATAATCTTCAAAAGTGTGGAAAACAGTTAGAAACATGAAAACATTAAAGAAAAAGATTAGTGGGAGTAACACTGTGAGGATCTACTCAGGGAAAAAAAGAACAAAATTCATGAATCTAGATGAGGTTATGTTTAATCTTTATGCACGCGCTACAATAAAATAGTATAACTACACTTATGCACTTTGAACTTCGCTGTGACGACCAAAGAATTATAGTACAGGACACATATAACACGAAGTTTATGTTAAAAATACTGCACACAGAGTATACAAAATGGGGATTGGAAATCGGCGTAAATTTATGAAATTTTCATATTTTCATATTTTCGTATTTTTCTCGATATTGACGCATCTAAGTTCAAAAGTGCAATAGAACAATATTGTTTAGATTGTAATTTGCTATACCTTTTATTCTAAAGACTTTTTTATACCATGCACCAATTCCCGAGTGTTACCTCTAATAACTTGAAAAAGCAACAAATTTATCAAATTTTCATATATTTGTATTTTTCTCGATGTTGACGTATCTAAGAGCAAAAATGCAAAAGAACAATATTGTTTAGAATAAAATTTGCTACAACTTTTGTTCTAAAGACTTTTTTATAACATGCTGCGATTCCCGAATGTTATCTTGAATAACTCGAAAAAGCAACAAATTCATAAAATTTTCATATTTCCGTATTTTTCTCGGTATTGACGCATATAAGAGCAAAACTACAAGAGAACAATATTGTTTAGATTGCAATTTGCTACAACTTTTGTTCAAAAACTTTTTTATAACATGCTCCGATTCCCGAACGTTACCTTTAATAACTCGAGAAAGGAACAAATTCATCAAATTTTCATATTTTCGTATTTTTCTCGATATTGACGAATCTAACAGCAAAAGTGCAAGAGAACAATATTGTTTAGATTAAAATTTGCTACAACTTTTGTTCTAAAAAAATTTTTATAGCATGTTCTAATTCCCGAATGTTATCTTTAATAATTTGAAAAAGCAACAAATTTATCAAATTTTCATATTTTCGTATTTTTCTCGATATTGACGAATCTAACAGCAAAAGTGCAAGAGAACAATATTGTTTAGATTAAAATCTGCAACAACTTTTGTTCTAAAAACTTTTTTATAATATGCTGCGATTCCCGAATGTTACCTTTAATAACTCGAAAAAGCAACAAATTCATCAAATTTTTACATTTTAGTTTTTTGTCGATATTGACGCATCTAATTGTAAGAGCAAAGGTGCAAGAGAACAATATTGTTCAGATTAAAATTTGCTACAACTTTTCTATTTTTTTAACATTTTCTTTAACATTTGATCGACGCAAATAAAATTCGTCAAGTACAACATTTTAAAAACTTGGACACCATTATCGACAAGAATGGTATTGGCTAGGCAGAAATCAAAAAAACCAGAACAGTGCAGCTCCAATTCCAATCGAAATAAAAAGAAACTTATTGGAAAGAGTATATTGACATATAGCTGTGAGATTTGGATGATAAAAGAGAAGGATAAACGGACAGCTGGCGTGGATGTAATGTTTACGTAAAAGTGCATGAGTATTCAAATTGGAGAGAATTCGAAATAAGGACATTAGAAACACAATGTCAGCAACGGAAATTGTCATACGCACGTTTAAAAAGAAAGGTCATCTGCTATGCACGGAAGAAGTGAGATTACCCAAACAGATATACTAATGGAAGAAAATAAAGAAGGCGTCCTCGAAGATCATGATGTGAAGACATGCAACAGGTGATGATGTAGTGGCGATTGAGAATAAAAATGCAGCACCGGGCAGTTTGATTGATGTATCCTATATAATAGTTTATTGTATTGTACTTGATTGATCACAATAAAAATAATATTTAATTTTATTAAATCTGGAACCAAACACTGTGTGTTAAATTATTCTTGGATATAATTAAAAAACGTTTTTTTTTATAATTTTAACACAAAACACGATGAGATGAAAACACAATATGTTTGAATCTATTTTAAGATCAAACAAGTCTTATCGCAAAAATTATGATCCTCTTTGTTTACACACAAAAAAAAATTGTTAATGAATCTGATTTAAAATCAAATTGCTGAGTTCTTGCTAACTTTCCGTTTCTTGCTTTTCTAGATAAAGCAAAATTATCAAAAGAAACCGAAAATAATATAAACTAAATCATTATCTAATTAGCTGTTAATATTTAGAATATACACAACATTTATAGTTTCTAATAAAAATTTTGTTTAACGACTAATTTTGAATGATTAACAAATCTAACATTAAAATTTTCCATTACAGTATACACTCAAATTTTGTGAAAAATAATAAAACATTTACACAACCTTTTCATGAACTTGAGTTATCATAAATGATAATAAACTGTTTATAACGCCATTCACTTTCATTTATATGTTGTAATTCAACAATCATGAGTAAGTTGTAAATACTGTAATAATTTTATTGTTAATTATCTATTATTACTTTAGTAGCTACACAAAATTTTACTAAAAGGGAACGAAATTATATTTCCGGTCCAAAATTTGAACATGATGAGTTTATCGAAGATGGATTAGGATGTTACCTCTTCAACAAATTTACACAACATTCAAATAAAATATTTCAGGTAAAATTCTATTTTCCCCATTTTACTTTAATTTTAATTTTTTAATTTAGGTTAATGCTATAACAGGTGAAACAGAAACTTACGGAGTTCTTTTAAAACGCTCGATAAGATGTGCTTTAGAAATGAAAAAACGCGGTGTTATAGAAAACGATGTGATTGTTATGTGCAGTGGAAACTCGATGGATTGTTTCGTTCCCATATTAGCTACTCAATTATTAAACGCATCTGTTGCAACATTAGATCCAAGTCAATCAAAACGAGATGTTGTGTATTTATTAAATATGGTCAATCCAAAAATGATATTTGTGGAAAATACATCTTTTAAGTTGATTGAGGAAGCAAAAACTGAATTTAATTTTTTAACTGAAATTGTTATCATGGGGAAAGATACATATTCAAATTCTTTTGAAGATTTTTTAAGCCCTAATACATATGAAAAATATTTTAGACCAACATGTGTAGAAAATCGAGATAACACAGCATTTATTTTATTTAGTAGTGGAACAACTGGAATGCCAAAAGGAATTTGTTTATCTGGAGAAAGATTATTAGGAGCTGTTTTAGCTTTAATGTATTGTTTCATTTATTTTTTTATATTAATTTTTACTTTCTCGCATATTTATATTTTAAAAATTTGTTTTAAAATTAATTGATATATTTTAATGCTGTTATTATTATTGCTGGGAGTTTTGTTCAATCTATATTTACAATATAATTATGATAGTGAAAACATGTTACTTTTTAACAACGTCGAAGGAATTTATTGTTGTCATGTTATTCGTTTCTGCATAAAATATTGAATTGATAATCTCTTCCATTGTAACATTGGGTCAATTGACAATAATTAACTTAATTTTAGTTCTTATTTGAAATCTCTGACATAACACAATGTTTTTCTGGTAGCAAAACAGATTTATAATCGAAACTAAAGAATAACATTTTATCCTAATGGCTTTTATATTTGAGATATTCTCTTTTAAAATCATCATTGCTGGCGTTTCTTGGAAAAATAAAACTTTCAAGGTTGGAAGGAAAAGCTGGTGGATATGCAAATAAGTTATACTAATTTTTCAATTTATAAATCATTTTTCTATACAACTAACTCACACGCTTTTCATTATTGATGATAATTAATCAACACCATTCGAAAAAGCCAATAGAAATGTCAGTTTAATTGAGTAAAGTTCTATTTCTTCGTCTTCTAAATCGATAAGATAATTTTTTGGAAAATTTGGAAACCTTTTTCTAGTAGAAAAATAAATTTTTAATCGATAAAGAAGAGTAACATTTTATCCCATTGGCTTTCATTCTCGAGATATTCCCTTTTAAATCTATCAATATTGGGGTTTTATGTAAAAACTAAGATTTTCGAGCTAAATATCTCACGAACGAAGGTAGATGCGCAGATAAGTTATTCTTCGTTTTCGATTCAAAAATTGTTTTTCTGTAAGCTTAACTTATATATATTTTATGAAAAATGATAAATACTAAACTCGGCCCCAATAAGCGAATAGAAATGTCAGTTTAATTGAGTAAAGTACTATTTCTTCGTCTTCTAACTCGACAGGATAATTTTTTGGAAAATTTGGAAACTTTTTTCTAGCAGAAAAATAAATGTTTAATCGATAAAGAAGAGTAACATTTTATCCCATTGGCGTCCATTCTCGAGATATTCCCTTTTAAATCTGTCAATATTGTGGTTTTATGTAAAAACTAAGAATTTCGAGCTAAATATCTCACGAACGAAGGTAGATACGCAGATAAGTTATTCTTCTTTTTCGATTCAAAAATTATTTTTCTTTAAGCCTAACATATATATAGTTTATTAAAGATGATAAATACTAAACTCCACCCCAATAAGCGAATAGAAATGTCAGTTTTATGAGGTAAACTTTTATTTAATCTTGCGTTAGTATATGTTTTTGGAAAAGTTGAAAACATTTTTCTGGTAGAAAAATAAATTTCAAATCGATATTAAAGAGTAACATTTTACTCTCTCGGCTTTCATTCCTGAGATATAAAGTTAATTGTAATGTATGCGAGAAAGTTGAATTTATATTTTAGTACGTTTACCCTTATATTATTTTACATTTACATTTTTAGCCAAATTGGTTTTTATGGTAACACATCAATTCACTTAACATCATTTTATTGGATATCAGCATTATGGGTAACCCTTCTCACCATTATCAAAGGAGGTAAAAAAGTTATTTTGCCAAATTCTAACATGGATGCAATATTAAAAGCAGTTGAAGATTATAAAATAACATTTGCACTGTTCGGAACAAACATCGTTTATGAAATGAACGAAGAAATTTGTAACAAATACGATCTGTCTTCGTTTGAATTAATAGTCACAGGTGGTTCTCCAATTTCATACGATCATCTTGAAAAATGTCGGAAATTCTTACCGGGTACCGAAATAACTCCGGGATATGGATTAACTGAATCTGGTGGATTAACTGCTATTTTTCCTAAAGATCATTCTTATTTGTATGGATTATATCCGGGAAGTTGTGGAACACCAACACCAGGAGTCACCATAAAAGTAATCCAAAATATACTTCAATTTACGATTGATAAATAAAGTTTTTTTAGATTGTAAATCCAGATACTGAAGAAATTTTAGGTCCTAACCAAAGTGGTGAAATCAGAGTTTTTAGCAATTTCCTTTTTACCAAATATCACAAAATCGATTCCAAAAACGCGTTCGATTATGAAGGATTTGTAAAAACCGGCGATATAGGTTATTTTGATGAAAATAACATTTTATACGTTTCCGATCGGCTAAAAGACATGTTTAAATATAAATCTTGGCACATCGTACCAGCTTCAGTGGAAAGAATCATTTATCAACATCCCGCTGTTAAAGAAGCTGTGGTTGTTGGAAAACCTCACCCATTAGACGGCGATCTCCCAATGGCTTTGATAGTTTTAAAAGAGAAATATTTACATGTTAACGAAGAAGAATTAGCTAAGTTTATTAATGAAAGGGTTTTAGAAAGGGAACAATTAAGAGGTGGATTGAGGATTGTTAAAGGTTTTCCGAAAACGCCATCAGGAAAAATTCCAAGAAATTTAATTAGAAAACAAATTTTGGAACGAAATTTATAAAATTAATTGATTGAAATTTTTGGAAATTGTTAACAAATTCAAATTTTACATAATTATATTTTATATCAAACAGAACTTTGTTGTTTGGGTAATATATTAACCAAAAATCGTTTCCTTAAGATTAATAAAATTGTAAACTTTTTTTATTAATTTATTCAGTATGAAAAAGTCGTGTTACGCAGCTATTTTATAGCTATATAATCAAATTAAATTACAAATTAAATCATAAATTATACGTTTGAGTAAAGATCAGCCTGCACGTGTTTCTTTTTTTTTTTCGCGTTAAAATGAAAAAGTTATTTCGAAATTTTCGGTTCAATAACATGGTTAATGTGTTCGTAATTTTTTTCTGCGCAAATAAAATCGTACAATTAGATAAGACTTAATGATCAAATATGTTGATACAGAACTTGTTTAAAGAATTTTATGAAAGTATTAATCATCACAAATAAATTAACATAATCAAGAAAAATGAAATGAAAAGATTTAAATTATTTTCGAAATTTTGAAAATTTGTTCCCTTTTGGGTACAAACTCAGAACTGATACGCACCCCATATAATAGTTAAATCATTAATTCCCAGGTAATTATCTGGAATATTTCCTAAAGATCTTTCAGCTCTCATCTCTTAATTAGATTTTTTAATCTTATTATGACACATTTAGATAACATTCGTCTATACCACTTTCAACAGTGTGCGCACAAATGAAGTCAACATGCGTAAAGTGTCATGAAAAATAATTCTATTTATAATTATCATTAAGTAATTAAATGTACATATTTTTATCATGTTTATCTCATAGCTGTGAGATACTTGATGGAAACGTAGCTCTGTATAAAGTTATTTTTGATATTTGTATAGATTGAGCAAAGCAGTAAAAAGTGATCTCGTGATTCTAATGGCTCTAAATTACAAAGATTAGTTGGCTATAATAGACGTATTTTATTAAAATTCAACTTGATGATATTTTCTGATACTCTTAGTTAGCTAATTGGTCTAATCATGTTGAGCAGAACGATCAATGCGAAATAAAGTTAAAGTAAAACAAATCTTGAAGCAATGTATCATGGAATATCATAGTAAAGATATTCTTGTAAACGATTGAAGTGGTTTGGAATAGTTATGACAAGCTAGAATTCATATATTTTGTGATGTGAGTTGGGTTGGTTTTTAACATAAAGTTGTTATGTTAAACTGACTACAAAATGCTAGCAACCTGAGAGACAAGAGAGACAAGAGGTAATGGGAACAAGAAAGTCTGCCAACAACAGAAAACCGAACATAAAACCATGGTTTACTACTTACTATTTTACTGCTACTTAGAAAAGAAAAGCATAGAATATAGAAAATGACAATCAAAATGACAAAGAAGACATAGACGAAGAAACAAATAAGCAAGTGGAAGAAAACACAACTAAACGGTCTTTCACGAAGAAGAAAAAGAACCACAGCCGGAATGCTGAAAAACTGGAAAACTCGAGATGATCAAATATGTAGGAGATATACTGTTTGATGAACTGCAAATTTTCTTCAACAAATACCTGAGGGCCTGCATAATTTTGATTATTGCCTGATTTTTTCATTATAATTTCATTCCAACTTTCGATTAACAACCCTACAGCTAATATTAGAAGTAGTTAATTAATTTTTTTTGAGAAATTATTGAAAGTACAAATAAGCTAGAAACATTCTTTATTATGAGCTAAACTTATTCCCCAAATTTCATTTTTCTGGTGTTTATAGTTCTCGAGAAAAAAAAAAACATTTTTGCTTAAAATTTGCTAAAAAATCACCCTCTGAAGTTTGGGAACGACATTCAGATACACCCTGTATAATGATTGAATTCTTTTTTTATTGCTATAAATCATACCATAAGTAACATTATATCTTATCATAACACAACTCAAACTTCATTAACTTATTAGCTACTTGTTATGCGTCGTATTCTCATATAACTTTTCGTATTACCCTTACTCTACATAGTACCCCATCATATCACACTGAATATCATATTATATCATACCAATTTTACTCATGCCAGTTATTATTATTACGTCTAATCTAATATCATAAGATGTAATATAAGTATGATGTCTCACATCACACCTAATTTTCTTTTCACATCATTATAAAACAGATATCACAGAGTCTTCTATCATATCTCACTTCAACATAATAAATGATTAACACAACTCATATACCATACTTTATTATTTCACATTCACATCTTGTTCATATCATATCTTAAAACAAATCTTATATCATAATACATCTCAATTGTATATCAATATTATGTGTTATTAAAATACAGCCAAAATCATGGAATATGAATTTTTAATATAACTCATGCTATGCCTCATACTCTCATATATCACTCCATGTCGTCCTTGCTTTAAATTTTATCCCATCATACCACTTGAGATATTACGAATAATATCACAGAGATCCACGTCATATCTCATCTCAATACAATAAATGATAAACACAGCTCATATATTACACATTGTGATATTGTTACTGATATTAAATCTTACAACATCTCATTATACATATGGAATATGAAATATTGATTGAATAATTTTGTTTTGATTATTTTTCGCATTTTGTCTGTATGTATCATAACTCCATTATCATCGTTGGGCATTTTACTCAATTTCATGACTCAATTCCTGCTCATTCCAAATATGTTCCAATTAAAGACAATCCAGCTTACCATGTATCAAAGAGATTGTTATCGTCCCAATTATGTAGTTGCAGTTATTGGTGGTAAGGTCCAATGGCAGCATTGGTCAATCGGTGGTTTCTCGTAGAAACATACGATTTAAGAAACATAGTGCTAAAATTAGTGAAATACGTTCAGGATCTAGTTGCAATGTTTTTTGAAGCAATGAAACAAAATTTTCATTTTCTATTGAAAAGTCTTCAAAATTCTTAATCTTCCATTGTTTCGTGTTATCAATTAAAGCCTATCTTGCATCATTTATGTTGTATCATTCGCAATTACTATATCAAGGAAGAGTCAAGTCACGTAAAGCTGAGGCTTCAAGACTATGGATTTGACCTTGATAGAGCCAAACACTTATTAAGCAAATTGGCTAAAGTTTCTGCCGAATGATTACCGATTAAAGGGTGGAGTGAAGAAGGGAAATGGAGGCATTCAAAAGTTATTTTAATCGTTTGGTCAAACTTATCTTCTTAAAAAGTCAACCTGACAATACTGAAACCTGGTTATTTTTTAGTTTAGAGAAGCTAAATTCCACAATCCCAACTAACGATGTTACAACAATTCCTAAAAACCGTTTAACTCGCTGTTTTTACAAAGGATTGGAGATTTGGGGAACTCTTCAAGGTAAGATCAACAGGATCTCCCTAATGCTGACATTAAAGATACAAATGACAATGTGTTTGATATTCAAAGTTTTGAAGCATTTAATATTTTTGTATTGTGTATGTGTCTACTTACGACTTAATATTGTGTATGCTACACTGAGTAACAAAATATAAAGCTATATAAAGTTGTTGCTAAAAATAATATCAAACTTAAAAATTGTTAAATATCATTAACTTTTTATACATAATTGTTAACAATTAATGATTGATTTCTTACCGGCAAAATTTAGTTGTACGAGATGTTTCTAATACCTTATATGATTGTCAAAATACATATGTACATACTATGTGTATGTAATAAAGCTAAAAATGGTCAAAACAAATTCAAAGACCTTCAAACCTTGTAGATCTTTGCATTGTTTGTATACGCGAGAAAGTAAAGTAGGTTCATCATTATCTTTCACATTCTCTATAATCAATATTATGTAAACAAAATATTATTCAAGTTCAAATTTAATTATAATAATAAAATAAAAAAATTAAAATCTATGTCATTCTATTTTATTGGATGCAGAATAAAGCAGATTGAGAAATGTCATGTTCCGGGACTTTGTACTTATCCGGTATGCTATAAGTATAACAGTAATTTTTCTATTATAAGATAATAGTGTTTGTCATTTCAACGAATTGCTCAATAACCCATAAAAATATATTAAATGCACGTTTAGTTCATCTTACTTTAAGTGGTAAATAATGAACGAATGCGCAACAATTGCTATATAAGGCATATGGGTATAGTGCACAAAGTCTGATAATTAATCGAGCTGCTAACGAAGAAGGTCGAAAAAAATGTGCTTAAATTCAACTTCGTGCACAATAAATAAAAAATAGTTAATTTTAATTTCTTATCAGTAGGTATAAATTAAATCTTAAGCGGTCACTTTACAGCATTGTTTAAAGAACATTCAAAATGGGTAAGTCAAAACAGGTTAATTTCAATTTCTTTGTTTCTATTTTTTATTTTCTTAGAGAATTTCGGTTCAAAAACTAAAAACAATTACGTTTATGGCCCCGAATTTAATAAACATATCGGAAAAGATGGATTTGGTTGTTTCATATTTGATAAATTTACTGAGAATGGCGACAGAATCTTCCAAATTGATGGTTTAACTGGAAAATCTGAGACTTACGAAAACGTTTTAAAACGATCAATTCGCGTCGCTTTAGAAATGAAAACTCAAGGTGTCACTGAAGACGATGTAATCGTACTCTGTTCCGGAAACACTTTAGATTGTTGCATCCCAATTTTTGCGGCTCATCTCCTCAACGCATCCGTAGCGGCTTTAGATCCAAGCCAATCCGTACGAGATGTGGTGTATTTGATGAATTTAATCGAACCAAAAATGATTTTCGTACAAGATTCCGCATTAGATTTAATAACCACCGCAGAAAAAGAATTTTTATTTACCCCGAAAATTATTGTTATGGGAGAACACATCGGCGAGGATTCTTTTGATAACTTCACAAAACCAAATCCCAATGAAAATAATTTTAGACCAAAACCGATTGAAGATCGCAATAAAGCTGCTTTAATTATGTTTAGTAGCGGAACAACGGGAATGCCAAAAGGAATCTCTATGTCTGCCGAAAGTATATTAACATCCGTGTTAGCTGCGGAGTAAGTTTTATCTTTATTTGTATTTTTTATGTAAAGGGAGTAAAGTATAAAAACATTAAACGAGATAAGATGGTCGCGTTTTTTTATGATTAATTAAATTTACGTAATTCTAAAATTATCGTCAGCGATTATTTCTTAATTCATTTTATCATGATGTTTTTTTTTGCAGAGAATATTGTTTAAGCGATACAATTGGATTTCACGCAACATCTTTTTATTGGATATCGGCAATGCTTGTAACAATATCAATTATTTTAAATAAAGGTCATAAAATAATCCTATCAAGATATAGCATTGATTCATTCTTCAAAGCAGTCGAACAATACAAAGTAACTTTTGACCTAAAATTATTCAAAATTATTTATTAATTTCCGTTTCAGATTAATTTTGCGTTATTATCCCCAACTTTAGTTTACGAATTTAACCAAGAAAACGTTACAAAATACAATTTAAATTCGTTAAAGTTTATTGCAGCCGCTGGTGGTAGGTTGACAACTGGACACATGGAGAGATGTAGGCAATTACTTCCAAGAGCAGCAATTCTTTCAGCGTATGGTTTAACTGAAGCATGCGGATACGTTTTGGTTTTCCCTAAAACTGCTTACTCCGAAGCCAAAAAATATCCAGCAAGTACAGGATTACCCATTCCAGGATTTATAGTTAAAGTAGTCGATCCTGAAACCGAAGAGGTTCTTGGGCCAAACCAACAAGGAGAAATCCGAATATATAGTAGTTATCATTTTAAAGAATATTTCAAAAAAGATTCTTCGGATGCTTTCGATAATGAAGATTTCGTTAAAACGGGGGATGTGGGGTATTATGATAAAAACAATTATTTTTATATATGTGATAGGATTAAAGATATGTTTAAATATAAATCTTGGCATATTGTTCCCGCTTCAGTTGAAGGCGTAATTCTTCAACATCCCGCAGTAAAGGAAGCTGTGGTTGTTGGAATTCCAGATCCAATCGACGGAGATTTACCAATGGCAGTTGTTACTTTAAAGAAAGGATTTGAAAATACCGATGAAGATGAGTTAATACATTTTGTAAATGAAAGGGTTTTGGATAGAGAGAAATTAAGAGGTGGATTAAGAATTGTTGAAGAATTCCCGAAGACCCCCACAGGAAAAATTCCAAGAAATATCGTTAGAAAAGCTGCAATTGAAGGTCATTTTTAATATTATATAATTTTCTTTATAATTTCATCTTACCAATAAAATAATTTTCTCTCAATTTTTCTTCGGATTTAATTTTATCACTTCTAATAATTTTCTTCTACATTCATATCTTTGTATTTTTCCCGTTGCAGAATGTGGTATAAAATCTTTATCAACAACCCAAACACCACCACGAATCTTTCTTGTTTCATCAACTCTTTCATTAACAAATTTTTCCAAATCTCCCCCCTCAACATTATCACCGTCTTTTAAAACAACAGCTCCAACGGGATGATCCCCATCTTCATCATGAGGAACTCCAGTAACAAAAACGTTTTCAACTGAAGGATGGCTACCCAAAATCCCTTCCAAATAATGCGGAGATATAGCCCATGATTTATAACGAATCATTTCCTTGATGCGATCGACGAAATAAAAAAAATAATCGTCGTCGTAATATAAAACATCGCCAGTCTTTAACCAACCGTTTTCATCGTAAATGTGTGAAGAATCGGTTTTAAAATAACCGTTCATTTCAAATTTGGTTTTGACTAAAAGATGGCCTGGTTTGTTCGGACCGAGTGTTTCCCCGGTATTTATATCAACGATTTTATACGTTATCCCTTTCATAGGTCTTCCAACACTAAATCCTTTTTTGTTATAATAATCAGGATATTTCCCCCAATCAAAATTTGTTAAAAATCCACCAACCTCGCTTTGACCATAAGCCGAAACTATGATTACATTTGGCAGCATTTTTTTTAATTGTTCAACAAATCCTTTAGACAACGGACTTCCAATGTAACGAAGCGTTTGAATAAATGATAAATCTAATTCTTTGGGGACACCCACTTTTAATAATTGGGTTATGCAAGAAACGGACAAAACTAAATTGCGGATGTTGTACTTTGAAATAGTGTTAAAAAAACTATTCGGGTCGAATTTTGGCAAAATTAATCGGGAGTATCCAAAATTTATTGAACGACATATGTTAATTGATGCTGCTAACCATAATAATGGAGAATATGATATTATGGTTGTGTTTGTTTCAGATGCGTATCTAAAAAAAATAAATTAAGGTTAAAAATACAACCAATAACAACATCATTGAGGTTACTGCTTCATAAGAAAAAAGAATGTTCTACAAACTTTAGATTACATAACAACAATATTTGAAAAAGTTGGCAACAATTTTCACTTCAGAAGGTTTTAGTAGATAAATAATATTGTCCGCATTCAAAATCTTTTAGCACAGTTTGGTCAAGGTTGCGCAACGTGACATTTATGTATATGTCCAACATTCAGCGTTCATTGAACGATGCGATAAGACGATGCGAAGAGAAATATCTATAAGTACAAATTTTCATACCCAGTAAGAACTTGTGCTACTAGCAGAAGACTAGATACCGCTATTGGCAGAGTAGGCACTGAACATAGGAGACCAGCTACTGCTTGCAAAAATGTAAATATTGGTAATGAAGATTAGACACTGCCAATAAAAGGCCAGATATTGCTGGCAGAGGACTAGATCCTGCTAGAAGAGAACTACGTGTTGCTAATGGAAGACTAAATGCGGCAAATAGAATATTAGACATTGCTTGAAAAATAGTAAATAATGTTAATAGAGAAACTCGACGTAAAAGACAAGATACTGTTTGCAGAAGACTATATATTGCTAATGCAAGGCTAAATAAGGCTAATAGAAGACTAATAGAGTAAAGTGGCGAAATATGCCGCGCTGAGCAATACGCCGCAATTGAGTAAGTTTCATCCAAATCGCCACAAATGTCGGTGTTAGCACCAAAACGTTAATGAAAGGTGGCAAGCACGTGTACATTATTCACAAATCAAATTAATCAAGTTTTTAGTAGGTAACGTCAGTATAAAGGTAAGTACCCTTAAAAATCTTCTTATGTGAGATTAAATGTAGCGATGAAAGCAGTTCTAAATCTTTTGGATCTAATTTGAATAGGGGTATGCCAAAGTAGGACTCATAACCTAACTAATAAAAAAATAAAAAAATCTAATAAAATAGTTTTATTTCAACAAGAATCGCATGTTACCATATTACCCAACTGCAAGGGGAATATAGCAATTTGAGTTTTCCTGTTAATTTAATTCCTATTGAATCTACAGTCAATTTAGCCTGGAGAGATGATCTAGTGCATTTGCCTAAAAGCCTAACGAATGGGTTGTAAGCATTGTTTTATCACAGCGTGTACAGGGTATGAAGTTATAGACGACCAAAAAACAAATACTGGTTATAGAAAACCAAATATTACTTTTAGAAGACTACCTACTACTTCCAGAAGTCTAAATACTGATTATAGAAGACTAATTACCCCTTGCAGAATACCAGATACTGCTGGCAGAAAATTACTTGCTCCTTACAGAAGACTAGAACCTGCTAGCATAACACTAAATACTGCTAATAGCAAAACAGACATTGTTGATAAAAGACTAGAAGTGTTCCTGGCACCGATTATCTTGTTTGTGAGCTTACCACATACTTTTCCTAACAAGCCATAACATTATATCACTCAGCCTCATTTCAACGAATATTGTTATAAATTTTCTACTGCGTTATTGAATTCCTGTCCCCTCTTTTTAATTGCCATTCTTCCATAAATATATGGTAAGTCATTTGTTGAATTTTGAAAGGTTGCTGTTTCTACAAAGTAATTTAATTTCATCAACCCTCATATACATTTGGTATTGACACTGAATACAATCGAACTAACACTTCCTGGAATAGAATACCGATCTCTCTGGGCGATCCATTAATTGTTTCTATAGTTGTTCTGTACTAATTAAAGTTAACGCCTTGAAAAGTATAAAGATAGGGTTTTGCCTATTTTGGACTAAGAATTCAGGGTTCCTACAATCATTTATACATTCTCAAATCTAATCTATCTCAACTAAATTGTTCTAAGACTTATATCGCAGATTATGAAGATCCTCCTACTCTTTTACCCTATCTAATTTGCTAAATACACCTTTAAGGTGTGTTTCTCTACATTAAAGGACCTTACTCTCTCTAATATTGTTGGGGTTGATCAATATTAGGTATATGATGGCATCACGACAGTTTAAAATTAAGGATCTTGAGACCATGTTGGAATAAACGTTGAAAAAATCTTATTGGACTGTATTGGATGAACATCATGCCTCCACAGACCATAAATTTGACTTTGTAAACCCCACCGTTCTTTGTACTGAAGCCCTTTGAATGATTCGAAAAGGAATTGCAAAAAAACTGTATGTCTCATCGACTTACCACGTTGTTAAAAATTAGTGCATGGTACTCGGCTACTTTAAGAATAAACAATTCTGCAGCGGGCGTACTGCTAATACACGACTAGATGCTGCTTGCAGAAAACTAGATAATCCTAATAAAAACTAGACACTACTAATTAAATCCCAGATACTGCAAGCAGAGGACTAGATACTGCTAGCTGAGGAATACGTGTTATTCCGTGTTAATACGTGTTATTTACGTGTTGTTTAATAGAAGACTAAATACGGCTAATAGAAGAATAGATGCCGCTTATAGAATACTAAATACTCTTAACAGAGCACTACATGCTGCTGATAGAAGAGTAAACAATGTTAACAGAAGACTAGGTATTACTTGTAGACTACTTACTGTTTCCAGAATAGTCAATACTGGTTATAGAAGAGTACTGACTCTTCACAGAAGACTAGATACTACTAACAGAAAACTGATTACTCCTTAGAGAAGACTAAATACTGCCAATAGCAGAGTAGGTATTGCTAAGAGAAGACTTATCTATGTGGAACCTCATAGATAAGTACTCTCTTTTCTCTCGAGAAGACTTCTCTATGGGGTTCCAAAAATATACAAAGACGATTTGTTACTCCCCACTATGTTCTTATTCCGTTAGATGTTATCTCCCTCATCCCCAACATACCCTCTAATCTGTCTATAGAATGGCAGAAAGTTGATTAGAACTTAATTCAATCTCACACTGAAAACTCTCAGGGTCGTTAACTATTACTGGAAATATGTAGGAAACAGGTTGGTATTAAGGCTGAATCAAATCGAATCATAACGTCCTCTTAAACTAATATGTAGAAAATCGATCTATTCCGGACGACTCATTAACTTATTTTCTTGTTGTCCTGTAGGTACCAACTAAAGTTTACGCCTTAAAAAAAATGAAAAATAGAGTTTTGCGTATTTTGGACTTAGAATTCAGGGTTTCAACATTAATTCGTCATTAAAGTGGTTTCCTTTGCGGAAACTTTCAACCCAGATCCAGATGTAATCCATCTCAACAAAATTGGTCTATGACGCATCTTCCAGGTTGCGAAAATGACGCAAGGGTTCATCTAGGTTTGTTAACCTTCCCTTTATACCGAATGTAATTGGTAGCTTGATTAAAAGTTTAAAAAGCTTAGCTGTTAAGTACATCTCTAAACCTATAAGAAGTGATTTAACCCAAGAATATTACAAGAATTCTTGGTAATGAATCAATTCCGATCTAAAGATTAAGAAAATGAAGTGACTCATAATAAATAATAGTCATTTTGAAAAGTCTCACTATAAGACAGTGTATTTGGGATTATCATATAACAAGCGTCGAAGTGTTGCAATTCTTTTGCTTACATTTCATATACAACAAATACAGCTTTGAGCATTTCCCATTGTTTTTTGCTCTTAAAGATGTAATAGCAATTAAAATGTCATCTAAACCTTCTTTATATTCATTAATTTATTAACAAATCTCTGAAAAGTTTGTAATTGCTTTTCATAAATCAAAAGGTATTCGTGTAACCCAAAATATTAAATATACGAAGATATTGTTGTATGTTAACCACAGTTGATAGTGTTGCCTAACCAACAAGTTGTAGTAACAATATGTTTTATCTGTATTAAAAAGTAATCTTATTTAAAAATAACCTCAATGATCGATATACAACAACAATACTTACGAAAATGAGTAGATGAAATTAAACAAACTTAAATGACTTATACATGCTGCTTTATGATTTCCTGTACTTCCCCCCGTTAAAGTTATATATGCAGAATCCGAAAGACTTCCAACTTTATAAACTTCAAAATTTCTATCATCCATAGCGGAATCCAAAAATTCCTCAAAGTTCATATTATTTTTACTTTTTCCAAAAACAATTATTTTAGATTTAATCCCCCATTCTTTAATTTTTGGTTCCAAAAATATCTCGGCTTCTTCCGAGCAAAATATAATTTTCGATTGAAATTTATCAAGCAAACTTTTCATTTCATCCTGCGGCATGTGAAGATCTAAAGGAGCGCTAAGCGTTCCCGTGAATAAAGATGATATAAAAGGTATACAAGAATCAAGGTGATTGTGTGTTAATGGAGTTATTAAATCTCCCGGAAGAATACCAAGATTTAACATCGCTTTCGAAGTTTTTATACATTTTGAAAGGAGATCTTCGTATGTTTGAATTTCATCAGTTAATCCATCAATTTGAGCTATTTTTGATGAATTATTTAACATTAAATTATAAAAATAATCTCCTAAACCATCAGGATGATATTTCGCATCATTATCGTGCGTTTTAATGATGTTATCTTCAACAGAAGAAATCGTTTCATCTAAAACTAATCAAAATTAATTTGTAGTTTTCATAAAGAATTATTTTCTTACTGTCTTTAATCATTATAACCACAAAGTCACTCAAACACAAATAAAAACCATCACAGAAATGATAACTGGAAGAATAAAACGCTATTTATATCGGGAAGAGAAAGTTATCAATAAACAATGTAAACGCTTTGATTTTGTATTATTTATTTAAAATTATCATTGTTATTGTGTACTTATTGAAATCGGGTTGACAATAAATATCACAATTTTATCAATATATTAAAGTATAAACAATCATTATACTAAATTCTATATTTCATTTCTTCCAAAACAAAATCTTTTAAAGCTTTTCTTTTAACTTTCCCAGAAGGTGTTAAAGGAATACTATCCATAAATCGAATTCCAGCACGAATTTTCTGTCTATTATCCACTCTACAATTTACGAATTCCACCAATTCTTCTTCACGAACATCTTGACAATCTGGCATTAAAACAACTACAGCCATTGGATGTTCACCATCTTCATCATGCGGAACACCAAACACGACAGCTGTTCGCACGGCGGGATGTTGTTGTAACACACCTTCTAATAAAGCTGGAGGAATATGCCAAGATTGATACTTCATCATCTCTTTGATGCGATCGACAATGTAAAAGCAAAGATCTTCGTCGTAATAACAAACATCGCCAGTTTTCAACCAACCATCTTCATCCCAAATACCATCAGATGGTATATTATAATAACCGTTAAGTTGCATTTTAGTTTTTACACGAAGTTCACCACGTCGATTTGGACCTAAAACCTCTTCAGTTTCTAAATCGATCACTTTGAACCACATTCCAAAACTTGGTCGACCTGAAGATGATGGTTTGCTATGCATTAAAATAATGTCTTTTCTTACAGCCGGCTTAAAAATGGTTATTAATCCAGCTACTTCAGTTTGACCATAAACTAAACCAACGTTTGTACCGGGAAATAAATCTTTGAATGCCATCATGTTTTCAGACGACATTGGGCCGCCACCAACCATCAAATCGTAAAGAGTTGCTGTATTTAATCCTTCTGGTTTTCCATGTTTCATCATTGCCATTGCTTGGCTTGGAGCTACAAACATTTGAGTCACTTTGTATTTTTCAATTAATTCCCAAGCGTCTTTCGGCGTGAAAAATTTACAAATAAGTCTTGTATGGCCTTTCATTACGGTTTGGACGAAAATCATCGCCGACGAAATCCAATAAAACGTTGCAAAAGAACAAACCACGTTACTTATTAATCCAGAAACGCTAAAACACTTTGAAATAATTAAACGAAAACAAATTCAAATAAAAAATAATTAACCTAATATTAACCGCTTGACCCATAATCGTATAATGATTAATACAAATTCCTTTTGCCAACCCAGTTGTACCACTACTAAAGAATATAATAGCGGTATCATGAATACTACTAGCAATGACAGGCCTAAAATCGTTTTCTGCTTCTTTTGGCTTTAAAAAAAACGAAATCGAATCGTAATCATTCGCATCATTAAAAACGATTATTTGCGTTTTTAGAGCTAACTCTGAGATAACATCTTCGTACATGTCCTTACATTCGGGAACGACAAAAACCAATTTTGGGCAAACTTGATTAATTAAATGCTTTGTGTCTTCAAAGGAAATCGTTGGATCCAAAGCCGCGACTTTTGCCCCTACCAAAAATGTCGCAACGTAAGGTACGGCGCTGTTTAATTGGTTGTAGGTGCATAAAGCTATTACATCTTCTCGGGTTACTCCGCGATTTTGCATTTCAATTGCCGTTCTTATCGATCTTTGTAATAATGATCCGTATGTATCTCTGTGTCCTGTTAATGCACAAATCTAAAAATAAAAACTGAGATATTCTACAAATTTATCCGATATCAAGATTAAATTAAAAGAAATTTAAAACAGATGTTGAAGAAAAGAAAAATGATGTTGAAGAGTTTCATCAGTCTGCAGGACAAAGGAAATAGACTCAAACTGGCTGAATCAACAAGGATGAATCAGCATCACTTAGGTGTGGCAAATGAATTGTTAAATAATTCTGACCAAGTCAGCAGTAAGTAAAAGGGTGATAAGTTATATTGCAATTAGATGCAACGATATCCTTAGAAAAGCTGAAGCAGATAAATAAGAATGTGAAAAAAATCTTGGGCATGAAATTAAAGCAAGCTAATAGGTTAAATGCATATAACTTTTCAAAGAGGTCCTGAATAGAGTGAAAGCTTAAAAAATTGTAAGCAAGAAACTAAAAGTCTGCTAAAATGGACTACCAGACAATAATAATGGAGGAAGGACATGCGATAATTAAAAGAATTAACAAAAGGAGAACGCCTAATCCTGAATTATAACTGAAGATTATTGCGAGAGAGATTGCCAGTCAATGCTGCAAATGGAAAGAAAAAGAATGTTACTTGAAGACCATTATGGCTTCAGATTATTCCATTCAACCTTAATTACTACCTCCAGAAAACAAAAACATAGTAAAAATGTTCACAGCATTTAATGTCTATATCTCAACTTCTTAGACAAGGATTACAAAAGCACTAAGGGAGTGGAGTACCAAAGAGTACTTTGTGAAAACAGTGAAGACATATCTAGCAAATAAGCAAACATTTGCCCTCTGCAAAAAAGAAACTGAAATTTCCTATGGACTTCCCCAATATTCGTATAGGATCTAATGCTATGGAGTATCTTCTGTGATAGTGCTCTGAGAGTGGATGGCCATGTTGCATGGCGTTGATTTGAGAATACCAAATTGGAGGAAAATGTAGCCTAAATCGTCATGATGCAAAATAAAACAAGAATAATAATCTTGGAAGCGGAAGGAAAGTTCTCAAGAACTTTCAGAGTTCATTATTGAGCAAAATGAAGAGACAAAAGTATTATGCAGACCATAAACAGGATGTTAGTAATCGAACTGACATCAGCATATCGGAAAGAAGGTCAACCAAGAGTTGAAAAATGTTTTGGGGCAAATTTTCCGAGAAATACTAGGATTAGATTAAAAGTGAGAAGCAGTTGAGTAAGAATTAAATGAGAAGAAACGATGATAGAAGGGGGTATAAAATTTATTGCACGACTGTTCTCCCCCGATCTGAAATCTGAGTACAAGTGAAGAAGGGTGTAGCAAAACCAAGAGGAAGGAGAGGTCTTAAAGTCCCACCAGTCCTGGAAAAGTAAAATGGAGAATAATTTTTATTCTATGAAGAAATTTCTTGCTAAATGGTAACTGGGAATTCTTCAGAAAAAGAACCTTTAATACGACATAATCCGGCAGACCAAGATCCATATCAATATCAGATGTCAAACCATCATAGGTCTTGACAAGCATTTCTCAGAAGCTTCACCGCCAGTTCACCAATCAGATCAATATAATGTGCACAGAATATTTCTGAGTTACTACGCAAAATCCCAGATTCGCTACAACGGAACATTTATGGAATCATTTAACCATGCTTAGGATATAGCTTTATATACAGTGTGCTCAGAAATGACCGTGAAGGAGAAGTGTTGTATCGCCTCATAGTGAATTCAGATACTAAAAGGCATCTGCATGATAGTTCTTAACAAATTATAAAGCATAACTTGATCATTTAGCTTCTGATTGGGATTCTTTTCTAATCATGGTATAAAATTATGCACTCGACAAATATTATTTTCAGTCTAGTATAGTATTAGATTCAGTGTACTTTTTGTAATCAACTTTTAAAATAAATAAATAAGAACCAGATAACCTCGCCGTCGCCAACTACAACTTCATCGAAGTTCATTACATACACACAGACAAAATCGCATCACAAATAATGCTACTTTCCTTACTCCATCATAGCAAATGCAATCCGATGACCAGCTTTAGTTTATGTTCTAAAACTGAAAATATTAAGTAATCAATTTAATTCCCAACTTGTTTTAAAGACCATGATTAGATGCTTATTTTAGTAATTTAGTTAATGCAGGCCACAAAGAGACATGGTAAAAGCGGCTCCCTCTGAACCTAAGTGTGATCTCGAACTTGACCTTAAGATCAATCTTCAAACATGATACCAAGAGATAAATATACAGTGAATTTCACTTAAAATGCAATATATAAAAATATATTTTCTTAGAAATTTCTTGTTCTAGGTCTAACATTAGTTCTAGTGACTGTCGTAGGTAGCACTAGTTAACATAAGATATCAGTATGTTGCATATTTTTATTGAACTAAAACTAGAACTAACACTAGACCTAGAACCAGAAACATTCGGGTTTAGCCGTGCGTCTCTTAATAAGGCAGAAAACTTAGGGTTATCACAAAGACGTCACGTTTTTCCAAGCAAAACTTTTCCTTTGCTAAACTACCCGTGTCTGTACTATTAAGCTATGTTGCATTTTATGTAGGACAGTGCAAGTGCATAGTAGTTTCGTAACTATGGTTACGCAATATATGAATGCAATATTGCGAGTTATATAAAATTCCCGGTATTATATAAACAAAAAAAAGTTTACTTGAGCTGTATAATATTTATTCTTCTTCATTTTTTGGAAAAGTTCTACACCTAAACCTCCTGGATTAGGCTCAAACTGGAGATCACATCCTCTAATGATGTTATCTTCACCCAACATATCTAAAAAGAACACGATTTGTTTCCAAGAGAAAAAGTGCAGAAAAAATCTTACCTTCCATATTATTTCAAATGCAGTTTTTTTACAAATAAACATGTGTTGGATAGAAATTGGATCTTTTATATATATCTCCGACAGACAATTGGGCGAATAAATGCCATAATAGGCAATCATTATCTGCACGCTCTTGCACGTTGAAGAGTAGCCGTATAAAGACGTTCATAAACAGGTATAATTTAATTTAAAATGTAAGTATTTTGTGCTTGATTTTATACTATCTATATTCGAACATCGACCGATAATTTTTGAACTTGCCAAGAATATTTCTCAGTATTCGATCGATGAAGAGACAATCATACCTATATATTTTGTTTGCATAATGTATAATTTAAAATTTCTGAGTTTTAAATCAATAACGATTAAATGAATAAATGAGGGTAGATAATAATTAAACGAATATTTTGGTTAAATGATTCATTTTAATAAAACTGATATAATATAAACAGTTTGCGTGATATCATTACAACTCTCGTGACACAAAAAAATCGATCCGCGCATGTTAATAATTTAAATGATAGTTAGAGCTTCAAATTCATATAAAATTAACTTGAAGAGTGCACGTGGAATAACTACACAGTGGTTCATGTGTCAAGGTTAATTAGCCCTGATTTGGAGCAATTTTAGCAAAGTAATGCGAACATGCAAAAGTTGTTGTCTGTTATAATAATACATAAATAAATGAAATAAAAAATTATTTATTATTATTACTGTTACAATAATTGTTTTTATAAGGACATTTACAAACAGGTGGATGTAAAGTGGAACGAATAAAATTACCACCGGCGATTGTAAACAAGAAATGAGGCATGCAAGACGGTAATTGAACGCGATCTTAACAAAAGGTTTGTAATCGTCACAAGTTGGTTGAATAAACGAAAGAGGCTGGAATTGATGAGTCACTGCCGCAATGACCTAGAATGCCCGGGAAGGACTGGCAGTAGGTATTATTTTTTCCAAAAGACGTCCGGTGACCCGGTTTCGTGTAATATTCGGTGTTATATACCGAACAGTCCAGATCGGCGACGACGAAGAACGGTAAAACGAATGAAAAAGTTCTAGAAGACAACGGATGTGCGAGTAGGACGCAAATTAGACGACAAGAAGTGCGTTAAACTGTAACTGAGGAGAAATCGAGTTAGAATATCCGGGGAAAACCAAAATTGAAAAAAAAAACAAAGAAGCGTAATTAATTTAATTTATGTTCTTGTAAGTGCGCAGAATGTAAAGAGAATGCATTGTTTCCGTGCAAATTTTTGGCCTTGAGATTTATTAACTATTTTGACTGTTTTAGCATTATGCGGCAAAATAATACAATGAGAGACCCTGGTAAATATAGGTTTGGAATATATTGACCCAATATTAGCATTGTTTTGTTTAAGTTTTGGAAATATTCGCAACTATACTTCTATTATACTTCACCAAAATATAAATTTCGGGCTAATTGATACTTGAAAACGGAAAAAATGTTACTTATTATTTTCAAGGTGGCGGAAAAAGTAACAAATTTTTCTGAGAGGAATTTTATTACAGAGCATCAAAAATCTAAGTCCATTAAATTTATTTTTAATTCTTGCAATAGTAATATGGAATAATTACATATTATGCGTTTAGTTCTGGTTAAAGACTAGTCAGAGGTATCCTTGAATTGCCTTCTTGAGGAAACTTACAAGGAATTTGCGGATCGCAATACCCATAAAAATAATTTAATAGTGTTGGCAACTGACATAGAAGTTGTTACAGCAATAAATATTGCTAAATGCATTATTCATTCCACATTTAATATTACCTTTAAAGTGACCAAGCGTCAACAAAACGAATAAATATCCGTGTTTTTACGAACAAGGTTGTGACAAAATTTTCATGCTTGTTAAATACCATAATCAGTTCAAACTACAATTGAAATAGAGTACTCCTGGTGATGCGTTTTACTTCAGAATACGTTTCCACCCAGTTATATAATTCATTGAGCTATTCACCAGACACATGTCCTGCTACATTCTTTATGTTCATCTTGTAATGATGATATGCTTATGCCAAAAACTTGGTTGTTTGAAGATGTGTCTGAGGAGATGCGATTATGTAATGTTTAAGAAAAATCGTAACTATCTCTCCGATTTGATTAATGCCGTGCCAATGATGAATGTGGTGGGTGTCCAAAATTTATAAACAAAGTTCAAACCGAAAGGTTGCTCGGATCATAAGTGGCCAGCGTGGTTTGCTAATAAGGTGAAGAGCTCTTATCGAAATAAATTATTGCTAATGCTTAAATCTCATATGCGAGCTCATTAGAAGAAGTCTTTAAGGAGTTTTTGCTATTACATGTTCATGAAAGCGACCGGATTGCTGGCCTTTTGAGAAGAGACAACTTGGAATTCAGCACAGATCAAAGCATCGTGTATGCTTTTGCAGAATATCATGGACGTATTTACATTCAATCAAAACCTGTAGACAAGAATGTTACCACATCCAATCATAACCCACATTTATCTATTGAATGTTTCAGTTTAGAGGATATGGTGAATATGAAGCACTAGGAAAGAGTAAAGTAAACACCAATGGAATAACAATAATACCCTGGTGTACACGGAAGTTAAAGAACTGGCTAAGAAGAAAAGGAACGCATATATAAAATATAGGAGAAATTATAGAAAGACACTGGAAAATTTTCACGAAGAACATGCAAACTGATTGGCACAGGGAGCAGAGGAATGTTTGAAAAAGGATTCAAAATCAGAAAAGAGATGTGAATGAATACTTTCAGATTAACAGCATATCGAGAGAAACACTTTGCATGACTAAAAATATATAACGATACCCCACAATAACTATATAACCAGGGAGGAGATATATGAAGCCTTAACCAAATTAAAAAACCGGAGAGAGAGAGAGATGCGGCATACAGAATATTGGCAAGTGGGTTAGGAAAAGGAAGCGCCAATGCAGTCGACATGTGGACAGAATAACGGAAGACTGAATAGCTGAAGTATGCAAACGCAGTCGACCTGTGGGGAAAAGGACAGCAGGAAAGCCACTGAAAAGAAATAACGTAATCCTAAACTAAGAAAAAGATGAAGAAGAAGAGAGTAGCCGAACACTTAACATCGGATATTTGACGTCCTCCGTTGACATTTTTGCATTGTTGGAGAGTTTTGCATAATCATTCACACAATATTGACTTCTCCTGAAAATTTGGAACACTTGCGTTTTTAAGTATCTCCATAAAAAGAAAGAAATTATGCCGTAAGACCGAAGGGGTCTATCGATATCCCTGTTCCATGAAACGACACGTCCTGAAAACAAAGCATTCACAACATTCAGTGAGGTTCTGCTGAATAAGTTTGTTTTCATTAACTAAAAAGCGATCGAGTTGCGATGTGAGGAAGCTCTGGATCATTACGTTCTCAAAAAAATATGAACCAATGATTCCATTTTTTGAAATCGCACACCATATTGTCACTTTTTTAGCATGAAGAGGTGTTTCATATCTGAAGATCTATTTGTTAACAAAATTGAAGAGGCGGAAATGTGCCTCTTCCATAAATTGTTGATTTGATTTTCTTCCAGTCTGGCAACCATAACCTCACGAAATCGAAACCCGAGGATTGCACAAGTTGTCTGATGGAGAATTTTTTACATTCACATATCAGGTCTTCCAGATCTTATGGTATTACGGATGACAAATGGGCGTGGAATTCAATTAATAAGATGACATCTTTTCTCCATTCAAAATAAGATGTGATCGCTTGCAACCAATTGGTTTCGTGGTATGTTGAAATATCATCGAAAGTCACGTTGATCTTTCAACTATGTAATCTCTTAGCCGAGTGAACGTCCAATGCTGTATTATAAATTAAATGCCAGGCTATACAGATTGTAACATGCCAGAGACTTACTTCCCTATTATTTCTCCACCAATCCCAACTCAAATCTTTCCGTATTTTTAGCGAACCATAACTAACAATCAATCAGAAATTAAAAATGGCAGAGAATTTGATTACATTACTGCGCAACTTTATGTTACATTACCAATTCTCAGAAGATACACAAAAAACCAGAAACAAAGATTAAAGCTTAAAGATATTAAGAAGTTAATTGGGCATATTCGGAAACATTTTGGGTTGTGAGATTAAGTAATCTCAATTTAATTGATTCTAAAAAACTTAGAAAAGATTCTAACGTTACTTCAAAATAGAAACATGCTCTTTTTAATGATAATTATTAGAAAAAAAGTCCAACATACCGTTATCATAACCAAAAACGACAAGTAAGCTCGAAATTACCTCATTATGTTCGCGTTATGGTACGGTAGTCGCCATCGGTTATATGGGTAACCAGATCGAAAGTACAGTTGCGCACTTAACATACTGACTCGTTTAGGTGTAATAAGTAAATCACTCCCGTCTTGAAAGCTTCGATTTAAGACGGGAATCAGCGTAGAACGTGGAAAAAATATAGACGCGATCATAGATTAGGTCAATTAAAATCTCAACCAACACGATTCTTACAACAGCAAAAGAAGAGGTCCTGGTACCGGTGTTCAAGACATCAAACCACGATGGATTGGTCGATATAGGTACAGTTAGACCAGTTGACGTTGGTGTATGAGCCCATAGACATTAGTACCGTTCAATCCACAGACAGAAACTTATTACCAACGGGAACTTCTTTTACAAGTTCAAAAATTTTTACATAAAAAACGTATATTCGTTGTATAGAAAGCGAATTCTTTCATTCCTTCCACATAAGTTCACTACCAATGCGCAAATTCGAGGTAATCATCTTGGATGAGGAGTGAAACCTTTCGGAACGCCGAAAGAGAGGCGCGAGGAAACGACCGCGGACGTGGAAAGGAACGGACCGTCGAAGAACATTCCGTGTCCGCTAACCAAAAGTGTTACCACGCGCGAACCGAGATCGTCGATGCGAGTCTGCAAGCTAAGTTCAAGTTCACTGGAACGGAGGAACAACTCTTTAGATTCTCCCGTTAAATACGCGATTGTTAACCAGCTTATGTTACGATGTTTGAACAAGAATCGGCAATAAGAAGATAGTGTTTTGGCAAATTTAAATATCGTTTAAATCTTTTTGGTATTTGAAGAAAAAGGTAAGGTATTCAGAATATATCATTCAAAAAAGTTATAAAATCATTCAAACATTATTCATTAACCCATTTAATAAAATTATGATAATTTAGTCAAATCTTTTTAAAAAAGTATATGCAAAGAGGACAAAATATAAATAAAATTTGACTTTGTTAAATCTCCTCATTTAGAAGTTTTGCGTCACCTCAAAATTATTGGTTGATTACCGGTTCTCGCATAATCAGATAATAATTTAAAGTTTGGTTTTAGTTTATTTTGAACTATATGGATCAAGGATTTTAAAAGTAAAGGTCCTGGACATTCACCTCCGCCTATCGGGGAAAATTTAGCAATTACGAAAATTATTAGTGATTGCAACAACTTTGTCGAATTAAAATTAATTTTCAAATTCTTGAAATTTAAATTAAAATCATTAAAATTTTTAAACATTATTTTGATGACGACCTTCATTGTAACGAATCGTCTCAGGGTTAATGATCTCAGACCGGTTTCACCTCAAAACGAAACCAAATTTTGTATGGCTCAGACCTAAAGAACGTTGGCCTTACACCACTGACATAGATTTTATTTATGCGTCAACTGTTGTTTTGGCACAGTCAACTAATCCGTTAAAATATAAAGTAAATCAAAACTACAAACTAAATTCTTAAAATCAATAAATCTTAAAATTAACATATCAAAGTTATTAATGAGATACAATCATTTTGGATTAAGCTGTACATTCTATAACAGTTCTATTCATATAGCGGTATTGTATTCGCGGTTCGGTGAGCAAGAACGGCTATTCTTAAAACTCAACATTTTGAATCAATAAAAATTCAAAAAAAAATTATTTTAAATATTAAAACATCTATGTGAAGGTGAGCAACACAAAAAAAAACGAAAATATTATTTCTTTTAATTAATGACCTTTATTCGGAATAAATTAATAACATCAAACTCTCAATAAATCAAAAGAATTGATGAAAAATCGGGATTTCTCTTGCATCCCGTCATTGACTGCATCCGTTGTTGCATTCCTCTCTATGAATTTCACTTTATGTTACCAATTAAGTGTTTTCTTGTGTCAGAGATTGATTGAGCATTCAACTCGGGGAACGTAAAATGGTTTGCTAAGTAGGTTTGTATTCCTTTCTTGCTTCCTTTGCAAGTTTCCCTCATCATATAAATAAAATTCATACTTACTTATTACTCCTAAAAAACAATTACGATTTATGTACTTTGTTGTTTTTAGATTTCTAAGTAATTTTCACATCAAATTAATGTCTTTTATACTTTCAAAAAATAATTCTAAAGAGGATTTAACCTATTTGAATAACATACAAAAACCTACTCCACCAGAATTGAACTTAAAACCTTTCTAATAGCAACAACCAAAAAGAAATTACTCAAAGAAAAAATTAGAATTAACTGGTTCAGTTTAACATTAAACGTTTTACCGTACCGTGTAACGAATTCTCAAAGAATACCATCACGTTTAACCGCGAGCGTTTTTAGCAAACTCAAAGAAGTGTTATCCGAATAAGTCGAGGCGTAGGCGCGAACCTAACGGGGCATTTAAGGCATAACTTGACGGCTCGGCGCGCTGTGTCTCTCGGTCAAGGTAATTTTGTGACCTTCCGTTGCTCATCGTACAAACGACCACGTTCGACCTAGTTGTAAGATTTTAAGGAAGAGAACAGGTTCAGATACTCTATTATTATTGGAAAGGACAAGAATTTTTGGATTTATTTTTTCAAATTATATTTAATATTTTTGCAACATTACTTGACTCTTGTTCTGTATATGCAAATATAGAGGAGATAGGTCAAGCAAGACATCTATCATTACAGTTGGCATAGTAGCTATTGTACCAGAAATTGCTAATTCAGGAATTGATGATAATTTATTGATATACAATACCTATACAAGTCTGCAAGGCTATATGGTCTAACTATAGTAATATCAAGCCAGTAACATTTTCAGGTATTAAATCCTAATTTCTACCACAGATACAGCAATGTATTGGTAAATGGCATTTGTCCATGGCAATCACGACGTTTAGATTAAACCTTGTAGTTGAGATTTTCCTTTGAATACCATTCACAAAGAATACTGATGTTTCCTTAGAGAAGTTTCGATCCACTTCATGACTTGAAGCATATGTCCAAAACATGAATTGGAGTTGAGGCATTACAGTTGATTCAACCTCTCTATCAAAGGCTATTCTTTCAATATGTTATGGCGTTATTAAACTTTCCTTTATTGTTAAAACACCCCTGCTCACTAAGGAATCTAGATATGGTATCTACCACATTGTACAGAACAAGTTCCACTGTCTTTCCTATACAGGGTAATTCAAATTCGATCTCCATCATTGGGATCTCAGAAACCATAAGAGATACAAAAATCCAACATATATATTTTAAAAACTAAAACGACTAGATCCAAAAACTTAGTTGAAAACTGATGAGGTCTAAGATATGCAACTTTGCCCCCATTTAACTATTTCTGTATCTCTTATGGTTTCTGAGATCCCAATGGTGGGGGTCGAATTTCAATTACCCTGTATAGATACTTAGAGACCCAGTGAACTGTCGACCAGAATCCTTGAACGAATATACCGCTCTTGTACCTTAGAAGCTTTTTCAGCAAAAATGAAGTAAGACAGTACGTTCAGTCTTAATGTACGTTTATTCCATTCAGTCAAAATCATTCAGTAATACAAAACGCTACACGAGCGATTTGAAAAGTTTAAACTTGTTAACCATCCAATTAAACTTTTAATCTACTTGTGAAGAACGTTTTGTAGCACGAAAAATGCGTATCTTAACGACGTTATCCTCCATCATAAGGTTTCCTAACGAGCAAGCCTGTATTAGAAGCTTCAAAGCAGCTTTGTCCAACTCCATATAAACTCCATCAAGTCGCCTAGAGGAAATATCTGGTTTATATAGAAAATGTTGTAGACTCTAACACCGCTTAGTGTCTCCAAAATCTCTTGTAGTATTTGTTATAATTACTTAGACCCTGTTTATATTGTTTCGATTCGCGCAATATTAAGCACCGTTAAAACTCTGCCTAGTATAACATTCAAATTTTCTCATTTTGATCATAGTCGTTCTTTCCAAAGAAGTACCTTAATTTTCTAAATGTTTAGTGTAAAGTTTCTTAACCCTTTGTGTTCCGACGGTACTTTAAAGTAGCGGTAGTTTTAAACACTTATTTTAAAACAATGACCCGTAACAGGTTTCAGGAAATTTATCATATCGTATTTTTAATCACTTAACCGTCAGTTCTCCAGCTATTATCATGGCACTAGGCAGTTGGCTGTAAATAAATTCAAAGGGAGGTCAAGTATGAAATTCAATCCCATGAAGCCCATAAAAAAGCTCTGGTGCTTAGCAGATAAGAAAGGGTACATAAAGAAATTTGATATGTATCAGGAAAAATCTTCGGAAACTGAACTAGGTGAATGGATTGTCCTTCTTTCGATAACTTTTTTTACAAGTCTTTTGGAAAAACTGATAATTGAGAAATCCTTAGCTTGTGGGACAATAAGGTCCCACAAAAAAGGGATGCACCTAAAAATTTGGTAGATAAATGAATGAAAAAGGAGATTATGATTACCAGATTTCAAATTTAGATATAAATTATTACAAATGGAAGGACAGTAAGTGCGTGAAATTTTGCTCTAATTTTCATGGAGCAGAAAAGACCACCGCAAATAGGAAGCAAAAGAATGGAACGAAAATTGATGTGCGCTGTCGTAGATCATGCCGATCAACTTCGACAAGTATATGCAATCGACTGCCGTTCCAAAAAGTGCGGGCACAGGCTTTCCTTTGGTTTTACAGATAGGTATATGCTTCGTATATTTGTCATATATTCTAAATGTGAAGAGGAAAGGATGACGCTATTAGATTTTCGTCGTTCTGTAGCTACAGCTCTGATAAATAAATATACAAATTTACTGCGAACACGAAAATGTCGTAGCGCAAGTTCACCAGCTCAGTTACCCAAAAGACGAAAGTACGACTATTCTGTTACTGACGTAAGACTTGGGAACCGTGGTTCGCACTGGGTTACTTTTGAAAAAGAATGAGGAAGGTGTGAAAATTGTTCTGCCAAAGTTATTCAGCCCTCTCAAAATGTAATGTGTTTATTTATGTAGTAATGAAAGAAAGAACTGTTTTTCTGAACATCATAATGTGATTTACCTAAAGCAAGTGTTACTTATGTTCTAACGTAATAAAAAATGTATTATTTTTATATTAGCAATAAAAGTTTTTGTATACTGCAACATCACTAAAATTTATTTTAATGTCTGACGGTATTCTTAAGTACCATTATCCCCCTGGAATGGAAGGATTGTCCAAAGGCCTTTACTGAGTGTATTTTGATAGCGTTTTAATTCTATCACAAAATTTCAAAAATTTTCCATTCGAAAAACCTACATCCCGAAACATTTCGTCGAACTACATTTAATTAACTACAATACAGTTCTTATATAGGAATACGTGCAACCCAACACGAACTCAAACCAAAATATTGTTAGCCATACATGAACAAGAAATTCATCTATGGACAAAGTCTTGCCTTTATTGTCAGAAATCAAAAATCCATAACTACACAAAACTATCGTTTCAAAAAGTCTTAGTCCCCACACATTTGAATATATTCATATTGATCTCATTAGCAGCCATACCCCTTCATTAGGCTCCTTACCTTGTTACTCAAAATTTAGAACTTAGTAATAACTAATAACATTACCAACTGCGAAATCTCTTGACAAAATTTCGAACAAAATGTGTCGAAAAAGGTTCATTTATTGACTTGCTTATGCCGGCAAAAGAAAATAATTTTTTGACTGTATAGGATATGGGGCCAAATCAGTCAATTGGTAAATCAACTGCTTAAAAGTAAATCTCATTCATAAGATGATTATCAAAATCATCAAGAAGAGCGGAATTTTGTGAGCAGTTGCAATTATTGTGCAACCACGAATAAGACTTCATTAAATACACTTAAAAACTTTTGACCCAGCAACATTTTCATTAAGTGAATGAGTAAATTCGAATAATTGTAGATGCTGAAAAAATCCTACGAATCCACAATGCACCTATCAATCCAATATCCAGTGCGAATACGATTTGTACAGGATTCTTTCCTGAGCCTTTTCTTTTTTGAAGAAGGACAAACATTAGGATTTTCTATAAAAGCCTCACTTCTAACAGGAGTAATTTCTTGAACAAGATGGTACTTCAACACTATCTCTCCTCTGTACGAACTTATTTACACGAATTATTTCGCAATCAGTATATTGAAAAAGAAGGACCCTTCTCACCATTCGGCTGGACTTCTTTCTTTGGGCCTATGTTCTAGTTACTTAATAAAGATAAGCTAGCCAAAAGTGTAGGAAATAGGAAAAGTGTAAGAATAATAGGAAAATTTCTGTTAGATGTTACTCCAAGTTCTGGAATAATTCAATTATAAACCTAGCAGTCAATCTAGAATAGCACTTCATAACGATGGGATTAAGTAACAACTCTTCTCATGGTTTTTTGTTTGTAGACGATATAGAGTAGGATATGAGAAGGCTGAAGGTTGGAGACGATAGTCGTGGGATAGACAACTTTGGAACAAACTATTTAGGCAGGCCAACGTTCACAACGAGCTATATAGCCAAGATGATGATTCCTATAGTTTTTAACAACTATGGTTTTAAGTCCTACCATCTTCAATCTTCAACTCAACAATTCAGAAATCCTTGAATTCATAACGATCTTTAATGTCGATTAAGGTTGTAAAGTATATCTTTACAACTTTTTCATTTTTGAGATATAAGCGAAAATATATTTTTCACCTCAACACCCATAACTCGTCCCAAGGACTTACTGCATATAGAAAAGAAATCGCTAACCTTATTTTGGGCCATTTTACAACTTTCCTTATAATGATTACTTATTGGGTAACCTTCCGGATTACCTTTGATTGAAACTTACTTAATCGATCATTGAAACAGCTAAATGGCACCTAAATACATTTATTGGCAACAGTTAAATTCAGATTTCTTTAATATTCGAAACCTCCAAGGGTAACATGTATAAGACAATATATTAACTTCTATCGTTTGATGTTTGTCTAAATCGCCTTTAATTACTTTGAAGTATCAAAATATGTGGGTAAGATACCAAATCTTGTTTGCGCGGAAATTATCTGAAGCGTTACAATATAAAAATACAAATTAATACAATAACAAGCAGTATAACTAGCTAGAATGACAATTATTTTATAGTTTTGGCAGTAAGTTGTTAAAATAATTTAACTTTTTTATATTGGCTACATTCTAACTTTAAAAAAATGAAGAATATGATGTAATATCTAAATTTTCGCTCTCACAAATTATAAATAAATTAGTAGTAAAATATTTGTGCAAGGTATTTTTCCTTGAGTCATGAGAGACTTTCATCAACATTGTTCATAAATTTCTCACAAGTCCATTAACTTTCACCTTCTTTTTTTGTGTGTTACAGGCTTCAAATATGGAACTTAAAGCAATAGTCTTAATGATAGTGAAAATAGTAATTTCGATTCCCACGTTAGCCGTTTTGGTTCAAAGGGTGGAATCCGCAACATTAATGGGTGGCCATTTGGATAATGGAAGTAAAAGTAACAATTTTACTAATTTGTTGCTCGAAGAAATTGATCAAACGGCACTCGCAGATAATGTAAATTGAATTAAATTTTTTATTTATTAATTTATGTAATTGATTTCTTTTAGCACAAAAATTATAAAACAACGGAAACGCCTCCATATAACGCAGAAACGATTCCAGATCCCTCACCGCTAGTTGTTCCGGGTTATAATCTTCCAGATAATTTATTTAATAAAGGAAAACCGTTTTATTTAGAAAAGAACCCAGAAACAGGCGAATTAGATTTTCCAATAAAACCGCAAGATGAAGACAACCAAGATGAATACGAATATTACGATGAAAATCCAAACACAGATATTTTTGATAAATCAAATATTGATAGAAAAGATGGAAACATTGCAAGTCATAAATACAACGATGTAAATCAATTAACTCCGAATTTTCATGATTTTTTACCCATTAAATATAATCCAGAAAAATATGTTTATCCATTAATTTCAAGTTCATATGCGAATACGAAAGTTCAAGGAAACGTTAATCGATTTCACAATCACAAAGATTACACCGTGACAACTTATAAACCAACAAAAACTCCAACTTATCTTTCTACAAAATATTCTTATTATGGTATTGAAGAAAGAACAACAACCACCACAGAAAAACCAACGATGACTACAACCCCGACCCCTACAACTTCAAAAATAGCATCCTACACTACATCTTCTCCAACGACAACAGAAGATGTTTATTTAACGACGACACAAAAGAATTTAATGAATAGCCCGATGAATCATCCGAGTTTTCAAGAGGATTACTCAACGGAAAAGAAAGCAGTCGATGATATCTTTTTAACAACGACTAAAAGACCTTTAAGTATATTTGAACAATTTTTCGGATCATTCGATGATATTGAAACGACATCTAAGAAAATTGATGAAGATATTGATTATAACATTAACGGACACGCTGGTCCTTACAACCCAAACGTTTTAACCGGCTCAAATATGGCCCATTACGAATATGAATACGAAGACGGTGTCGCCGATAATATTGCAGTTGAAAATCAACCAATACTAACTCAAATTAAAACAAACATTGAAACTACTAGCAAAGAAACGACAAAATTAATAACGGAAAAATCAACAACACCAAAAATAATAACATCAAAAGAAACTACAACTCCTTTAATGACAACTCAAAAAATAACGACAACAACATCAACCACGACAAACACGCCTTTAACGACTACACCAATTACAACGACAACAACCACACAAAAAGCGAAGGTGGTGTCAAAAATTCCTGAATCAAACTCAAATTTAAACCCAACCCAAAAGAAAACATACATAAAGCCCACTACTTTACATCCTCCTTTTACACAAAAAGTAACATCAATGCCTTTAGGTGATTATTACAATAATCAACCGATTATTGTGGCCACACAAAACTTAAGGGATCAATTAAATAGCGAAAAAGTCCCAAAACCATTTGAATCCCCAAGAATTCCTCCCGCACCGAGTAGTTCAAATATAAGAATACCCGCCGATCAAAACACGGTTTCTTTCGTAATCGGAAATCAACAAAGTGTAGGAAATGAATACGCTGGTTTTAAAGAAAGTCCCTTTGATAATAAACCATTTAGACCGGTTTATTCCGATTATGGAGATACGGCAAGTTACCAAGTTCAAGCTAGTATTAATATGAAACCGCAACAAGGATACAATATAGGTGCAAGTTCGATTATGCATCCAATAAAAAATTCTGAAACTTCTTTAGCCATTGGTGTTCCATTGGATATGATTCAAAAGAAACCGGGTCAAGTCGTTGATGATTCATTGGAAATTCATAACGCACAAATTGAGTTTCCCAAAGGAAACGGGCCGAAAATTGTATTTCCAGATGAAAGAAACGAAGAAAAAACACCATCGACTTTAAAACCGGAAGAAAACGAAAATGTTCAAATTAATTTTAAAACCACCGAAAGTCAAAATACCCAAAATCAAGATCAAGATTTCAGAAATCAAGATTTGCAAAATTTTAAAACCGATTCGACTTCAACGACTGCCTTACCAAATAATAATAATAACATAAGAAAGCATTATAATAATATTCATCAAATTAATAGAGAAGTTCTAAAATTGAATTCTAAGCCAATGTTGCATCAACTTCCGAGTGATTTAACTCCGCCGAGTGAACCAGTTACTAGAATTCATTTGAATCGGGAAAGACCACCTTGGGATCCAAGACCTGGACATTTTCATTCTGGAAGGCCTGAATATGCTCGACCACCAAGACCGAATGACGTTTATAAAAGAATTGATAATCTTCCTAATATTCTTCCACAATTTAGACCTAATGTAAAACCACAACATTATTTTGATCATCATCCAGGAAAAGGTAAAATTTTTAATTTCTATAATAATGAAACTTCCATTACAAATATCTTCCTTTTCATATTATGAAGAACCCCAACTGTAGAAATTCTAACAACCTTGAAATAGTATAACCCAACTCTATTAATAATTGAGGCAACCCCATAATGCTCTATTCATGTTGTTCCTATGCCGATGAATCTTTATGGCCTCTCTTGTCATCCCTTGGTAGTAATGTCTGGCTTTGGCTAGCACCTTAGTCCCTCCCTCTCTGTAGCAATACTCTGCGACTACCCGCTGCAGGATCTTATTTACTCGATATTACGTCCAGATTTGCCAAAGTAATACTTCCCATAACTGCATGATAACCAATAAACACCCATTTAATTAAAAAACTAATTTCTTTTAGGATATCCAAGACAACCACTATTAGATAGACCATCTAATCGTCCAGTTGGATTTTTTGAAAAACTCCAACCACCGCCACCACCTAAACATCTCCATAACCTAAGAAAAATCCCTCAACTTGAACAATCTTCACCATCACCACAACAATTACAACAACATCAACTTCACCAACAACTCCAACAGCAACTTCAACAACAACAGCAACTGCAACAACACCAGCAACTTCAACAACATCAGCAACAACTTCAACAGCAGCAGCAACAATTTCAGCAACAACATTTGCAACACCAACAATTACAGCAACAGCAAGAAATAAAATCAAGAAATCCATTACCGATAGCTGAAGATCGTATAATGAATAAGAAAACAACTCCTGAGCAATACATGTTTTATCAAACACCCCCAAAAGTCGTTTTAGCACAAAGAAGAAATGGTGATCCTGATGTAGAAGTTGAAACACTTCAAATGATTCAAGCAAAACAAGAAAAATTAGAAAAATCAAAAGATGAACCTGTAACCGCACCTTTAGATACATCCTTAGATTTAGATTTGGATAAAGAAAAACCGCTTTATGTAGTTTATCCCGTAAATGCCGCACCAGTAAAATTAGATGATTTAGATATGAATAAAAAAGAAAGTGTTGTGATTGGAAAAAGAGCCGAATTACCTTTACCACCATCTCAAATTCAAGATTTTGATCAATCGGAATTTAGCGTGATTGAAAGGCATGAATCGCCGATTTTAAAACCGCATCCAAAACCGGGTTTTCCGAGTAAAACTGATTTTCCGTATCCTTTAGAAAGACCCGATCCGTCTTTATTAAGTGCCCCAGATATCGGAAACAACATCGATAATTTACCTAAATTTGAAACGAACGATTGGGATACGATTGATGATGCTGAAGAGAGAGTGGTTAACTCAAAAAATCAACAAATTTCGGTTAAATTAAAAACTTATACGGAAAAACCGATTGCTGTGGCTTACACACCAACTGAACCGCATAGAACAGAAAAATATTCCGCTCCTAATTACGCAAGTCCCGTTATTCCGGAAATAAGAAACAGCGAAATTACAGTAAGCGCGGTGATGCATACGAATCCAAAAAATGAACACGATGTTAATTTAAAAAGTCAAATTTACCATGATAAATATGTAACGAAACCGGATATAATAGAAGATGATACTCCTAATATTCCAAAATTAGATTTCCAGGCACCATTCCAAGCGAGTGTTAACGTCGATAGTATGGCTAGTAATGGATGGTCTGTTGTTCGAGATAGAAATAAACAGGAGGAAATTGAAACTACAACCCAACCTATGATTACAACCAGCAAATTTGATATCGAAAATTTTAATCCACCTTTAATCGGCGGATTTAAACCGATTTATGATTTTCCTGATGATGATTCTGAAAAAGAAACAGAAATTAAAGAGAGGCAAGAATAATTAATTAAAGCTTCAATAAAAAAAATAAGATTTGGCAACAATTACAAAATAACTTTTTTTATTGATGATAGTTTATTTATGTGTGTTCAGTGTTGGAGAAGAAAAAATAATGGGAAAAGGCTAAAACAAAGTTAGGTTGACTGAAAAAAAAAACGAATTAGTGTTTAAAAAAATTAAAATTCTTGAACAATTTTAGTGCCTTACGAACTTTTTACTGATAAATGTGTTCTTTTGATCTCTACACAAAAGAAGACAGAAACCATTCATACCTCCAATGGTTTTGTTTAATACATTTTTTTTAATCTTTTCTTTTAAGTATTAATCTTTTTTGCGTAATTTAAGTTTGTAGATAAAAGTAGCTTTAAATTTTAAAAAAATATTTCCAAAACCACTTAGTACCTACGAACAACGAAACAAGACTTAATATTATTATTTTTATTTACTTATTTATTTTTAAAAAAATCCTGTTGTTTATTTATATTAAAAACGTTAAAATAAATACTTCCAACTTAACAAGGGATTTTATTTTAATTAATAACAACATGTTTTATTTTCAATTAATATAATTTATTAACGATGTTAGTTACTCAATACAAGTACTTTTTTTAATAATCGTTTTAATTGCTTTTTTTAGTTTAATTTACTGGTGTTTTGTTTATTAATTAATAAATTCAGCATAACGAATCGTATTTCAGTCTTAAACAATAATTATCTTGGAAATATTCAAGCCTAAAGTGTGTACAAGTATTCAAAAATTGGTTATACAAAAAGCTGTCCGTAATAGCGGCGGTACATAAGTGTATAAATACGTTGTAAATTGTTGATTATATGTATAGAGAAAAATAGTGCTTCTCAGTGAGTTTTATCAATAAAAAATAATGGCCGAAAAGCTGCCAACAACAGTTTTAATTTCAATTAATATAAACAAATAAATTTAACACCTTAATCTCACAAGATAAATTTTAAATCTATCAAATTTCTTTGAATAAATTTAAGTAATTTGCACTCTCGATTTTCGTAAATAAACGTATAAAAAAGTTTTCTAAGTATAATTGTTATTAGTAAAAATAAAAAATAAGATTAATTAAGAAGCCAAAGTGACCAAATAAACTATTTATTTTTGGTTTTATTTAATTATCCGGTTTTTGGTTGCTCTCTGCTTGTTTAAAAAGCAACCTGTATACTGCTTGCAGAAATTGTTTGCAAAAACTAAATACTGCTTTCAGAAAATAGATACTGCTTGCAAAAACTAGATACTGCTGTGGGAAGTCTGGGTGCGGCTTGCAGAAAGTAGATATTATTGGAAAACACTTAATACTGCTTGCAAAAACTAGATACTGCTTTCAGAAGACTGGATACTGCTTGTAAAAGCATAGATACTATTGACAGAAAGCAAGATGTTGCTAACAGAACTAAACTTTGTTAATGGAAGGGTATATACTGGTTGCACAGGATTTGATACTACATACTTTCCGTAAAAGGATACATACTGAATGTAGAATGTTAGATATTGTTGAAAGGTAACTAATTCCGGTAATAAACTACTGTATACTGCACAGTAGAGTTGCTGTTGCATAACACCGGGGATATCCACATTTAGACATAATACAGAACCCTTCAAATGCTCTAACATTACTAAAGAAATTGCATTCAACTTCCATAAGCCAGATACGCAAAGACCCGAACGAGAAAGACTATTGTAGTGGAGAATACTCTTTGTGAAGAGACCTCAGAAGATACTGAATCAAGAATTAATACATAATTCAGTAAACTCTTTCGAATTCCGCAATAAAAAATGGCATATTGTATTAAAAAAACATCGATAGCATCATAACGTTTAAAAATAGCGGAAGAAAATTAAAATCTACACCAAATGTGAATCTTAATGGCTTTAACGAATTTATCCGTTACTTTTTGAAAATACTGTATATTATGCACACATTATAAATTTTTTTACGCACATTTTGCTTTTATTTCAACAATGTGCATATAGAAGATTCAGATGCAGAGGAATTAGTTACCAGAATATGATTCTGCTGATGAAAGTGATTTAGAAACCATCTCTGGAAAACTGACTCGCATCCGTCGTATCGTGCTGTAATTGAATGTGTCTTGAACGTTTTTGAACAATGTAAGCAAACTGACAAAGCAATGCCACATTTTCTGATGTTGAAGAAACCGTCAAGAATAGTCCTGCATAATTGGAGCCAACATCACTGTTGATGAGCAACTTTATCCCTATGGTGACAAATTTGTACCAGTATAGCACCTTCTGGAGAAAGAGAAAAAAATCAAGGTGAACGTGTGGTTAAAGATTCGTATATGACAACATTTTTAGAAGTAACATTTTGGCTTCTCCTTTGATGTTAGACTACAGTTTATCAATATTCGGCACTGTAAACAAAAGACAAATCCAAGAAGAGGATGAATCATCAATTTTCGGATTCAGAAATAACATAAGTAGGTCTTCATATGTTCCAAAAAAAGAATAAATCAGTTGTGTTTGTTTCCACTTCCCATTATACATCGAAATTGAAGGTAGGTTCTAAAAGAAAAGCAAGAATGATATTCAGAACAGATGTGTTCGTGATTTACATGGAAAATAATTCACGCTAGTAGAAGTTTCTACAACACTTGAGTGAGCAATTAGCTATGTCTGAAATCCAGAAACGTTTACAAAGTGCATAAAACATGCGAAATTTTTCGCTGCGTAGTAGAATTGGGCCATCCTATACAGCCTACTATTACAAATCTGCCAATACGCCCTCAATAAGAATTTGACAGTTCTGGCAGAATCAAGAAAATTATTATATAAACTGCGGAATAAGAATTTATTTTAACTTGATTGATCTTGCACAATCTTTCTTGTTGTCTAAAAAGAGCTACAACACTTTATGAACTGATTTGAATGATTTAGTAGACAGATAATGAAGATTAAACAAAAAATAGTGTTTAATTTGAATTTTTTTCGACTAATATTGAGAGTGCAAATTCAATTGCGTGCATTTTTCGGTGCCAAATTTATTAAAACAACCCTTAAACTCATCTTAAATGTAAAGCTTTGATTTAACCATTGAAAGCATCATTTTGTTCACTGGCAGTAATTATTTTTGGTTCAAATAGAAACGATTTTCAATTTCCACAACGAGTAACCCTACGTAAACTTTAAAAATAACAATAACCCTGATTGTCCAAAAGACAGTTTACAATTTTAATGTATTTTTAATCGAATTTGTATTTTTTAACAAAACTTGTTATTACGTTTTTTTGCTTTTTGATTCGAATATTTTTCGTTATAGGTATAAAAACTAACTTAAAACATATCGTATCACTAAGATTAATTTTATTATTAGATTAACTGTGATATATATTTTTTTTATGCAGAGTGAGGCAACGAAACTACAGTCGAAACATTTTTAAATATAGTTTAATAGCAACACTCTGTATAATAAGTTTTTTGTGTTATAAGATTTTGTTATGATATTTGCAAAAAAATGTAATTTTTGATTGATGTTTCATTTTTTTAGCAAATATCATAAATAAAGCCATTAAGTTGAAGCAAATATTGCAACTCCATTAAAGTTATATTATAAATATTATTTCATCTATAAATATTTGTTCGCATCTATTTCTAAAAATCAAATAAAGTTAATACAAAGATTTATTAAAAAAACTCTTTTACTTACTTCTAATTTACGTTATTTATTTTTTTATAACGATTTTTATTCTAATTAATTAAAATAATTTGTATTGATTCTTTATCAAAATTCCTTTGGAATGTAATCGCGTGTACGAATAAATTTAAAAATTAAAAGTCTTTTAAAGCAAAGAAAAAAGATTATTTGTCATAAATACCTGTTCCCATACAAGATTAAGATTTTAATGCTAAAAAACTGCATCTAACCTAAATCGCAAGCATTCTTTTTTCTTTTACATCTTCTTATTTGGCACAATAGGTTGAAAAAATCCAATTTAAGAAAAACTTTCTTTACGTTTATAGTTGTATTTAATATTATTTAAGATAATTGTGTAAATACTTGTCTCTTTATTATCATAATGGAAGAAATGTATCGGACCGAATCGAATTGGTGAATCATTTTTAATTCAGGAATTATTACTATTATTATCAGTTTTTTCAATCAGTAATTTGTGAACAACTGTAAATCTAATTTAACCGTTACTTCACCTGATTCAACTTGGTGTAAGATGAGCTTTTTTATTATTGGTCCATTGGTGTTTTGCGATTCTCTGTAAACTTCTTGTAATTTTAAATCAGCACGACCTAAGAAAACTAATAAAATTTTCTTTTTTAAAATTTACATATTCAAATCAAATTATAAATAAGGGGTAAACGTCTTGGAAAGATGTATAAGTTTTTATAAGAAACTTTCAAAATCACTCATTTATTCAGAGTCAATTAATACAGTGATGATTGCATAACTTTTGTTATATATTATTTTGGATCCTTTATCATTTCTGTGGCTTAAATTCCCTTCTACTCTGGTTGACCTCTTTATAAAATTCAAGTTCGAATTCAATACTTTCTTAAAATAAATCAGATGTAAGAGAAAATCATCACATTTCAGTAATATGAATTAAAGTAAGTAAATCTCGATGCAACACAAAGAAAATGTAAATCCCTACACCTATTGCAGAAGGAGATATACAGACGTTATTTTCTTGGAATAATATTTTTTTACTTTAGCCCTTTTAGAATCAAACCACAGAGAAAAAACTCGTTATGAATATAGACGCTTACCCCTTTATAAAAAAATTTATATATATTTACCGTCTGGTTTAAATAAACACATCTCATAAACACAAAGACTGAGCACATCATCTTTAATACTAGCAACGTGAAATTGCATGCTTGAATTCCACACTAAATTAGGAATTTGAGGATAACCATTTTGTGGTCCATTACCATTACTCAAATTATCTTTTGCGATATCAGTTTGTTGTTCTTGCTTTCCAAGAGATACTTTACAATAAATGTTTTCCGTAAATAATTTACCTAAGAAATTAAAATTTTTATTTAAAATGAATTCAATAAGGATTTTAAAAAAATTATTATTAAGCTGTAAATGGATTTTTAAAATTTTTTTTGATCACCTTTTCGCCAAGAAAAAGAATTTCGATTGCGAGTCGTCCTACTATAAATTTCAGTTCCCTCAGCGATAATCACGTTGAGTAAATATCTAACGTCCACAGCTGAAATTGCATGCAAAACTTAACATTAGAACCTTACCTAAATGAATAAAACGTTTCCCCTTTTGAACAAGCACGAGCAGACGGCCGCACGATTGGCTTCCTGCACACAACAACAACAAACACTCAACAATAAGACAAAAAATTTTTTTCACACCACAATTTTATGCACAAGGATGTAATTCTTAACTTAATTTAATTACTTACGTGAATAAGATGCAGGTTTTATAGAAGCCACAACACGTTCATATTCATCTTTAGCTTCTTCGATTCTTTTAATCCATAAGCTGCATTCGTTAACGCTTGGTGTTAAAAGAGCAATTATTTGTTTTTTGTTTTGTATTTTGAGCACTCGGTTCGAATCGGTTCCATGTTCCACAGATTCTGCACTACCTTTACTTGCTTTTAAAAATTGAATCATTATTGGCTAAAAAATATTGTGAAACAATTTTTTCTAAATATTTAGAAAGATATTAGATTACCTGTTTGTATAATTTAAATGTAATATTTGTGTTTGTAGGAAAAGTAAATTGTCCGCAAATTGATTTGCTTGGTTGTGCTAATAATAAGAAATCGTTTAGGAGAAATCCAATAAGTTCTTTCCCACTTTTTACCTAAAAGAAATATATTTTTATATTTTATTTATTTTATAGGAAAGTTACTAACTTTAGTTAATAATCCATAATGTAAAAATTTTCTTTGCCCTAATTTATTTGTACAACTATTAAAATCAATATTCAAATCGCTTTGTATGAAATTTTTTAACCAATCGAGTCTTTCATGGTTTTCTTTGACGCGTACATTCTCATTAATTTGCCTTAAGAAATCTTCGGCTGCTTCTAAAGCTTGCCTGAGATAAATTGAATCTACGAAACATTATTAATTTCTTTTTAATTAAAACTTTAAACTAAATAATTACCTGCATGATTATCAGGAGTATTTTCTAATATTTTTATGATAAGTAATGGATATCTAGTAATTCTTTGCATCGGTTTAATCAAAAACGAACTTAATGGCATTCCTTTAGGATCCACCTCGTTTTGACATTGCTTGACAAGTTCACGAAAAGGCGAAGAAGTTTCAGTTAATTTTTGTAATAAAGCCGCGCTATCCAACTGTTTACTACAAAAAGTAATGTACGCAGTCATTTTTGGTAACTAAAATTTTCTTTTTTTAATAATAAAGAACATAATAAATAAAATTGTATTTCCATACATGAGCGCATATAACATCACCGATTATTTCACTTCCCGATCTTCTTCGTTGTTGCAAATCTTCCAAAAAATTCTTATTACATTGCAAAATATCTTGCCAATTTACAAATATCGCCTTGATATCATTTTTGTCGATAATCCCACTTCTTGTTAATGGTATTTCAAATACGTTATGAACAACTTTCATATCTGCTATGTAAGCTTCTTCCGTTTGTATTAATTCGTTTATACAATCTTGTCTTTTTTTATCTGTAGGGCTTATTGCTGTTAGAAAGAAAGATAAAAATATTAAGTTAATAATGAAAATGTGGAAATCGAACGAGATCATTTTTTTTATTTTTATTAAATAATTTTGGACAACACATGATTTTTGTAGGCAAAAGAACATTCGTATTAATAGTCCAACTTTTGGTTGGAAGTGAGTTATGAGTCGAAAATGAGATGTGTTGATCCTGGTATAGTGAAAGAGATATGTATGGAGCTAACAAAGTTAGTACAACAAGAGCCGACATGAAGAGAGTATAAAGTCTTATGTTATTCGATGTTATCCCGAAAAAGTTAACGAGGAAGCTCAGGCAAAAAGAAACTAGTACACAAGCATTAACATTCGCAACCTCAAACCCTTTGCTCGTCTTCTGATAAGGCAGAACCGGTTTATGATATATTAAATTGTTAGATAGACCTGAATGTTTACTTAGTACAGATTAGTCTGAATAAGTGAAGCAAACTTTACTTTCTAAGATGCTGATTGGAGCTACAACATTAGAACCTATCATACTTCATTGAGAGACCCAACGGATTTCTTCTATACAAAAGATGATTTCACAGACTTTGTTTAAAATCCTAAGGAGTAACTTAAGCATTTACATAAAGTAATCATAGAAACAAATAAATATAGAAATATATAGAAATATATATAGAATATATAGAAACAAAGGAATACCAATAAGAAGCAACAGAAAGAAAGAAACTTGCATATCCATTAAAGATATCTTTTTCTTCTTTTATCTAGGATATAATCTGTTTTTCTCTAGACATCGTTCATGGTATACCAATAGAGGTGGAGAATAAGTTTCCTTCCATCTTTGCAATGGTCTGCCGCGATTTCTTCTTCCAGCTCGCCTTTGGTCTCTTGCTATCTTGCGACTGGTCTCTTTGGATGTGTTCATTCCATTTTCTTTTATTAGTCTTATACACAGTGTGGAGTCCACAAACTGTGTATCAGCAGATCAGCCCACGCCAGTCGAGATGTGGACGATACAGAGGAAGGTTCAGAGTCTTCTGTGGCTTAGAAAATCGCCTTGTAGAGTACTAATGCTGCTTTTAGTTGCCGTAGATTTACGTAATATTGTATTCACCAACTGTTTTGGTATATTATTCTCTTATAATATTGTTATCACGTTGTGTAGTTTCACTCGTTCGAATGCCTTTTGTTAGTCAACAATATACTTAAAGGCTAGTGCGCCTAATTACATTGCTTTTTTGACTACCTGACGTATTACAAATGTGGCATCAATACTAGATGTATTTGGACGAAATCCTTATTGCTCTTCATTAATAATTAGTTGATTGGCTTCATTTCCCCTTTTGAATACAGGGATGGTGATGCTAGTTTTCCAGTCTAAAGGCATCTTTTTTCTTCAGAGTATGATGTTAAATCATTTTATTATTTGTTCTATGCGATACTTTTCCGTATTTCAAAAACTCATTTCTTATATTATCGTTTACAGCAGCTATTCTATTCATGAGTATTCTTTGCATGTCATCTACTATTTCCTTTTGTTCTCTTAGAAATGCTTTTTTCTTTTTATCTATTATTTCCTTCACCTCCCTAGTATATCATGGTGTTTTATTATTTTGTGACTGAGCTTCTCCTGCAGAATAAAATTGTAAAATATTATTGTATATTACATCTTCTACAATTGGTGTTTTATTGATCTTATCATTTAATCTTGTTGCCTATAAGATTTTTGTACATTCGGTTTCTGATAGCTCTATTCTGCGTTTTCAATATATTTAGGGTTGGTCTTCCATTTTAATTGAGATTTCTAATGTTTGCAGAATTCATTAGAGAGTTATGATCGAGATGATGATGTGAGTAAAGATTTCGCATGAGAATGTTAAAACATACTGCCTTATTACAGATATCTTTCATTCATGCACCGTAGTTATTAATGTCATATTGCATTCACAAATATAGATGAAGAAAAAGAAACAATCAGGCACCATGTGTTACAAAAAGTGTTACCACCAAACTTTTTATGTCATGATTTCATGGCATAAAATTGACATGGTAATTTTAATCCAACCAAAATTAAGAAACCTATTTATAACGTCCAATTTATAAGATTCAGGCCACTTAACCTTTTACCCTGTATAAAAATAACCTAAAATAATAATTAAATAAACACACATTTTCTTCTAATTCTTTTTAATATCACATTAGTGAATAAATCGAATTCATTGTATATGGTTTTTTATTTTACACTTACGTGTAGCGATGATGTACGATCAAAAAAAAAGGATTCTATTTGAAATACTTAAGAATGGATAAATAGGATATTTAATAATTTTTATTCAGGGTACAAAGTAGTAGAAATAAAGGTCTACAAAGTATGTAGAAATAAAATTTTTAAAATTAACTAAAAAAAAAAGTAGGTAGAAACGCGACCAATTACATATATAATTCTTTTTAATTCTAGGCGAGATTAAAAGTATGCTTTTGAGTTTAGTAGGGTGGTGGTACATGGATAACAGAAATTTGTTATAGGATTAAAGCAAGAACATTTTTTGGAAGATGTATATACACCCACCCTACCAAACGCAGCTGAAACTAAAAATAAAGAAAAAAAGAGAAACAAAACAACATTACACTTACACAATATAAATACAACTGATTAGGATATAGAGATTTCGATAACAATAAAATTGATTAATTGAACAAGAACAACGTTTAACAGCGTATTTTTTTTTAATTTCAATTTTTTTCTTAAGCAATCGTTTTCCACTTAATTATCTTTTTTTTAGAGTATTCTAACAAGATAATTTTAATAAAAAAGTTGAATATCAATGTGTTACTTCTGTTTTTTAAGAAATAAAAATAAAAGTATGTTTAAAAAATGTTGTAAATTGAAAACAAAAGTCTTCATCTTAAATCTTTTTTATCTTGTTATAACACCTCCTTAGCTACAGAGATACATTTATGTTGACATTAAAATTGCTCTATCGACTAATGAGATACTACGTAATTTTTTTTAATAATTTTTTAGACTTTTTATAGAGAATATGCAGCTTCGTTATTGGTAGGATGGGTGCAGTATACATTCCTACATTCCTACAAAAGAAAATTATCTTTTAAGAAGGAAGTTCAGTTTCAAAAGTTTCCAAACACGAAAACAAAAATTATTAATTTTAGGGATTACTTACATTGCTGAAGTGGTGCTACATAATTACTTGGAAACAAACCGGAAACGCCGTTTAATTCTCCTCTCCACCAAGATTGTTCTTCCCTGGCAGTAACACTAATGATGTCATCCTTCAAAAAGCTGAGTTCATCCGGATTTGCAGCGGTGTAAGGATATAATGCAACAACTTTATCTGTAATACAAAAAAAAATAAGAAATTTTATTTATTTTAAAATCAAGATTTTTTTTTACCCAAAACGACTTCTTGTTGCATCCGAGTTGTCGAAACGGGGGTGGTTCGCCCACTTGCTCGTCCACTACTATTTAAGACTTTTACATAACTAGCTGGAAACCATCCAACCTGTCGTTTACGTCCTTTCGCTTGCAGTTCCCCTTCCCACCAACCTGAATCGGTTTTCTTACGTATCATTATCAATTGACCCCTTTGAAGCGATAATTGTTCAGTACTTGTAGCTTGATAAGGAGCTATTACCGAAGCTATTTCCGGTTTTTTATTACCTCTCAATGTCTATATGGAAATTTAAAAAAATATTTATGAAAAATAGTTTAGTTTGGCATAAAGCAAATTTGAAAAAAAAGTTCAGCAATATATCCAAAAATAAAACTATACAATACCTGGGTATTAGCACTCATAGCAGCAAAATCAGGTTTTTCAATTTCCTTATTTTCATTAATTTGACAAACCTCATTGTCTGTTTGCGCACTGTCCTGTTGTAAGTCTTGCGCAGCAACAATGTTTTGCTCTAAAGCAGGTTGCTCAGGTGGATTAGTGCTCGTATTCTATTCACAATGGTTAGTAGAATGTAAATAGCACAATACAACGAAATACACAACAAAATTAAACAAAATGAATCTTACCACATCGACTTTTTGTACATAATTACTTGGGAAAATACCAATTCGATCCCCGATTTTACCCGTCCACCAATCGCCTTCTTTTTTAACAACCATTATCATTTCGCCAGCGTTAAAAGTTAAATCTCCTTGTTCTACCGATTGATAAGGATAATTTGCTATGTAATATTCAATTTCATCTTCTGCAACGGATGGTGTTGTTGTTGTTGGAGTTGGTTCGGGTATTTGAGTTGGTTCTTGTGTTTCCGGAATTGTTTCTGGTACCTCAACTATACCCCTTTAATTAAAAAAATGGAATAATCAAAAATGTGATTTAAAGTTATTTTTTAATTAATTACTCTAATCGTTTTGTTTCTAATTCCTCAACGTAAGATGATGGTGGTGCATCTTGTACAACTGAACCTCGAACACCAACACCATCAACAGGTTCCACATAAGACTCAGGAAACCATCCGGTTTGACCTCTTATTTCTCCAGCTAACCAACCAGGTTCACCAGTTTGTTCTAATGGCACCATTATAATATCACCAGGTTGAAATGAAATCTCGTCAGAATTTCTTCCTTCAAACGCGTAAAGTGCTCTATATTTAACAGCACCAGCCATACTAGTTGTATGTCCACTAACAGCAGTAGTTTGTGGTGCAGCGCTTTCTGTACCCCAATTATTATCAACTGGCCATTCGTTTTGAGTATCACCCCAACCCCCAGCGCTTGAATCCCAAGCTGTACTATAATCAACACTTTTAGTGGTCGTCTTCATCTCAAGAACTTTATTCTTTTTATCTTCATAGACGATATACAAATTTTCGCATTGTTTCAATAATTCGGCCATTTGAGTTTTTAAATCGGTTAAATGCGAATTATTATTCTCAATATCGCCCATTTTCCCATCAATTTCTTTTTGCATATCATCAACTTTTTCTTTTAACATTTTGATATTGATTTCTTTATTTTCGAACGCTTGTTTCGTTTGTTCCGTTTGGGAGTCGTTCATTTGGACGTTCATTTTATTCTTAGCTTCCAATTTAATCTTTTCTTGGGAAAGTGCCAGAAGTTTTGCGTTTTGTTCTTTTAATTTATTTTTTATTTGCGACATTTCTTGCATTTGGAAATCTCTTGTAGATCGCATCCCGTCGATTGTTGTTTTTACATTAGAAACACCAACACGAGTATCGCAAATCTTTTGCGATAATTCTTTAACTTGATCGTTTAAACCATTTAATTCGATAGATAAACTTTGGTTTTTTGCTTTTAATTTAAGAACGTTCTCTTGTTCTCTTTGCCTTTGTAATTGTAGTTCTTGTAATCGTTGTTTTTCCCATTCGAGTTGTCTTTGCCGTTCCATTTCTCTTCTCGCCGCCTCTCTTTGCTCAGCTTGTCTTTTTCGTTCCTCTTCAATCTGTCTTTCTTTTTCTTGTTGTTCTCGCATCTGTTTTTCAAGCTCTTCTATTCTTTTTCTTTCCGCCTCTTGTCTAGCTTTCTCTCTCCTTTCAATTTCTTCGCGTTCTTTTCTTTCCCTTTCCTCAGCTTCTTTTCGTTGTTGATCTAAAAGTGTTTTCCTTCTCCTTTCTAATTCAGCTTGACCTTTTTCAAAGTTCTCTTTGCGTTTATCTTCAAATGTATTCTGAGAGAGAGAGGAAGCTAAGTCAATGTCTTGTTGAATACTTCCTTGACTAGAAACGGATGCTGTTCTTGAAGCGCTTCTTGGAGCTCTTCTAAAAGACGGTGGGATTAAATCCATGGGAAGTACTGAAGGTGGTGGTATCCCTATGCTTGCTTGTTCGCACAAATGCATTGCCAAGACAAATTCTTCGCATCCAAGTCGCCCATCTGCATCCATATCCGATAAAGCCCAAATTTGTGCTAAAGTTGACTGTGGTAATTTAGTTTGCACCATTACATTTCTGGCTTGTACGCCAGTTAAATATCCGGTTCTTGTGCGATCCGTTGTATTAAAGATTTGGGTATATTTTAATTTTGTATGCTGATTTACTGACCATTCTTGACTTATATCTACAGCTGGAGCTGTGTTTTTATCCAAACTCGTTATACTTGCCCTTGGAGTACTACTTGGAACGCTAACACCACCAACACTACCTGTAGTTGACCCAACAGGTGACATATGAGGTGCTGGTACAACAGCACCTGATGAAATTGGTGGAACTATTGACCCAGGAGGCCCAGTATGAATGGACATTGGTATATTTGTGGGTAAAGGAGGAATAATTGGAGCAGCCCCAGGAATTCCAGATTGAACTATTCCACCATTTTGTCCCATCAAAGGTGTTACAGTATTCACTGGGGGAATCCCACCAACTAAAGGTTGACTTGTAATGGGGGGAATTCCCGAAATTAATGGTTGCACAGGTTGCATAGGCGGAATTATGGGCGGTTGAGCTGTTTGCATGGGCGGAACAATACCTGTTGGTATTGTGCTGGCGTTAAGAGGTTGTACTTGTGTAGGGAGATTTGGTATTAAAGGTGGAATACTTTGAGGCATAACCGTTGGCGGTTGGGCGATTACCGGGGCCACTTTTGGTGGTTCTGGGCGTGGCGGTGGATTTACGTGGGAATTAGGTAAAGGTGGAATAGCTGGAGGAGATTGGGTTTTTAACGAGGCGAGTAAACCTGGTGGGAGTGCTTTCGGTACTTCATAACCACGTAATTTTAAATTTATTAATTTGCAAGCTATTGAAAATTCGTTTATATCCATTTTTCCATCTGCATCTGTATCTGCTAAAGCCCTATAATAATAAGAACAACAACATTTATCATTGATTAAAAATCTAATGCATAAAACAATAATTTTATTGTGATAATTTATCTTGGATTAAACTAATACATAATAAGCTTACCATATTTGTCCTAAAACTAAAGGTGGCAGTTGTGATTGTAGCAAGAACCCTTTGGCTTGCTCTCCAGTAACAATCCCATTATTAGGTTTAAGGGCTTTAAAGTGCTCCTCATATCTAGCTCTTTCTTTAGATAATATGATCCAAGGATCGGTTGATGGAGTACCGGCAGTGGACATTTTTGCACTAAAACACAAGGAAATTGATCTAAACGTTTAGGAACACCCCCATAATTAGCTAACAATTTTTACTTCACAAAAAGTGCTTACACATAAACCTACATTACTAAAAATTCTTGATGGTTGTACTTACCCTGTTTCTTATAAACGTGTGTAGCACCTCAAAAACTCATTTTATTGCGAGCTTTTTTTAATTTTATAACGAAAGTTCATAGCTTCCTGACCCAGTCACCAACAACGTCATGGAACGAAATCAATAGTGTTTCTGATCGAAACGAGACTCAGATAAAACAGACCTTATAAACGATAACGATAAAGGTGAAATTTCAGAACTGGAATACCATAGGAAATGTCTTAAAAGCATTTTAGACTTTAAATATAGTTGACGTAAGGGTGACATTTCCTTGACATTGACAGCTGTTATTACAGATACCTAACAAAAAGAATTAAATTTTTAATTTTACAACAAATTATTTTAAGAATGTTTGCAAAATAAAATGTTGTATGTATATATGATAATTTTATTGAATTCATTAATAAACCATATAAAGAGGATATAAAGAAAAACTTAAAACGGTGTTTTTAGCGCCATCTATACCTAAATATTTAATTGGAAAAATATATAAATTTCATCAAAATTTTATATATAGGTCTATAATAAATTTACTTACATTAATATAGAGCGAATTTATATAGAAATTTTAATAATCTAATGTGAATTTTTGAAAAAACAATACGATAAAATATTTAAAGCGCCCCCTATTGCGAATTATCTTAAAAGCAGCTTTCAAAATAACGGTTTAAATGTCAAATTCAAATTGTAACGTACAAAAGAGGTTGTTACAAAGTGACGTCTAAAAAAAATATTAATTTTCCTCTTGTGCGCATTCAAATAAAGAACTTATACGATGAATTCATCATTTACCGAGGTAAATATACCTAAAGGTTGTATATGATTTACGTTTAAACGATATTTTCGGTTATTTTAGCACATCCTCGAGAGAGCAAGACAACGCCAGAAAAAACTCGAAGAACTAAATTCGACCGAAAACATACCCTCACGTAAGAAGTCAGATATTATCACATCTCCTAAGTGCAATACATCCACAGAAAACGACAGCACAAATAATGAAGAAGGTATGATTTCATCATCAACACCTGATAAAAAAATTCCTCGCATGCCGTCCATTAAAGAGACTCTTGAAACAACTAAAAGTCCATTAAAAATATCATCTCATTTGCCTGGTTCACCACAACCTCAGCTTAAAACGCTTAACATACAAAAAGAAAATTTTAACATGGAAATTAAACTTATTTCGACAGATCATGTTAGGGTTGAGGTGGAAATTCAGGATGATGAGGATGGTTCTGATAAGGAGAATAATGGAGAGGATGATAATTATGCAAGTGAAAGTGGATTGAGAGAACAAGCTAAATATAAATTAAAAAAATTGGGACGATTATATTCTGGTAAGATTGATTTATTTAATTTCTCATTTAGATACTAAGTACATAAAAATAAATTACATCAAATTTGCATTGAAGTTATCATAGAAATAGCTTTTTGATAATAATCGGCATCTTCCAAGTCGTGATTATGAATCATGAAATAAAATGTAATGTAAGATAAATAATATTTAAAAGTCATATTCTCATCCAATTTTTCACACAAAAAACTGACGAATTGTAAAAGTTCCTGTACTTTTGTCTTGAAATAATTACAAAGTTGTTCACTTTGTTCTTTTAAAACTTCCAAAATTTCATTTTTAAGTTGAAATATGATTCCATTATCTAGTTTCGTAGATCCACTAACTTGGAAGTTATCTAATATATCTCTCATAGCTTCCTCATCAGAATCTTTATCGTTTGTTGAAATTCCAAATTGGATTTTGTAAAGACTTTTAGCAGACTTTAAATTTTCGTTTATTCGTGACATATTGAAGCTCAAAATGTAATAAATTTTTATGATAATTGACAACTACAATATAAATTAAAAAAGAATTTTGTTTTACTTTTATTTAGCTGATGAAAATGTTGGTATTTCATCCCCCATTCAAAATTCTGAGGCTTACTTTCATTTACAACAAAATGAGACAACCCAAGAAAGTTCTAAAGGAGCCAATAATTCTAAATTGAAAAAAGGATTGAGTAAGTTAGCTGATTTAGCCCAAAATATTCGTGAATGGGAAGATGATGTAAGTTTTTTTTATATTGGATGTTCAAAATAATCAGTTCAAAACCGATTATTGGCTATGTTCTAATGAGTGGTTGTTTTAAAGTGTTTTAATTAAAGAAATTTTATAGGATAAAGAAAAAAAATCTGAAAACAGTGTTCCTAAAGTCCAAAATACTGAAATAGGTGAGAAGAAATCTAAGAAAAAGGAAGAGACTAAATCTGTTAAACAACAAGAAAGAAATGTGTGTGCAAAATCAACTGTAACTAGTTACAATAAACCAATTAATTCTCCTTTAAAAAAGACCCCGGAGAATGGTTCTGCTAAAAAAGTTGTATGGGATGAAGGAGTAATTAAAACTTTGGTAAAAAAATAAATTAATTATTAACCCTTTTCTTTATTTATTTTGTATTTTAGGAATCACAAGGGTTTACAAGAACAGAATCAAATTCTCGTTTAGTTTATAATTGTAATTCACCCAAAAAATCAACAAAACTAACCCCAAAATCAGAAAATAAAAAAAACATTCCAACAAGCTCAGAAATTACTTCAACAGTTTCAGAAAAATCAACTAAAATAACCCCAAAATTAGAAACTCGAAAAAACATTCCAACAATCTCAGAAAACACTTCAGAAAAATCAACAAAACGTTCAATTGAATCTAAAATTAATTCTGGTATTGAATCAAAAAAAGCGTTGTTTGAAAAATCACCAAAAACGCCACCTTTAAAATCTGAGTCAACTAAAGATCCATCTTTGCTTTCAATTGCTGATAGAAAAGCTTTATTTGAAAAGAATAAAGGTGAAGCTTTAATTCCAAAAGCTGCGTTTGCCATGTCAATACCAATTCAGAAAGATAAAAAACCAGTTCATAAAGGTAATGTGGCATCAAAGTTTTTAAAAAATATTGATGGAGGTCAAGAACAGGTTAAGCAAAACGCATCAGAACAAAATTGGGTTGTTTTAAAAAAATCAACCATAACTAATAATGAATGTGTCCAACAAAAGGAAAATATTATTGATAAAGGTAACATTGCTAAAAAATTTGAAGCTTTAATTGAAAATAAAATGGAAAAAGTTAACACTATGACAAGTACACAGCAAGAAATCGAATTATTAAGAAATCGTTTTAATAAAAACAAAGATTTAAATAGCGATTATGAACCAAAACAACCTGATAAAATAACTAATTCGTCCAAACGCGAAAAAACACCACCAAAAACAGAAATTACCCCTAAAACACCCACAAAAACCACCGAAACCGAAGCGAAACTATCAAGTGAAAAATCTCGAAGTAGAAGAAAAAGCGATAGTCCACAAGTTACTTCGGTTTTGGAATCAGTAAAAAACATTAAACTTGTTAAACCTAAAGAAGGTCGTTTATATCCAACTTTATCCGATATTGAAGCAGCGACTGAAAATGAAACTGAGTTGCAATCGTCTTTGGAAAATAGTATGAATGATAGTTATGATATGTGTGATATGGGAAATACTAGTTTTGGACGGGAAATTTTGGAAGTTGTTTGTAAAGGACAATCTGCTCGAAAAAGAGTAAATATTTTTTTATTAATTAAACGTAATGTCAGTTAAAAAATATTTTTGATTCACTTTGAATACATAAAAATCTTACAAAATCAATAACAATATGTTATAGGGTGTAGTGGTGTAAACACGAGACAAAATTAACATCTTTCCTGTTTTCTATAACTAGCAAGCATAACATGGTTCCAAATTTTTAGAAAAAACATGTACAGGCTACATGTAAAGAGCCATCTATGTACAGGGTGGTTAAATAAGCGTACAAAGAACTGTATCTCAGATACTACTCATTGTAGCGACTTGCGGTAAAAAATGTAATAACTAAAATGGCTAAAAGAAAATCCTGAAAATTATTTTCAGATTTCTAAGATGGCCGCTAGGAGGCGCAAGCGCCATCTTGAATTAGAAATTGAGGGTTTTCTCGGAATTCCACTATATTAACATAAAAAAGGGTATTTGTCTTTTAAAGCTTATATAAATTATACTTTTTTTTGTCAAAACACTTTTTGCCCTATCTTTAAAAATAAAGTGGTGTTCGAAAATGTTTGTAAACAAATGCCAATAATTTCAAAATAGCTAACAGGATTTTAATGAACTTAGTATCGTTGAATAGAGCTTTTCTTGGACTACAAATCCTACCTTATTTGTAGTGATTGTAAGTTAGTGCATTGGCACTAGGGGGCATTTTTCGATATTGTGAATTTTCTTAGAAACGTTAAATCTATTGGAATTACTTTTTTTTAATGAAAAAACTGTAAAATGAATCCCAAACAAGCTAGTCAAAACCGTACCTCGCATATCATGTTCCTAACCTAAAATATCAGTGAAAGAAGATTTTATGAAAAAATCCATTGAATTTCGATCAGCTTTTTAATTTGCCTTAGTTTAGAAGATACTTCACCTCACTTTTTAGAGCATTCCTCATTCTATTGATTTTTGGTCCATTTGAAGCGAAAATTTGGCATATTGACAAAAATAAACATCATTTAAACACATAATAATTGCAAAATTAACTACTACTAATTGCCCTAAAGAAATGATCTCGGACTTCTAAAAATTTGTTTAATGCCTCCTTAAATACTCAAATTGCCGTCCATCACGTTCTATCCATTGCTAGAGCCTCTCTTGCGTGGAAAAAACTGCGCCTTAAATTTCGGCTCTTGCTAGGTTGTGATTGGCATTCCAAATCATATTTTTCATGTTTTGTCCTGGTTGTAGGTTAAGTTTGAAATATCATTAACCACCCCATAAATAAATATTCAAACAAGTTAAGTGTGGGGATCTGGCTTTCCATGGAACTAAGCTTCCTCTTTCGCTCCATCGCTGTTGAAACACAGAGTTTAGATAATGTCTCACATTTATATTAAAATGTGCTAGATAACCGTCCAGTTGTCATTCTTGTATGTTGTGTCGGGGCAAGAAGCTTGCTCTCAATGTTTTTCATTTCCACTGAATATTTTTCATCAACAGCTGGCTCGATAAATGTGTTCCCTTTCATTTCCGGAACTTTATATATTCTGTGCACTTTTTGACTTATTCCTGTCTAGTTGTAGGTTGAGTTTGAAACATCATCAACCACCCCCATAAATAATTATTCAAACAAGTTAAGTGTGGGGATCTAGCTGACCATGGAACTAGGCTTCCTCTTCCGATCCATCGCTGTTGAAACACTCAGTTTAGATTATTCTTCTACAGCTGGCTCGACGAATGTGTTCCCTTGCTTTTCCGGGACTTTATATATTTCTGTGCACTTTTTGACCTATTCCTGCAACTACTTTCACTCTATGGGTCCAAAGAAAAATTTGTTTCATCTAAATTCCATATGTGATCTGGTTTATTTATCAATTCGAGTTCATTGATGGAATTTTCTAACTTTTCGTAAAACCTGTAGATAATGAACTTGTGGAGACACGTCGAGACGCTTCCAACTGTTCCAGCTTCGTGTGGCTCAGTTTGTTCCTACGACAAAAATCTCTGAACCAGTCATTGCCACCTTTTCCATTTATGAATGTAGAGGTAATTGCTCAAAGGAATTGTTTCTATTTCCTTTGAAAGAGTTTCCCTTGTTTTCCAATTAGATAGTTCCTGCGGCGATTTAATACCGACTTACCTATTTGAAACTTCTTTGCAGATTGTCTTAAAGACAGCTCTCTTGCTTCAATTAGTCTGAATGCCTCTCTGATGTCATCTTCAGTATTCGAAACCAAAGGGCGATAATTCGTGCTCCGATCCATTTCCTCTCAGACCCAGTGCTCGAAAAACACTTTCGCATTATGACATTAGCGCTGCGATGATAGATTACGTGCTAGATTTAAAATAGTAGTTTGTAATCCGCTTACATTGATTTATTTTCTTATGTATCTATCAGATTCTATTTGTAAGTTCCATTATGTGTATCAATAATATTAGCATAGTACTAGTAATAACATATTTATGTAATTTGGCAACAATTTCTTGTTTTTCTCCAATTTTTTGCCTGTCTCGTTTTTACACCATTCCACCCTAGTTATTTTAAATTAATTATTTCTTTTGTATAGTCTTTAGATCAAGCGAGTACTGATAGTAACGGTTCTGATATTTTGGATGACCTAGATGAATATTTTCATGTAAGCAAATCCGATTGTAGTAATGGTCCAACTCCACCAAAAAAAGCATTTGTTAGTATAAATTATTATATACCATCTAAAACAATTACTTAAACTTTTTATTTTTTTTCGTTTTTCAGAATGATAGTGGTCTTAAACAATGTAATTCGTTTCATTATAAAAGCTTTACATCAGAAACAACATCCCCAGCAAAAATTTTAACTTCTCCTAAAACTTATTTATCACCTCGCGAATCTTTAAATTTACCCACTCACGTTGTTGATGGTGAAAATGTTATGCCTTTGAAGTATACAGTAAGCTTTTATCGACGTCAACAGATGGAGGTATTAATTAGTTATCAAATTGATATTTAAGATATTAATTAAGTATTTATTTCAGAATAATTCCTCAGCTAAAAAAGTTTTATACCAACCAGCAATTTCAGAGATTGACGAAAAATTAAACGAATCAGAAACACAAGATATAGTCGCAGAAAAAATTCAATTTCTTTCTGATGAGGTTTTTTTATTTCAACAATTTAATCTATTTCAATCTTAAAAAAATAATTTTTAGATTAACAAGCAACAAATGATCATCTCTCAAACAAGTCAAGCTTTAAATCTTTGCAACGCCACCATGGAATTTATGGGTAGCACCGAACAAGTTGAAGCTGAAAAGCTTCTTTTGTTAGCAAGTAAATTATCTAAATCAACAATTTAATTTCTTTTTAATAAAACTTTTTTAAAACAGCCCATAGACGCCAAGCAGCTCTCCATGAAGTTCAACGCCTTAAAATTCAAAAAACTTTGCGTCCTCAAGATCAACATGCTCAAAATTTGCCGCTCGAAAAAGGATCTTTAACAATAAAAAACATAAAATTGCCGCTAAAACGGGAATATGTTCGAGCTTTAGCTGCGGCTGGTGGAAAAGGCCATCATGTAATTTGCTTGGTAAAATCGGGCGAACAAGTCGTTTCGTCCCAATTAGTTTCTACAGTAGCAACATCACCTCATAATCCAGATAATGATCTTATAATTCCGGGAGTTATAAAACTTGATAATATCTACAGTGATTTTGCGGTTACTTTTGAAGTTTATTGTTTACAAGCGCAAGAAGAAATTTTACCCCACGAAGTTAAATATCATATAAATAAAAAAGCCAGTAATAAATTAACCCCAAAGAAAAGTAAACACGATTCGAGGATGGTTATTCCACCGAAAGAATCACCGGCAGGACCACAAGTGGTTCGTTCTTCAACATTTGCATTGATGGGTTATGTGGTTTTTTCAATCCAAACTGTTAACAAAACTCATTTTTCGTTAAATAACGCACCATCGATGAGTCCATTAGAAGGACGAATTGACATGAAAATCGATTGTGAACTAGCAGTATCAAGCGAACATAAAGGATTTTTAACAATGTTCCAAGATGTTTCCGGTTTTGGAGCTTGGCATAGAAGATGGTGTGTTTTAAGAGGTGATACTCTAAGTTATTGGAAATATCCGGATCAAGAAAAAGAAAGATCACCAATTGGATCAATTAGCTTGAAAAATTGTATAACGGAAAACCTTGGACCTGTTAGTAGAGAAATTTGCGCCCGAATGAATACATTCTTATTTGAAATTATGCGTGAACCGGAAGTTGATGATAAAGAATCTTTAACACTTTATCATAAAGATAACAAAACTGTTATAAGGCATCTTTTATCTGCAGATACAAAAGAGGAAAGAATAAAATGGTGTGAAGCTTTTAATAAAGCTCTAATTGCAATTAGAATGTGGGGAAAGAAATAAGTTTCTATTTTTGTATTTATAATTTTTGTATTCACATAAAACCCTAAACTTAAGCAGATTTAACTATTTTAACGTGTTTTAATTCTAGTGTGATATATTCTTAATTATTATTATCTTAAACATCATAAATTGTATATCACTTTTTAAATGTATGTTTATTATCTATCTATGTTAATACTAATTATATTATAAACATTAATGATTTATTGAATTTAAATACAGTATTTTATCATTACCTATTTACAATTTGTGTTTTCTCTAATATGAGTTAAATGAACTATTTCAAACCAGCTTTAGAACATGAAGCAAAAACGAAACTGAATGAAACTTCATCTATTCATTCAGTATGTCTAGGTGTCAACTTCATTATTTCTAAAAAGTGACGTAACATCTTGGATGATCTTAGGTTAGGTTGGGTTGGGTTTTATTTTAATAATCTAGTACTACTCGGATTTGAAAGGGCTTTGCTGACACTTTTTGTTTCTTGGCTATAATGATATTCAAAAACGTTTCATTTAATCGTTTATTTGGCCTTGGACTTAAAAACAGCTTTCAACCAGGTACCGAGAAAACATATATGAGAAACTTTAAGCGAACTGGGGATAAGTCCAAAACTAAACAGAGTAATCAAAAGCGTATACCATAACGTAATGGGAAGGGTTAGACTGTATGGAAAGATGTCAGAAGAGATCAGAATGGAAAAGGGAGTGAAACAGGGTGACAGCTTGGGCCCACTACTCTTTGTAGCATACATTGACAGAATAATAAAGCAAGTCAAAACACAAACTACGCAGACGAGACTGGGTGCCACAACTTAACCCGATCTACACTCGAGACCTTATATACGCTATGTTGTACTAATGTTAGGCAGAGTAAATATCCTACAAAGGAACATACAAATATGGAATACCTGCCTGCAAGAAAGGGGAACGGTAATAAACAAGAACAAAAGTAAGATACTATACATTACAAAAGAAGAATAAACGGGAGATATTGACGTAAGAAGGAGGTGGAAAAGCACGAATATCTTGGAACCATAATAAGTAAGGATGGAAAGATAGATCAGAAAATACGTAACAAAACAGCAAAAGCAAGTGCAGTCTACTATCAAATAAACAACGCCCTCGCAGGCAATAAGGAACTAAACACTAAAGCAAAAATACAATTATATAAAACCATCTATATACCCACACCTAATTATGGATCAGAAACTTAGACGATGTTGGACAAGCACAAACCAAAAATAACAGCTGCAAAGATGAAGTACCTACGCAAGATATTGGGGAAAACCAGAGGAGATAGGGTACGGAACAAGAACATCAGGGAAGAACTAAGCTTAAACCATCTGGTACAGGAAATAGAGGAAAACAACTAAGTTGGTATGGTCATCTGGATAAAATGAAAGAAGATAGAATACTTAAGAAAATGTTCAATATGAGGCCAGAAGGAAAGAGAAAGCGTGATAGACGAAGACCCCAATGAGAGGGAGAGAAGGAGAAGATACGGAGTACGGACTATGGTAGAAAAATGTATAAAAGATGGATCCAAAACCCAACACCGTAAGGTATAAATGGCGGCAAGAGAAAGAAGAAAAAGCGTTTAATAGTGTAAGAACAGAAATAATTTTACGATTCATACATGCGTTTGGTATGAACGACCATTATATTCCGTTGCAAATCTTGTATGTTCTTTGCCAGGGAGTTAAAAGAACTAAAAAAAATTATAAATTTTATGCTCATCTTGCTTGCTCTTTATGCTCAACTTTTACAATTTCTTTTTATGTTGTGTAAACATTTTGGAACTTTGACCTTGACTGCTGTAAGTACGCAAATGTTACTTGTAAGCGCTATATAAGGGTACGTTTATGTTGGAGCTGCGATAAATGATGAGAAAAAACAAATCAATCAATGAAATGGATAAGCTTGCATAGTTTTAACAAGATTTCCAATTCTGTGTTGAATAGAAGAAAGCGGATAACGTAGATCACTAGCAATATTAAGTTTATTTCTATATTTCAATTTTTGTTGCTACAACTGTAAAAAACGCCCTTCGTACAAATAAGTGCTGGCATAGGGTAAATATAGTTGCAGTGCTTGCTCTGCTACGCTGGTATAAACTTTGAGATATTTTACCCAAAATAGTGACTTATCCATCTTCTCAACATCATATTTGGCAGCAGAATCATTTTTAATTTCCAACACTTGCTCTTGTAGTGTTTCTGGTAGCTTATCTATTTTAACATAAAAAGGATCCGTGGACAACTTATAAATGTTATTATCGCACGAGTTAGGGAAGTAACATTTGAATTTATCGCTATGGTGCTACAAATATGTAGTTTGATATTTTATTTTTCATATTATCAGTGTCTTCAAAAATCTTCTTAAAGCGTGCTCTTTTTGAGACTGAAAATAATTTAGGAAAGCAGGAATAATTAATTGCATGCTAAAATTTTGCTTGATGACATCTCGATGATAAATTATATTCGATTGCAATTTCAAGTTTAGTGAATTCAAGGAATAGAAAATATCCGATAAATAAATCAACACTTGGTTTTCTGAATTCAACATATAGTTCCGTTTGTTTTTGGATTTCTAAAATCAAAATTACTTCATCTTGAATCTCATATAATCTTGGTAACATATTTCCTTTTAAGAGCCCGCGTACTTCCGAATGGAGCAATAATATTTTGTGTTCTGTGCCCAAATCTTGATAAAAGACCATAAAAAGTCGGGTGTTTAATGCATAATTTTAAAACATCATTGAATTCATTTGAAAGTGGTTTAGCCGCCAAAGCTGTGTATAAAACAATGAGTAACGATTACATTAGGATTTTTTCTTTGATCAGCCGTACGAATCCTGAGCTAGAGCCAAGCATTGAGGGAGGGTTGTCTGTACATAATATGCTATCAACTTTTGCCATGACAGTTCATGTTTGTCAAAGAATTCCGAGATAGCTGTCATTATATCAACTGCTTTTGAAGTTGTCTTAACTTTGTAGAAAACAACATTTCGTCTTTGATTGTTTCGTTATATATATCGAACGAAAACTAGCAAATGACAACAATGTGCAACATCCATCTAACTACATTGCAAAAAACTTTGATTCTTTCACGACCTCCACTTCCTGAATTTTCATGTCTGCGGGTATATCATCGATGCGACGCTCACAGTATTGTCAGAAAGCAGTATTTATGAAAATTTTTCTTTACTTTCTGATCCAAGATAAATATCAGCGGTTTTCTAACAGGCAAGGTTTGATAAGAATTTCACTGATGATGTGGCTTTTCTTGGTCTTTGCGATGAGTAGCGATAATGTGAATCTTCAAGCGCCTTTTCAGTGGACTGAACAAGGGATCCAGTACTATCCAATTTTATGCGTTTCAAACTTATAGAGAAAAACCCTGATCTATGAGTAAAAAAGGCTTTATAAGCTGTCGCTACAAGAGATACAGTGTTGACAAAAAATGCAAAACTAAAAGTATAGATTAAACAATAATTTACATTTTAATGAGTTGTAACTTTGTTTCATTAGGTTATTTAGTAATTATTGTGATTATTTTAGTTAAATTTTAGTAAAAAAATTTGGAATGTTTCAAAACATGACGATTTTCATGCTAAAATCAAGATCACGAATACCCCTTTATTGTTATATCCATTTATTATTGTCTATCTAAAATTCAATTATGTCATAAAACATAACGTATCAATTATGAACATCATAAATTCCATCACGCGCTGTACCCATCAATTGTAATTATATTATTGTGCTCCAAATATTTATTGCGTCACTAGGTACACCTTATGGTTTAAAAATAAGACTTTATTTTTGCATAACGAAGTTGTAACGTCACAGCAACTCATTACACATAACCTAATCATCAAGGAAAATAAAACGGAGTGGTTCTTGAATTTTCGCCAAAGTATCTAAATAGTAACGCATTTTACTCAAAAATATATAACAAATACATAATCAAATATAATAGATTAAGAATTGTCTCAATATCTAAACTATTAAACTAATCCCTAGAATTTTTTTTTATAATCACAAATGACCAAATATTTGATAACTTAACAAAGCCGAAAAGATAATTATTTAATCCCTATTGCCTAAATAGATAGAAATAGAATAGAGTATATAGATTATTGGTTATGTCAACAATTTTATGTATTGAATCGCGTGGCACCGAAGCAAGCCACGCAGAAATGCAAACCACAACAGTGTAATCGAGATGGCTGTTCCGATCGGATTTATTTACATTTTATGTAGAATATCCTCACAATAACCAATAAAGTAATAAACGTATTTGCTCCTTCGCGCACCCGTTATAACCTCAAACATTAATATTGCACATAACCAAACATTAAATTAAATTTACAGAGAGAGAGAATACCGTGGAGGTGATAACCGCAACCGATTAAAAGTTGTTGTTCTATCTATTATACTTCGAGTGTGCCGTGGTGCGCGATCGTGTTCTGTCGTTTATAGAGAAAACAACGTGTTTCTATTAGAAGACTACTAAGATCTTTGTGTGCGCGTACAAAAGTCACAAAGTGAAGTACAAAAATGAAGTTCGCCGAACATCTTTCGGCACACATTACACCAGAATGGAGAAAACAATATATTCATTACGAGGTAATTGAAAAAGATATTAATTCAGGAATAAATTAAAATAAACAAACCATAAGATCGCTATAGTCAGCTGTTTTCATTCCATTGTTGTTGTAAATGTAACTAGATCAATGACTTTATAACGTTCGATGTCGATATGAAGAGGTTAGGTTGGTGTTGTGGCCAGAAAGAGATGGGTGTATCGGATTGTAATATGTTAGAAAAAGACGGACTATCATTACTTGATATTATTGGTTCAATTTAGGTTTATTAATTTATTTGATTTTTTTTTTAATTTTTAATATTGTAACTACTGAATACTTATATTTTTATCAAATTAAGTTGTTGAAAGATAATGATCTAATTTAGATAAGAGCTATCTGATTTTCTAATTAGGAAATTTATAACAAAAAATTAATAATAATAATTTAAAAATTTATACAGACTGATTCACAACTCGTGTGCAATATTTTGAATTCTGATACAAAATAAAATTTGAGACAAAACAATAAGAATAATACATATATTATTCTGCGGCAGCTGTTAAGGCACTTCCTTTGCAGAAACCATAACATTTTTTCCAAAACATATTATTATTAACTATAAAGTTTCTGTGCTAACAAGTTTACGTTTTAAAACTTGAATAACTCGTTAAAATTTTATTTTACATCAGAATCCAAAATATTGCACACGAGTTATGAATCACCCTGTATATCAATAAATAAACTTATAAATAATAATTGTTTTTCTATAGGAAATGAAAGCAATGCTTTATATGGCTGTAGAAGAAGCGCCTTCATCAGAAAGCGTCGAAGAAAACGTAGTAAAAAGACATTATTTAAATTTTGATGAACAATTTTTCCATTACTGCGATAAAGAATTAAAAAAAATCAACACATTTTACTCCGAAAAATTAGCTGAAGCAACCAGAAAATTTGCAACTTTAAGTACAGAATTAAAAACTTCGCTATCCGAAAATAAGCAACGTCAAAAACCGCGATACAAAGACCTGGATACTCCGTTCATTTCAACCAGGAAACTTCACGAATTTAAAACCGCCTTTAGTGAATTCTATTTAAGTTTGATTTTGTTACAAAATTATCAATCGTTAAATCATACAGGGTTTAGGAAAATTTTAAAAAAACACGATAAATTGTTAACGGTTGATACCGGTTTAAAGTGGCATTCGGAAAACGTTGAAAATGCTCATTTTTACATTAATAAAGATATTGATAAAATTATTCAAGATACCGAAAATACGTTTATTACTAAATTAGAATCGGGGGATCGGCAGAAAGCAATGAAAAAGCTTCGCGTACCTCCGTTAGGCGAACAAAGATCACCTTGGACCACGTTTAAAGTGGGACTTTTCTCAGGATCTTTTATTGTATTATTAATCGCTGTTATTTTATCAGGTAAGAAAAGAAAAAAATGAAGAAGTTTGATAAATTTGTATAGTGTTCGACCAAATAATAAAACATCTTTTATTTTTAAAATATAGCAACATAAATTTTGTGATATCCATGTGATTATTTCTGCCTAATATATGCAATTAAACTTTATTAACAAATCCACTTAAATTGAAATGACCCTCATCGTTCATCTGTATCACTGAATTTTCTTTTTTAACAAAATTACAAATGTTGAGCGAATTCTCCTTTATGAAGTTAGTACATATCACAAGGGAAACAAAGTAAGATCTATATTCAAAATTCTATGCAGAATTCGATTATTCAACCTGAGTGGTTCAGCTTATTTCCTACAAAGAATCTGCTTAAGAACGTAAGTCTCTGCTGTTATCGTGCTGTCAATTGTGTGTGTCCGCAATATAAGAAAAGATATGCAAAATTAGTACTAATTGTTCATCCAGTTTTGATTTTTTTACCACGATTCAGGATTACAAACTTTTTGTTAAAACGTGGAGGGTTTACTGAGGCGTCCAGATTTCTTTACTTCCAATGCTGTATAGAAATTATTCGCTTGTATTAGCTGTACTTCACCAAAGATCGATGTTGAAAGAAACAAAGCTGTATGTGAGGTATTACAAACAAGCTGCATTTGAGCGATGGCTTGGGTTATGTTGACTTTGAGGGCATTGATCAACTGCGACTTCAAAAATCACCATAAAAGTAGCCTCCTTTTATGGTTAGGATTAAAGGATTAAATCGGACGATTTTGGTGGCCAATTCACGATGCTTCCTCGAGAGATAACCATACCCTCAAATTATTCATGCAGAATATATAGTATATGTTATCTACGTGCATATCGTTCAATTCGAGCCAAAAGCACCGCTGTTGACGGTGATTGATGCCGTAGACCTAAACTCCGCATCAAACAGTAACTTTTGTGGATACATTAGGCCTTACTTTTCTGCGCATACATTTGATATGCAATATGTATGCGCACAAAGGATCAGCATTGTTCGGAACTACAAAACTCTAGAACCAAAACAGACCTATTGCCGCCTGGCGAACCTCGTGGGGATTGACGTCGTCCCATATACGGTAATTTTGCTTGGTAACACAGCCATCCATCCAAAAATGCGTCTTGTCGGTAAAGATGCTTTTTCGGTCAAAATTGAAGTCCTCTTCTAAATACTCCAAAACCTCAGCGATCAAACGGCGCTGTCTCTAGTTATTAACTTTCTCTAGTTATTAACTTAGAGCTTCTGGGTCAGTAGGATTTTGTATGAGTGCAAGCCCAAGTTCCGACGCAAAATTCGCCATGACGAAGTCTGCGAAAGTCCTAGTTCTTCTGGACGGCGTGGAATCGACTGCTTCGGATGCTCTTGCACACTTTCACGGACAGCGGCGATGTTCTCGGCCAATCTGAGATCTGGAGTGAACGTTTTCTGAACCGCTCGTCTCCAATTTGGCTATCAAACGTTGGAGAGTCGACTTTGAAAAGTGTCTGCTATTTGATAATAAAATTTTATCATTTGATCGTACTGCTCAATCGTGTAACTTGCCGTGGTGATTTAGTATCAATGATTGAATAATAAACAACAGATTTGGCAAACGCTGCAAAAACAACATGGCCGCCATAGACTGTCGACATCGATCCGTTGCTATTGGAAAACCCTTCAGAAGTAACGCTTTTGAAATCTCAACATTAATTTTTCCTCTTCTTTCTTTCCCCCAGCGTCCCTTATCGTGGCATTAGGGATGGTCTCAGATACATCTTCTAAAGTTTTCCCTCTCTCCTGCAAGCCCCTTGAGCTGCTACATAGTCTTCCTTGCGTTCTGGCCTCCATGTCCATTTGTGGTTTCCTAATTCGTCTTATGTGGCCAAACCAAGATAGCTGTCTATCCTCAATCGTTCTCTTGACCGGCTGCATATTGAGCTCATCTCGAATACGACTGTTCCCTACTCTGTCCTATCTACTAGACTTGCGGTACTTGAGTGGGTGTGTGTTTGGAAAGGATGAAGTAATCCTTAAGGCTAAGACAAGGATTTATAAAGCAGTCATTGAGCCTATACTTACCTGTGGCAGTGAACGCTGAACCGCAAATAGAAGGAAATGCCTCCGAAGAATCTGCAAATCGCTTAATTTGTTCTGCCGTACGCTGTATTTTCGAGATTTATTATTACCGAATCTTGTAGAACACTACCTTAAGGAACTCCAAATCTGCAAGTCTCCAACATGCACAACCTTATCAACAGTCTGCAACAATATTAACAAGTTAATAGAATGATACAACGACTTAGGTTTTTGTGTGATTTTAATGTCATTTTTTAATTAATTGAAATGGATTGTGTGGTCGAAAGAGTATGGTCCTTTTGCCCAGTCTCTATTTGGTGTTCTTATCAGACATTTTGACTTTTTAAACGTTTTGCCAAATTTAGTACTCCACATTACAAATATTATAAAAATATTTCAAAAATATCTGAAACTATATTTAAGTTAAAATGTGAAACCGAATCAAAATTTCAAATTAAAATTTTATTTAGATAACTGCATAATCTAAAATTACCGAAACCCAATAAAATCATCTCAACTGCGTAAAAAATAAATATTAAAATGATTTTTGGTCGAACATTAACGGGTTGTTCCAAAAATAAATTAATTAATCATTAACTTTTTTTTTAGCTATTTTTCAAAGTTCAGCCAACAATTTCGCTGTGGCTTTCCAACTTTATCGAGGCCCGTTATTAATAATCGAATTTATGTTCTTAATCGGCGTAAACGTCTACGGTTGGCGTTCTTCGGGCGTGAATCACGTCTTAATTTTCGAATTGGATCCTAGAAACCATCTTTCCGAGCAGGATCTAATGGAATTAGCCGCAATATTCGGCGTGATATGGGCTTTAAGCGTTCTTAGCTTTTTATACAGCGACAGTTTAAGCATTCCCTCCTTTATAAATCCTTTATCACTAACAGTTATTATGTTGGTGTTTTTAATAAACCCGCTCAAAGTATTCCGATATGATGCTCGAATGTGGTTTTTAAAAATTTTTGTAAGATATTTTTTGTGTTTATAAAAATTTGTGGTTTTTGATTAATCATTTTTTTAGGGTCGTAATCTTGGGGCACCTTTTTTTAGAGTAAATTTTGCCGATTTCTGGCTTGCCGATCAATTAAATAGTTTAGCAGGTGCTTTATTAGATTTTCAATTTTTGATTTGCTTTTATATTCATAATGGTGATTGGATGCAAGCAGCAGGTAAGGAACTCATTTTTTTTAAATCCTTTTCAATTACAATTTTTGTTTTAGATGTTAAAATGTGTGCGGAACAAAATTTTATAATAAGGCCAATAGTAAATTGTTTACCAGCTTGGATACGTTTCATGCAATGTTTAAGGCGTTATCGTGACTCAAAAGAAGCTTTTCCGCATTTGGTGAACGCCGGGAAATATTCGACGACTTTTTTCGTTGTTATTTTCTCAACATTAAAGAGCTATTATAAAGATGATTACGAAGATGATCCGTCAGAAAATCCGTTCACTTATTTGTGGATTACAGCAGCTGTTGTTAGTTCTTGTTACGCTTATACTTGGGATGTTAAAATGGATTGGGGTTTATTTGATAAAAACGCCGGAGAAAACACATTTTTGCGCGAAGAAATTGTTTATTCATCCACGGTAAACAAAATCCAACATCAAAAAAATGATTTCAATAAAAAGTTCTTTTTGATTTTTAGTTTTTTTATTACTTCGCAATAATAAGCGATTTCATTTTAAGATTCGCTTGGGCAATATCGTTCTTTTTAACAGAAAATAAATATATAAGTTCAGATTTGATGCCTTCAATTCTAACACCATTAGAAGTGTTCCGAAGATTCGTTTGGAATTATTTCCGTTTGGAAAACGAACATTTAAATAATTGCGGTCGTTTCAGGGCCGTTAGAGACATTTCTGTAGCTCCGATTGATCAGTCGGATCAAACGCAAATAATAAGAATGATGGACGACGAAGATGGGGTGGTTAATCGCAAAGCAAAACGAGTTACTAAGAAGAAAGAGGAGAAAAAACCTTTACTCGGCGAAGAAGTACTTTCCAATTTCGACGTTATTAGTCCAGCTTCTACAATCGCGTTGTAAAATCAAAACATATTTGATTTATGGATATTTAAATTAATTATTCTTAATATTTTCGTAAATTTGTTCATTCCAATATTTAATTTAGTAAATTTACGTCCCTTTTTTTTAAATTTAGTGGTTTAAGTGCCTTAAAAAAGATAATCTAGCGATTCCTATAAATTTAGCTCTTTATTCCTCATCTTTATTTCGTGGTTAATATTTTTTATATGAAATTTTTCTTAAATGCAAAAAGAAACTGGGTACTTAGAAATTAATTACAGACGTTTTATAATATTCTGTATATTTTTTGTTACACCTCACTTAAAGAAAAATCTGATGAAATCTTTTTTATTGAGATTTTTTTATCAGAGCTGTGATAGATTGTACCATAAATATTTAGTAGTATTGTTTATTAATTGTATATTAGCCAATTTAATTGTGATTTTTGTTTTTTTTTATTAATAAATTAATTAATTACTGAATAAAAATTTTAAAAACTTTAAACTTTGATCATTACTGCCTCATACAGTACTGTAATTACTCGTTATTCTTCTTTGTTTATATTATCACATTTTATCCAATGTTTCTTATTGTCTTTATTGATAAATTTTTTTTCTTTTGTTCTTCGTACCTTGATTGAATTGGTTTTATGTCCGTTTGAGCGTAATACGTATCGAACGTTTTATTTATATCCAAAAACAATACGATTGATTTTCTATTCAATGCAGTTGGGATGTATATTGTTTGCAAGAACAATCAGCGGATGTATAAAGTTGTTTAGGTTAAATCTAACTTGATAAATAGGAATTGAACTGATTTTGTATTTAAGGATTCGCTGCTTTAACCATATTAACGTTTTTGATAGAATTGGGTTTATGGTTTCATTTAAAGAAGATAAATCTTTGTCTGTAAATATTTTTTGTGAACAATTAACGCAGATTAGGAAAAAAGTTTCAACCTTACTTGAGTGAAGACGTAAGTCCCAATAACGATTAAAGATGTTTTAAGAGATTGTGAAACATCTCAAGAATGCTATTACTATGTGGATGGAATGATGACTATATAAAATTGGTCGTATTATAAAAGTTCTGGAAATTGCGAAAACCGTTGGGAAGCAAATTAAATTCCTTGATAATGAGTAAAAAATGTATTGTGAAAGAAATGTATTGATTGGTAATCTATTTTTGTGAGAATATTCTGGTCCTATTAAATCGATGAGATTTTTGTAGGTACAAGTGTTTGTCTATGTTTATATATCTTTTAGGTTTGACATTGTATACATAATTTTATCTACAGTCCAGAGATACGTCTTCTACCTATGGATCTCTTTCCCAGAAATTTTCCCTACATAATGATTGGCAAAAGTTGGTTGTTTCCCCTCGCATGACAGCCCATACATAATAACTTCCTCTGTTTGATCGTCAGTACTATTCCTCTATCCTTTTGTATGCATCTCGATACAGGTCCTCATAAATTCGCATATACTTCATATATGCAACTATCCATAATATTCGTCATCCTCTTAAACTTGTCGGTGCTCAATATCGTTCGTTATTTCTCATTATAGTCATTATTCAAAGATGCGTAAAGTCTAAAAACACATTTACCCTTTAAAATTATTATCTGCCACTAAACATTTTTTATATCAATCCACTTCCTTTTCTCATTAAACCCGCAAAACTAATCTTAACAATTACCTCGTCCTTTAATACATCTTGCAACGGTCGTATTTAATTAGTGTCGTCTTCCAAAAATATCACACCCCTAAAGTTAAAGAGCACTTTTGATTCTTCTTTCCTTCCGTTCTATTTCAAGCGGGATCTTTATGCCCCTACGCGCCAAACAGATACAAAACAGATTGATTCTAAAAATACACCGATTTATACATCCGTACGTTTTAGTTCGACGAAGTCTGGTCAACGTATCGCTAAAATGCGAACTCGGTCGTGTCAAATTGTCGATATACGATGTCCTTTGTGTGTTGAATATCAAGGTGGAATGACTTTAGCAGAAGCTAGAGCTACTCATATTCTCCACGAAGACTTTTTTTACATGTTTTGTTATTGTAAGTTTTTTTTAGTTGTTGTTTAATGTTTGCTTTATATTTCGAAAAGTTTTATTTGTTTTTTCAATTACAAATTAAAAAATAGTGTAAAAATAAGTTTCAACGAATTATTATTCTAAGTATTGTATAAATCATTCATTTCTAAGTTTTCGCATCCAGATAAATCATCTAAATCTAGATCATCATCGAAGAAAACATCACTGTCCTCTTCTTCTTCGCCTTCATCTACACAAATAAGGTCTTGCAAATATTCAAAGCTTTCAATATTTTCGCCAGATTTCACTTCTTCGCAAACTTCATCGACTATATCTTGAACAACTCCAGCTGCCACTCCTTTAGATTCCCATGGTACTGGTGGGGGAGTATGGGAAGTATCAGTTTTAGATTCAGCTTGTACTTCCATTTCAAGAATAGGTTCAAAGTGGGTGTCGAAACCACTACAAACTGACATTATTGTTGAGACGTCAATGCCAATGTCTTTTGCTGCTAAAGTCCGTTTTCGCACCAATAAGCTAAGTTCTGGAAAACTAATTGGTCTTGTAGATGGAACCGGTTTTTTTAATGGACGTAAAATACTCCATAAAGAACCGGATTGTTTCGGTTGTAACGCTTCAGGTAATTCCATAACTTGCTGTTGTTTTCTCTTTCTTTTAATTATTTTTTGGATCTTTTTAGATTTCATTCCCATTACTGCGCATAAAGTTTTTTTGATGTCAATGTATTTAACTTTAACGGATTTTTGGGTTAATTTATGTTTCCATATGGTTTGGAATTGACTCATTTTTAATTTTCTTGGTTTATTCGTTTCGAGAATATCAGAAATTTTTAAAACGGCATCAGATAAATTTTTATAAAAAACTTTATACAGACTTTTAGTGTATTCTTCGAAACGATTTGTAGTGGTGGTTGTTATCGAAGTTGTAGTATCATTTTTCGATTCTAAATCATCGTTTGATGTTGAAGATTGTGATGGTAATGATTGTTTTTTAAATGGATCAGCAAAATCTTGTACTGGTTTTAAATCGATTTGTGGTGTTGGTGGACGTTCAAGTTTTTGGGATTTATCTTTTCCTTTGGCACCTTTTTCTGGTTTATCTTTTGGTGCTTTGGCATCTTTACCTTTTTTACCTTTTTTTCCTGTATCATCTTCTTTTGGTGGTCCGTAATACGCAAGATGTTTAGCTTCAACGTTTTCATTGGGAATATCTTTTAATAATTCCGAAGGCGGTTGTCCTTTTTGTGCAAAATCTTGAATAAGTTTTGGATATTTTGGTTGTTCTTCGTCTAGAAATACTTGATTTTGAATTAAATCTAAATTAAGGCGAAGATGTTTCGGGTAACGATCAACCGTTGTAATTTGAAAAGTTTCTTTAACTTTTTCTACTTCCCTCAGGATTTTGTCAAATGTTATACAGAGAGTTCCATATACATATCCATGGGCATCATATGAATTATTAACGGAATAACAAGTTTTATCTAGTTTTAATAAAATGTTTTCTAGTTTCGTTAATAAAGATTCTTTTTGTTCTAATTTTTTAGCATCAATTAAATTTTTAACTTCTTGTATTATTGAATCTAATCTTTCACTAAACGGTTGTGGAACCTCTTCAACTATCAATTCCTCATCAATATTTCCTTCATTCTTCTCCTCATTATTTTCTTCATCAGATTTATCAACAACACAACCAACCTCTTCATCAACATTCTCCCCTTGCCCTTTTCGGCGTTTTAAATCTTCTAATCGCATCAAATAAATTTGATCTAAAAGATCTTTTTGTCGATTTAATTTCTCTCTTTTCATAGTAATCTTTTTTAAGTTTTCCACATCGTAATTCCAGTATGGTGGGCAACCTTTAAATCTAATTTGAGCGTAAAATTCCTCTAATTCATCAACAACATCTTTATTGTAAACATATTTTGGTCTTCGAGTTGTAGCTGTATATTGTTGATTAACAGCATCGAAAATATATCCCCTGTCATAAGTGTATAAAGTGATATGTGGTTGAGAACTCTCGAGATTCTTTAAGATATCTTCGACGACATCACGAGCTATGTTATTGCTGACTTTATCGGAGATGTATTGTTTTAAAATTTCAATTCTCTCATCCAAATTTTGTTTCGATGAAATTCCATTGAGGTGAATAATAAATGACAAGTTAAAAATACGCGGAATAATATGCATTTCTAGAGTGAAATTATAAAAGCTGATTTCAGAGGTTTTAAAATGGATGTGAAAATTTTTGGTTTCATCTGGAAGAATGATATTTATTCTTTTATCAAAGAAGAAAACTTGTTGTGTATCATACTCAGTGATATCTTGGAAAAGATTACATTTTTTAGCTTGTGTAAAGTTGTATCGCAAAGCTACTGATGTTCCATTTTTAATTTCAACACTTTTTGTTAAAGCTTTTCCCGATTCAACGTCGTAATCAAAATCTAAATAAAGCTCTCGATTTTTTTTCGTATGAGGACACATTCTGAGGTTATTCAACGTGATATATTCTTCGTTTTCGTGAATATTTGATTTTGCAACGAATTTTTTTGCATGATATTCCTCACAACAAATTTTAAAATCATCTTTGGTTTTTTTACTCGGTTTATGTAACGCAATTACATCTCTCGCGGGTTTAATACCTTTTCCCATCATGCACAAATCATCCAATTCCGGTTTATATGGTTCAACAATTTTCAATTGCTCTTGTAATTCTTCAACTCGTTGTTTTCTATAAGCAGATTCCATCCAAAGATCTTTAACATTCCGATAACCAGGGCAAATCATCTTTTTTTCTGTTTGTATGCACGTTGGAACGCCGACGTATTCGACTTCCGGTATTAAATTTTCTTCGGGTTTCGTTCGAAACGCAAAATAATCAGGATCGTTTTCGTGTTTTCTAGAAAGAGCGACCGGTATTTGAAAAAAACTAGGATTGCCGCGATATTTATCATGAGGAAATGGAATTGTTGCATATCCTAAAACCAATTTCTCCCTTTTTATTTTATTTAGACTCTCACCGTCTCCATAATTCGTTAGAAGGTCACAATGATGTCTACTTAATTTTTTTGATAATCTATTGCATAATTTTTTTCTATCGTTTAACAATTTTTTCCAATTTGCTAAACGTCGATCTTTTTCGATTTTTTCAACGGATTGTTGTTTTAAAAGTCCTGATCTTAATGATTCTTCGTTTATAATTTCTCGAACTGAAGGTAAATCAGTAAAAGACATTTTTTTATAGTCAATAAATTTGTTGACACAGTGTCAATTAAATGATTGATTTTATTTAAACTCTATTGCAATTTTATTTGAAGTTTATATTGGATAATTATTATCCTGGATAATCTCTAGTTGATTAGGCGCAAATGTATTTCAGATCACTCTACTTCCTGAACTTTATACTTAAAAACCAGATTAATAGTCTTCTATTATTAGTATGTATTTTTTCACTAGCAGTATCTAGTCTACTTCGTAGAGCATCTAATCTTCTTCAAACACTCTTGGCATGAGAATCCAATTAGCACTACATAATCTTCTGCAAACAGTACATAACTCTTTACAGATATTATTTAGTCTTCTGCCAGCAATTTCTAGTCTTCTGTAAGTAGTATCTAGTTCTACATTATCAGTACCTGTTCTTCCGAGCAGTATATAGTCTTCTGCAAACATTGTTTAGTGTACATGAACTTATATTTTGAAAACAGTATCTAATCTACTATATACAGTATCTAGCTAAAGTCTATATCTATCTATAGAATATCTACTATATCCTATTAGCAGTATATAATCTTTTGCAAACAGTATATAACTCTTTGCAGGTATTATTTAGTCGTTTGCCAGCAATTTCTAGTCTTCTGTAAGTAGTATCTAGTTCTCCATTATCAGTACCTGTTCTTCCGAGCAGTATATAGTCTTCTGCAAACATTGTTTAGTGTACATGAACTTATCTTTTGAAAACAGTATTTAATCTCCTATATACAGTATCTAGCTAAAGTCTATATCTATCTATAGTATATCTACTATATGCTATTAGCAGTATATAATCTTTTGCAAACAGTATATAACTCTTTGCAGGTATTATTTAGTCTTTTGCCAGCAATGTCTAGTCTTCTGGAAGCAGTAGCTAGTTTTCCATTATCAGTACCTATTCTTCCGAGTAATATCTAGACATCTCCAAATAGTATTTAGTGATTTATTGCTTATACAATGAGTATATGGCTCTGGCAATAACCATACAATGTTCATGAAGCAAAACGTAGTCTTTATATACACTCAAACATAGCTGCGTTGTAAGTTTTTATTTGGTTTTGAGCTAGAATTTTTTGAAGACCCTTGGTATCGAAGAAGCAAACTTGTACACTAATGACACATTTCTGAAAATAATCGTTTTGAATCGATTTCAAAAACACAAAATCCTCCTGCTTTTTTATTTTTTTTTCTGCAAAAAGTATATTTGGAACTATAATTTACTTCCTCATTTATGAATGGACAAAAGCCTCATTTCTGTCCACATTTTTACTAATTCTTGGTGATGGAAAACTGTTTGCTTTCCATATCTAATCGACTTTCTTTCGTCTCAAAATGCAACAAACCTCAAAAAATCTGTGCCCTTCCAAAAGAATGGTTACTTACTGAAGTTTGCAAATACTTTCATTGTATTGTGCCCGAGGCAAATAGCACATCGTTGTGCAAAATTGATGTCACTCATTTTTATAGCACGCTAGAAATTCTATTTCACAAGAAAATCGCTCGGGCAACGTAATTACTTATTCCAAGATTATCGTTCCTGCAAGTCACGCGTTTTAATTGTTGCGAAATCGTCTCATTACTTAATTTACACACCTCGCATTTAACATGAAAGGTGATTTGTTTGGTAATAGTACTTTAAATGTTAATATTAATTATACTTACCGATATCGACGATTCCATCGAATATGTATCCGTGGTTGCAGATACAACAACCTTTTTTTACAATTAAAATAAATTTAAATAACTCCCAGTACAACCCATTAAATATTCTATATCATACTTCAGATGATAATTAATACCAATTACAAACTTATTTGTATCAAACTTAATTATAAACGTGACAGTAAGATAATTAAAGATATATCCTAATATTCTTAAATTCTTTTTGTTATAAAATAAGGCTTGCAACATTTCCTTATACCAAGAATTTAATACCAACGTTTATACTCATACAAATCGTAAAGTAACGATTAACGCATGTTTTTAATCTCGCGTGAAAAGACTATAAAGTTTCTTATTCACGACAAATTTTAAACAAGAAGTATAATTTCTCAAGGATTTTATGAATGAAACTGGAAATAGTGTGAGGACAATATAATTTCAACCAGCCGTCATCAGGGTTCCCTTCCGTCTCCCCTTCAACGATTTTTAAAACGTCCTGGTTTATTCTAAAACTCGTTCCGACCGCGCGCTCAGAACTCAAAACCACTCAGAACCGTGGTAACATTGTCGAAGCGCGGTCGCAATCGGGAAAAAATCCTCATCGTATCCTTACGTTTTAACCGCGATTTTAAAACCAACCTTATTTTTTGAAAATACCATAACGCGAAAGTGATGTAGCCACTTGCAACTGTTCAAGTTGAGTTTCTCTTAATGTGACACGAAAAGGATTTTACAAAAGGAGAAGAATTTCTTAGAAAACCAGACCAACATGTGCAGGTAAGACGATTTTTTTACAATTTCTTTTATGTTGATGTTTAGGTGATTTGAACAAAAGTTTTATTATAAAAATATATTCTTTTTATATCTTTCATGCCGTTGGTCTTTCAATGTTATTGGTGTGTGAAATTTTCCCCGTTGTTGAACGAGTATGCAACAGGATTTATGGTCTGTTGAGCAAAAAAAATTGTAAATCGAGCTTTGGTTTCGATTTTACGCCATTTGAATATAACGTTTTTTTCTAGAAAACTATTTACAATAAAGATTGATGACACATCTTAATGATGATATAAACAAAAATGAATTTGTTAAAAATTTCTAAATTCTTTTTGTATGATGTAGTAACGTTTTTTTAACAAACATTTTTGTTTGTTACTCGTTTCCGTTCGTAACTTTCTAAGTACTTATTTCCAGAGAACAATTAGTTGTTATTACTAAAAGTTTTTAATTCCACGCCAATGAACTTGAGTTAATTGGTAATAATTACTGGTAGAAACACGAATAATTGTTGATTGTAGTTGTCTTTTTCCAATAGAACTATAATTAGGTAACAATTAAGTCTATTTAATAATAGACATTTCACTGAAATAAGAAACAAATCTTTGATTATTTTTAGTTTTGTGATGCGAGTCGAAACGTTGTGAAGAAAGAATGAGACCATAAAAAGTTAATATCGTTCTAAGAGCACTTAAAAAACATCCCTTTTAAGATTATCTAAATGGGTACTTACTACGATATACGATTTATGGTGAGAAAAGTCGAAAATTTCTACGAAACCCAATCCAATCTAATTCTTCATTATCATAAATTTGATTCGTTTTAAAAATCTGTTAACGCTCCATAAAGTTCAGACATTTTAAACGTCATGTTGACATTTGTATAATAAGTGTTGCCAACATATTCACGTCAATTTGATTTTGAACAAAAAAATCAGATTGTTTTGTTACTAAAATTTAATCTGCGATAAAAATATAACTTATTTTGATAATGTAAAAAAATTAGATTTAAAATTTATATTTTAAACGTTAAAATTTTTCTTCAAAATCGTCCAACAAATAGTACCAACGTTATTTTAATTTTTGTTAAGTTAAACTGACGTTTTAAATGTCAAAATTATTTCATTTTATCCTAGTATCCTAATTTTGAATAAAATATTGTAAAACGTCGATATAACGGATCAATACGGGGAAGGGAGTGTCCGTTATAGCCATAAGTCCGTTATATGAAACATTTTTAATTTGCAATACAGCTATCAACACCGTTGCGTTCTGTATTTGTTAGTTGTAGTTTTAGTTCGATAAAAATATAAAACAAACTAACACTGAATAACAACTAAAAAGACTAACACTAGAACTAGAAACATTCATCGTTTAGCCGTCACTTTGTCTGACGACGAATATTGATGGAGTTAAAGTTATGTGTACTGATTTTTCTGAAGTTTTTTGAGAGAATCTTTGCGAATTCGCTAAATAAAAGGATAATACAAGAAGATAAAACATTAACGAAGACAGCTTTCTTCCGTGAGGTAGTTGGAGCTCTAAAAGGATCCAGCGGAGTATGGCATGGAATTATCCCAGGGATTATGGACTCATCTTCAAACCACTTTTCGTAATGTTTTTATTTATTTCATAATCATAAACAGCTTCCTATTTCATGCAAAAGAAAAACACTTTTTTGCTTCCAGTTGAAAATCATCTTTTCTGTTAATTTGTAAAATGATGATTGTCAATTTTTATCTCAGCTTTGTACATTTTTCAAAACTGCCTACATTTTCAGAAGTTAGTGTGTCTATAAGTTAGTAAAAAGCTTGAAAAGCAACATTCGGGTATTCCATTGAAGTCGAACAACGATACAAAGCTCTTAAAAAACTTGAAAGACTTGATTGTTCGTTTCTAAGGTACATGTCCACGTACATTTCTTTGGCTCTCGAAAAATGTTTCGCAATGCCATAATAATGCGTCTGAAGACGCTGAATAACAACTAAAACTAACACTAGACCTAGAACTAGAAACATTCGGGTTTAGCCATATTAAGAGATGAATGGCTCAACCCAAATGTTTCTAGTTCTAGGTCTATTATTGGTTCCACTTTTAGTTCAATAAAAATATGCAACAATCTAGCGCTGAATAACAAATAATATTGTTACATCGAGGTTTTATTGTAATGTCAAAATTACATTATCGATTAAAAAAGAATACGTATTAACATGGATAAACTGACACAAACAGATTTCTTGCACAACCCAACCAGTTTTTATTCTTCTTAAAAAGACTAGACGTGGTGGTCTATTCACGCCAACGCACAAAATTTTTTTATCATTTTTCAAGACGTTTATAAGGTAACCGTGACATTATCGTTTTTGTTAAGCAATAGAAGGCGTATATGCGAACGCGTAGGTCGATTTCACGTTAAAATCCGATTAAATCGAACATGAGATAGTATCGAATCTCGCGAAATGGGCGAAGGGTTTCTCTAACAGTTGTTTAGAATCGACCTTTTGGCCTTCATCGAGAGACAGGAATTCGAACCGCAAGTTCACGAACAACGTGACTCTCTCACGATGCGAGGGTTGCGGTTTTGGTAGGTGGAGGTTAATAAATGGTCCATTATGAAATTCCGATGTCCTCCGAGGCGCTTGAAAAGAAAAGAAAAAAAAGTTGTTAAAAGTAAAATAAAAAAAGGAGTGGGAGGAAGCTTTATAAAGTAGGAAAGGAATTTTAAAAAGAATCTCGTACATTCTTAATGAAATATTCTTTATGTATGGGTATTTTGTAAGTTTTCTAAAAAGAATTAAAAAAAACACGAAACGTGAGGTTTCTAAGTAAATAAATGTGTTTTCACCATTAATTCAAGCGAGTAACTTTCAATAGAACAAATAGAACGTAATTTTTTAAAAAAACATTTCTATTTCGTGATAAAAGAATTAATCATTAACGCAAAAATTTTTGCAACAAGAATTTCAACAGGTGTTGAGTCAAACCTTCGTGTTCATCTAAAATTTAAAACAACTTAACACCCGTAACGACCTTCAACTACCGTTTTGAAGCGAGCAACTGTATGCGTTTTCGCTTTGTGATTCCCTGGGTGACGACCATCGTGACGACGTCCTCGTGAGGTCGCAAAATGCACAACACACGTCACTGTCGAAGGCGATTCGAGTACCTATCTTACTCAATTTCCATACAATCGAGATTTCTTTTCACTTTAGAAACTGTTGTGCTTATGCTACATAACTAGTTTGTATTTTTTCTTTCTGTTTTACGTAATTAATTCTCAGAGTGTGACCTTTATTAAGTAGACGAGAAACATGTTGATTGAGGGAAGCGATAAACATTCTGAATTAATAATAATAATGGGTAATCGATGGAGGTCGTTGATTATTATTTTTATAATGTGTTTGTTTCAAGAAAAAATAAACGTATAAAACAATTTCTTTTATGCTTAACGGTTAATGCCATATTAATCATAACTGCATATTGTATTTTTCCAAGTGGCATTTGTAAACACTACCAGGTATTGACAGAGAGCTGTATAGGATTTGTGTCAACAGTAACTTGGAAATAGAGTGTTAAAAGACGTGAACACAATTTTGAAACCAACTATTTTGGTGATATACATACATTTAAAACTTCAGAACGAAACATTTGCCTATCACACAAGGAAATTTATTGTTATAATAAGCCGGCACGTGCTGAAAGTTTTTTTATTACATTGCTTCCTTATCTACAGTTTCTGCTACATTTAGACAAACTAGAAATAGAATATAGCAAATGATTTGATCATCTGGTAAAGATGTTAAAAAGTTACCGAGTTAGTAGCCATCACAATCATGTTAATAGTTGTAGTACCAGCAAGCATTACAGACAATCTTTATTTCCAAGAAAATATGTTAGGCAAAGTCATCGTCTAGTAGAAGAGTGGTTGAGTTCGTCACTGACAATGACACCATAGTAATTAAAGATCTCTAAAGTCATGATGTTTCGATTTTAGACAGTAATCATGATGTAGTTTGCTACTCGAACAAGGAAAATTTTAAAAAATAATGGTGAAAATGAGATTAAATATTATAGATAGATTTAATTATTATAGATTGATACAAAGATTTTTTGACAATGCGGCGTTTTTGCAAATCATATTAGTTGATAAGAGGCCAAAATATTTCTGTCATCTCAGTTTAAAACAGTTTATTTGCAAATTGGAAATTATCTTTGCACGATATTAAAAAAATTTATTTAATATTTACCAGTTCAATATGCTGACCAGTGTTTAAATTATATTCTTCCAACCATAGCGAGCCCTGAAAGCTCGGCAACCCAAGTTTGAAACCTTTCATTATTTTAATATCCTGTCCTTAATGGAACAGGTAGTTTCCTTCAAAAGTTATTAATTAAATTCACGAGTTAATAGCAGCCTTGTTAATGTAATGACACACTTCTTCTCGCACTCTAGAAACATATCAGTGTAATTCCAGTTATTTTCTTACAATATCATGTCTATCCAACTTAATTTCTTACATTGTCTTAAAATGTGTAATCTTGCCAGTGTGTATACAAACACTTGTTACTCTCAGACAACTATATTTTTTCTTTTTGCTGTTTGGTATACATATATAATTCAAATTTTGCTCTTTATGTCTAGAGTCAAAGTAATTTTAGACTCTCCAGTACAATTTCAGTCACTTCTTTAGTATGTAGAGTCTTATCGGTATACCTACACTTTCTTTTGCTGTCTAAAATTTTGTCAATGTAATTCCAGACTTTTTTATGCAGATTTAAGCCTAGTCAAAATAATTCCAGATATTTTCTACCAGTTTGGAATTCGGTCAGCGTAGTTCCTCACTTTCACTTAAAGTCTGGAGTCATGTCACTGCGATTATAGACTTCTTTTTATAGTCAAGATTTCTGTCAGTGTAATTACAGATTTCTTTCTGCAGTTTTGTATTCAGCAGCTTCATTTCTGGTGTTTCCAGCATGTTTAATTTCTAGCTATAATGAGCACAAATGTTCTTTTGTTGTATGATTTGTACTTATTTCAATTAAAAACTCGTTTTTGAAATGTGGAAGCTGATTAGAGTAATTGCAGCCTTTTTCTTGCAGCATGAAGATTAGAGGTAACCAGGCTAGCATGTTTTGCTGGTTTACTACTAGCTACGATTATTTATTTAACACCAATCATATTTAACACAATCAAACTGTTTTTCACTCAATAAGAGATAAAGTTTTTAAAAAGTAATCTACAAAACTATAAATTATTTTAAAAAATTCTACAAATTTCGATCAACTTTAAAAGATTTTGTTTGAAATCACTTAACCATACGACATAAATTTAATCATAAAGATATAACTAAATATTTGTCAATACTTTGAAAACTTATCATAATAAATGTTATCAATAATTCTATTTTTAAGTTTATAGATAATGGAAACAAAGACGTCAACATTTCCAAAATCGATATCGGAAGCAAGAAACGGTGGAAGTAGACCGGTGAGTTTCTACGATAACTATAGCCGTGAAAATGGATACAACGGAAACAATAACACAGGATCTTTGGAACGATCGAAATCACGTTCGCTTCAAAATACGTCTTCTCACCTTCAAATCCACAAAGAGATAACGTTCCTGGAGGAAAGAAATCCCACTCAAATGATGTGTTTAAACACGACGGTACCGCAAAATATCGCCGGGCCAAACTTTTCCGGTCGACATACACCTACAAGAAATAGTTTGAGACATAGTCGAATGATTGTCTTGAGCAGAATGGGAAAAGGTATTGATTAAAATCATGTAGAAAGATTATTTTTATAAAATGAGTAAAAATAAATTTGTCTATTTCTTTGTTTCTTTCTTGTCATTTTTTTAAAACATTAAAACGGCAGGTGTCTTTGACACCACCATACGGTTTCTTCGACACCACATGCCGGAAATAGTGTTAAAAGAAGAATAAAACGCACATAGTGGTCTCCTTATACTCTTCACTCCTTAGCCAATTCCTTTCCGCTATTTCAGACGAGTGTAAAATAAACTAACACGCCTTGTGTATGCAAGCTTTGTTCACATAATATACTTAAGTACTTCAGTGACAGGACAAGAAATAATTAGTTTATTCTAGACTCATTTCAATTTAATCCTTTTTTTTATGTAGGTGATCCAAATTTATCGCATAACCTAATAATACCAAAATATAATTCGTAATATGGTTATAAATATAAATAGGAAGTAAACCATTTTGGCATCAGATTTATCATAACATTTTTTCTTTTTATTTTAGTACCGAAGAAGTCCTTACCGCCCATCATTCGTTTTCACAAATTAGCCAAAGGTTTGGCAGCTCTCCATACCCTTTTAGGTGTAGCCTTATGTTTTTTATCTTTGTGGTTATTTGTTTGGACTCCTAATTTAAAAGCGAGGGATAATTGTTTTTGGAGTGCTTTACCGGTAAGTTTTTCTGGAAACCAAATGGTTCATATTATTAGATTTATTTTTATTTTTCTGTTTAGCTTTTATGTTCCGGCGTAGCGGGACTCCTGTTATTATACTGTTGCAGGAAAGAATATCCTGGTATGCCCGGTGGTAACTGCGTATATTCTTCGAAGGTGTGTATTGTTTAAAATCGAACGGTAAAAAGACCAACGTGATTAGAATTCTTAAAGTCATACTTGAACTTAAAAGAGCAAGAATCCGTTACACGTTTGCTTAATGTTTTATTTATAAATTTAATACATTTTTTTTTTTAGGTTTTAAGTATTTTTTTGAGCACACTAGCTAGCGTAACATGTTTAACGGCGTGTACTTTCGCTCTGATTCATTTAATTTCATTATCAGCAATGAATTGCGAATCGCCTACGCTTCTTTCGAACGTAACCTGCGTTTGTAAATTATCGAATAAAGACACATTTATTCCGATTAAAAGTTACCATTATAAGGATCTATCATGTGCGGAAGTGAGTAACGTTTTAACAATTTTATTGATATTCTCTGCTGCGACGAATTTGATAGGGGGCGTTGTGGCCGTTTGGTATGTTTATCTTTTTTGGTCGAGCAGATATTCTTACACATACAGTAAAGTATGTACGAAAGAGAATACTCCCGTCGTGTATATTAATAGTTAAAACTAATTTTTAATCTAATCTTAATGTGTTCTTTTTTTAAATTTTTGTATATAAAGAATAACGAGCGTGTGTGGCCCAAGATGATAATTTTTGTGTTATGTTACCTTTTATGAAGAGATTTTTGTCGATGTACTTACTTCCAGTATTGAATTTAAATTTATATTTAATTTGATTTGAATGGAAATTTATTGTATTCTAGTGTTTTATAAATACGTGTATTAATTTTTAAGAAGAATGTTTGTCAAAAAGTACCTGTATTTCTATTAATAATAAAATTACCTTTTTTACATCAGAAATTACTTTGATTTTATCAATGTAAACCATCAAGAATAAGCAATATTCATAAACGCGCTTCAGAAGAAAATTTATAAAGTTATTGGTAATAACTTGTTAAAATGATAGAAGATGAGTTGGAAACTCGGTATTTATAGAACGGATTATGAATCAAGATATGTAACTTAAGCTAGACAGACCAGTCATTTATCTTTCAATAACTATTTGAAGTGGGAAAGCAACTTTATACACCTCTTCAATCGCCTGATATGAACCCTATCGAGAATCTGTGGAATAAAATGTTAAGAAGGGGTCGCAAACACAACATTAGAAGCAAAGAAGTTTTACAAGAATCGAACGCAATCGATGAAGAAGTAACAAAAAAATTTATGCTAAAAAGTTTGTTGAATAAAGTTATGTAATAGTAATGCGTGGTCGATTCGTAATTCTATCCGTTCTTCCTGTTCATCAGTCTCCTGTTGGCAAACTACGACAACGCACTGAAGATGCCAGGTGAGATCTTGACGAAACGTCTGCCCCTTTCCAAAGGGAACCAACAGGAAGAACGGATGAAATCTCTGATCGACTACAACACAAAGTTATGTAAATTTAAACAATGTTGTCCTGCATACGGGAAAGAACGTCGGTTTAAATAAACCATATGTTTATTATGTGTTGAACTAGCAGAATGATGATGTAACAATTTAGCAAAAAATGTTAGTTTGATATATAACATTACTACGTAAATAAAGTAATTTTAATTCTCAATATCTTGTTTAATTGAGTATTGAAGATGATGCACTAATTAATAAAGTGACAAAATTTCTCATTTTAATCATATTCCAACTTACATTGTTGATGTTGTTAGGGTGCTGACATCAGGAAATACTGCAACCAATCACAACATGAACATATAACAAACAGCTCGTAGAAAAGACGAACAAGATTAATGTAGAATCGCTCACGGATGCAGCCACATCCAAAGTACATGCAAATCCGATTCAAAATAATCACAATATAGATACAACTTGGTGCAATGTAAAATATAACATTATAAATGCTATCAAGCATGCCCTAGGACGAAAATGCATAAGCAGAGGCAGCAGATTAAATACTAAGCCATGGTTAACACCAGATTAAAAAATTATCAAATGAAAAACCATAAGCATATCCACAGTATAGATCCCAGTTGATAACATTCGAGAAGCAGTTCATTGGGATACTTCACAAATAATAATGAGTAAGGCCTCTATGGAAGGCAAAAAGGAATTCGGAATATACTAAGAAATTATATGTAATATACACTGAACGACTGGGAAAAACACTTTTCTAAACTCTACAGCGCGCAGCGGTGCTGGAAACACTAGCGTGAGACCAGATACATCGCATATTACCGCAACGATACATCAACCGTGATCCACCGCCAGCGAAAAAAGTCGCCATATTAAAAAGTCGAAAATCTGCAGTGGTTGATGAATTGATGAGATAACGAATGAGATGCTAAAATACGGTGGGGACGTACTACTTAATGAAATAGAAGAGTTGCTCAAAGCATAACAATACCAGTATTCAAAAAAAGGGATTTAAGAAAGATTCTGGGAACTATCGTAGAATATGCTCTCTAAGCTCAACACAGAAGACACACTTCCGGCATCTATGAGGAGCAAAAAGGTTTCAGGAAACATAGCTCAACGATAGACGCTATATTTATAAGATGGATTACCGGGTAAGCCATTGACTATAACAAAATAGCGTAGAAGTGTTTTGGAAACCTTTGAAAAGCATTTCATCGAATAAGGCTTTCCAGCATTGCGAGACTCTTGGAAAAGAGAAAAATGCAGCCCGATTTATAATAAATATTAGCGTGTAGCTGAACATACAACAACTGGATAAGAATAAGAATAGAGAAACGAGTGATACGCAGGGTACTCATATTAACAAGTATAAGACAGGGGTGACAGGGGAGTTTACTCTTCAACTTGATCATGGACAAAATAATAACTGTTGTGAAAAAAGTTGGAAAGAATTATCAGTTCGGAAACGATTTTCCTGTTGTTAACATGGTAGCCTTGCCGTTGCAAATTGGCAGTATTCAACAAGGCCTATAGAACAGATGATGAGTTTTAAATATCTTGGCATCAATATTAAGAGCAGCAGGACCCTCCAAGAATAAGTTACAACTGAAACAATGAAAAGAACTTTAATAGAGACATGATACGGTATAAACAGTGTTGTTACATACTCGGGTATTTATTTTCAAGGGTAAATTTCCTGGATATATACCCCGGGGTATTTACCCAAGATGGGTATTTAGAGGTATTTATAAAATTTAATTTAAATTGAGTTGATTGCAGTTTTGCAAGCACTTCATGAACGCAGAGTCGATTATCGATATACCAACTTATTTATAACATCTATAAGAATGCTACAATGACGGTCAAATTACATGAAAGTACTGAAGAGAGTAGAAGTAGTAAAGTACTGATTGATGGACACAGAGGGCTGCTTGATGATAATAATCATAATAACTTGATCTGATCTAAATTACGATAGATTCGTCTAATGATCTTCTTTTTTTTTGAATCTGATATATTTTTACTGGTATCACTTTTATACCCACTAATTTGGGTATTTACCCTGGGCCGAGATAAATACCCGGATAACTACCCATTTTAGAAATACCTACTCGCCGACCCTGCGTCCATAACTGGGTATAAATAAGATCTGTATAATATCTACATAAGTCATGTTACGTCGAACGCGATAGAGATAAGAGTAGAAGATTCTATCACAAAAAGAATCAGCGGAGACGAAGACCTAAAGCCATTAGCCTTGTGACCAAAAAGAAATGCGGATATCAGAGATATACAACATATTGTGAGATGGGCACGCAAAAGTAGATTGGGATGGATAGACCATCTTGAACGTATGGAAGCCCCAAGACTACCAAGGATAAGGATTGTTAAATGAGCAAACAGACCGCCCCGGAAGACCTCCTATATGGTATGACGCTCTACTTCTGAGTATAGGCTATGAATAATTAAGAAACAAGACAGATGTCTTAATGTAAGAAGAAGAAGACGGATATAATCTTTTTTTAATTGATCTCACAACCTCAGTCTTTTCAAAAAAATTACGTTTTCTGATAACATTCAAACATTTGTGTTTAGTGAGGCAATTAATTATTGTTTAACACAATAACCAACTTTGGTGAATTAACATACATCGTTAACAAAGCAAATATTAGCATTTCTGCGCTTGCTAATAACCTGCTTAAACCCTCTGTTTTAATAACATTGACAATATTGATAGTTTGAGGAAATTAAATTTAGTGTCAAGTGTAGCTACTAAATATTTGATAGTTTTTCGATTGCTACTCCCCTCATAACAACTAAAAAGTTAATCTTCAGTAGGGTGAGGTCTCATCACATAGTGCTACTTTTAATTTGCCTGGTAAGTATTATCTGGTATTTTGGCGTAATACTTCATTATAAAAGGTGGTTTAGAGTACATATCGATACTCAGTTGTGTTATAAATCCATTTTCTGGTAATGAAATAGTAATTATAATGCATTGGATTGTCGAAGATAGCATACTTCTGCTTTTGCGCTGGCAGAATTTCTTGGTAACTCGGTATGATAATACTAGAGTAGTGGTTTTATCTTCTGGACTTTACTAAAGATGTGTATTATTTCGACGACAGTCTCAATCGTTGAACTTTGTTGACGAAAACAGTATGGCTGTCAAGTGACTCGTTCGCAGCTCGCATACTATCGTTGCATTATTTTTTCTAACAGGTTTTTTGCTGTATCCAAGAAACATAACGATCTATATTTCGCTGAACTTGAAGTGATTTCGCTTTTATTTCTGATAAGATAAGTCTCAAGTCCGGGATGATCGCCATTCTATTCTTCAGTGCTTTTGTAACCTGTGTCAGAAATAAGCTATATTTTCCGTAACTACAGGAAGATTTGTCTTTCAATATGAATCAGATACAGAGCGTCGACCAACTAAAACATATATACGCATCGAGCGGAGCAAGTCGTAAAGTCTGAACAAACTTCATCATAACAAACCTATAGTCTAAGCTTCAAGAGCTAGGGTGGACGTTTTTTATCCTTGTGGGCTTTCTTGTGATCCAAGTTTTTTTGGGCAATTTCTATTTCCATCAGTATAATGCTTTTCAAATTTAACGTTCGATGTTGTCACCAACAGATTAGTTCATTAAATTTTGTAGTTTTGTTATAAAACAATCAGATATAATACATTTATAATTAAAAAGCTAAACGAACATGAAAACATGTTTAACCTAAGGTTATATAGAATTAAGTTATCTAATCAACTATTAAATAAAACTGGATTTTCTTAAAAACAGTACTAATATAAAAGAAAGTGATAAAGAAATAACAATGACATCTGTGAAGTGGCAATATTACAAACATAAAATTAATTTTTGACACAAATTGATTTCAAAGCATGATCTAACAAAATTCCCTGTTAATCTTGCAAACTTTACAATAATTTGACAGGTCGTAAGGCAAATAGAATAATATAACAAAAATTAAATTTAGAAAAAACTTTATTATTGTATACTTTGGATTAAAAAATGTTAAATGTTAAAAATAACACATTAAGATCTAAACATTCGACTAAAATTGAATAAAAGCAACATAGATATTAATAAACAATGTAATCCAAGTAAATTAATAATGCACCACATTCAATCACAGGTCTTAAGATAATATATAACATCAGTAATTAAAATTTCTTGTATACGTCTTATCATATTATCTTATCATTAAAAATACTATAAAACATATTGGTTTATATTGAATTAAAAAAATACTTTAAAAACTACTATGGTATAAAAAAATAGATAAAAAGGTTATGATTAGAATCATAACTTTTTCGAATAAAGGCACAATATTTTAATGCTCAATACTAAGCGAATTAAAACCCAGTCTTTTAACTAACGTGAAGATTATGAATCGATGATAGCGACGTGTTGAGGAGGTGGTAAAAATTCGTGCGGATGCGAGCTGCGCCACATCGATGATATCCAAGTGATGAGAAAAGCCTCGTCTTGCCAAGCAATAACATTTCCGAAAAACGGAGAACTTTTCGTCCGATTCGGTTTTACATCTTTCATCAAAAACGTTATTACATGCTTTGAAGGGATATTATTTCGTTTCGGCTCGTGACCAAAATACCAAGTTAAATCTTCTATCTTCCAAGATTCAATTACATTAATACACTAAAAATAAAATGATTACACAAAAATTTAATTTTTTTTTTGTTAAACTTACTTTATGATCTTTATAATAACTTAACTTCGCTTGTCGTAAATCAAACATATGTGATCTAAAATTTTTCGATTTCGAATCGGCGTATTTTAATTCACCACTAACGGGGTAAATTTTATCGCTGATATACATGGCATATTTTGAAATTGGGGATAAAATGAGGCAGTTGTCTTTTCGATCGGAGTCATCCCAATAACCCCATTTTAAAACGACGTCCAACACTTTTTCCGTGTAATGAATTGGCCGGTGTAAATTTTCGTTTAAAACTAATTCTTCTAATTGTAATTTATCGACTGGTAGTTGTATTTTTGATGATAATTCTGCGCAGACTTGATATGCTGTTTTTTGGGGGCCAATCTATGAAATTAAAGCAAATAAAATCAATTAATTTTTTTTTATTTAATTTACTTACAGCCACGTTATAAGTTTTTCCTTGTTTTGAATTTAAATAAATCCAAATTCGAAATTCGCCGGTTACTTTTGTGTTGTTTATTTTTGTGTGTACTTGATTGTTGTATCTTTCAAGTACTGATAACATCAGACGTTCCTTTTCGATATCACGCTGATTTTCAGGGAAAATATCTCGGTATAATAGAATTAAATCCGCTATTAATTCACTATCTTTGTTTGTGTAGTGTTCATTCTACTCAAAAAAAAAACGTTTTTTTTTAACTTTTTAATACAAAATTAAATTAATTCTTACAGAAGGAAGTGCGTGGACCTCTGATTTCATTAAAGTCATCCCCCAAACTGATGATATATTCTCCAAATCCATGAGGTTTTTATTACATTGCGAAACAATAAAATTTAAGTGACCCAAAAGAATCCTTATTGTATTTGCAAAAACTTTTGGGAAAGCATCAAAAACTGCTCTATACATCCGAATTCTCTCATCATTATCTCTCACTTCTATATTTCAATAATAAAATGGAAATAAATGTAATAAACTTTAAGATATTATTTTAATAAATCTTACTGGACACTTGATAAAAATATTGTTGCTTGCTTTTCATAATTAATGGTTCTGGCAAATCCCTAAAAAATCTTTTTAACGCGGTAGCAACATCATGTTCGGTATATTTATCTGGTGTTAACTGTGTGGACCAAGCATCTGTACGGAATTGAGTTAATATATCATTAATGTGACTTGAACTTCCTGCGCATCTGTATATCCCTTTAGCCATACTCCCTAAAAATAAAATTAAATTTGAACAACTAAAAAACGTCTCAATTAATAAAACACACCATAAACGTAAATAAAATTAATACATTTCTCAACAATAACAGGAACATCATTCTTAGTTAACTGTTGTTGATCCAAATTTAATCCATTATCATGTGCAGCCAATCGAATAATGTGGCACCAAACTTTAGTTTCCCTTCCGGTCCACATCCGGAAATAAACGGAACCACTTTGGCTATCAACGAGTAAATTGGGACCCTTATCGGTTGTTTTTGGGGAATGATCATTCTCTTCGAGTTGTTGAAGGATTATACAACGAGCTTTCCTTAAATCTACACATTTCATATTTGAGTTTTCCAAAGCGTAGTGTAAAAATCGTCCGGACAAAACAATCCAAGCTCCCGTCCAGTGGCCGCTGACCCCCTCGCGAACATACGCCCAACCCATCCTTTGATAATCAGATGTGACCTTCGATCCGAATCGCGACGTGAGACTTTCCGCCAACTTTTGCATCCACAATCTACGTTCAGATTGGCTTTTGCTACCATAGATGTGTCCACCGCGACTTTTACCGGATGTGTTCAATTCAAAACAATGAATATCTTCGTTATCGTATCTGTAATTAACAAGAAAAAAGGAGGAATTAAAAGGATGTTGTAAATAAACAACAAAGAATTAAAGTTAATTAATTGTGTGATTGCTAATAACGGAAGTATCAATTAAGAGAATTTTTTTTAATGAACTGAAATTGTAAAATATCTTAACAAAGAAATTGTGACTTGTTTTTGTTAAGAATGTGCAAGGAGAGTAAAGAGATTAAAACGTTCACTAACCAAGGTCGTTAATAAAAACGCTTTACTTATATCAATTTTGTGGTATTAAAGCATTTATTTTTTTACTTCTTAATTGAAATCAACACCAAAATAAATATTCCCCGCTTATTTCTATAAAGGAATTAAAATAAACTAAACCTAAGATAAATATCTTTGTTTATAATTTACTTACAAGGTCATTGATACTAAACCTACGTATGTACAAAGAGATGGCTTAAGTAACTTTAGAACATTAATCAGAAGCCTAAGGAGGTAAAAAAAACATTCGATAACATTGCATTATTCTTATCTATTAACGAAGGATTGTTGACCATCATGATTCATAACCGGAGTTTAGTTTCGATAAGTTAAAACTGTAACGTTTATTATGAAGGCTATAAATAACCGTATATAGTGAATCATCACTTAATATCTTTAACAGAAGGATTCTTCTGCTTTCAATTGGACCACAAAAACAAATCTGCCCAAAGATTTTTATACTAAATGGATTTATTGAAATTTGTAGCATAGATGAAGCAACCAAAATAAGATTGTCAGCTACTGCTCTATTCAGTAGATATACAGGGTGAAATCTTTGCTTTTTTGTGCTGGTGCAAAACGAACGACAGCTCCATTTATATTTGAACTTTAATAAGGACATGTATATGGAATAATTCATTTAGAAGTTCATCTATATTGCTACAGAAGGTTTCTGGTAGAATATAAGTTTTAAATAGAGTTAGCGTAGAAGTTAGTTCTGAAATACGACAAGTATGGGTTTAGTATAATGATTGTATTGCGTTCCACAACGTGTGTATTTTACAGTAAATTATCAAACCACAGTTTACACTTTCTTCAACTCATTATTAAACAAGTAAAAATGAACTTCCGATATTTTCATTTAACCCATTAGTTTCCAATTTCCTCTTGACAGTCGATACAGAAGTTATCACACATCGATTGAGCAGACAATGTCAAGATCGTTAAATTGTCCATGTATGCTATCCAGTATAAAGTCGGTACAAGTTACCGAGTTTAATCTCGTGCTGTCTTCCAAACAAGGATGCCCCCTGTTCCCATTACTTTTTAACATAGCACCACACTGGGCCATGAATACCACAAACCACCAACAACGAGGTACAACATGAGGATTACACCAACAACTACTAGACTTAGATTATGCAGATGATATGCATAATGTGTCACTGATATGCAATTGCGGCTAGAGAAACTGAGTGAACAGGCCAAGATAGCGGGTCTCGAGAAAAATATTTCAAAAACCAAATCGCTAAGAATCAACAGCAATAACGAGCGAAGGTTCACACAAATAGAAAACGTTAATTTACCTAGGAAGCGTAGTAACCAACACATGAGACAGCGAAGAAGACATAAGAAATCGCATAAATAAAGCCAAAGAAGCTTTTGCAATGTTGAGAAAAGTATGGAACAGCTCACATCTAGCAAGAAATAACAAAATAGTAAGATAATAGTAACGTAAAATCGGTTCTATTGTAAGGATGTGAAATCCAACCCAACCCAAGTCAGTCAAAAAATCCCTCTGAGGAAATGGAATCCGAAAATATTGTGAGAATAGCTTTAGACTGGAACCCACAAGGCACAAGAGGAAGAGGGAGTTCAGGATAACGTGGGGAAGATCCATTATGAAAAAGATGTTTTACACTTGCACTGTCGCTAGAACTAACATTAGACCAAGAACTAGAATCATTCGGCTTTAGCCGTCTTATGAGACGCACGGCTAAACCCCAATGTTTCTAGTTCTAGGTCTAATGTTAGTTCTAGCGACAGTGCAAGTGTAATACTAGAACTAACACTATACCTAGAACTAGAATCATTCGGATTTAGCCGTCTTTAGAGACGTGCGACTACAAATGATTTTAGTTCTACGTATAGTGTTAGTTCTATATAGTAATAGTGTTAGTGTAAAACTAGAACTAACACTAGACCTAGAACTAGAAACATTTGGATTTTGCCGTGCGTCTCGTAAGACGGAAACTCAGAGTTATCGTAAGGACATCACCTTTTCCTTTGCAAAACTACTCAATCCCTGTACTATTCAGCTATGTTGCATCTTATGTGGGACAGTGTAAGTGCATAGTAGTTTCATAACTACATGTGGTTACTGCATTCATATATTGCAAGTTATATGAAATTTCCGGTCCTACTTTCTCATAAATTAAATTTTTTTGTATAAGAAACATTTCATTGCCATCATTTTAACTCATGATTTATCCGAGAAAAAAAATTTCCTTAATTATTTTGATGGTTAATATTGGTCATAATAATTCAAGGCAGTTGTGGCATGATTTAGGAATGGTGGGTATTTGCAGTCGGTCTACAACGGCGCTTCTGCCGGACTTGGATAATCCACATGAAATCGAAGAGTCGATTCAACAAATGGTCCAGATTTAGATGCCTTTGAAATTAAAGATCAAATTGTATTTCGCTTCAGAAATGTGGAAATTAATGAAATAGGAATAATGTTACGTTCAATAACATCGAAGTCTACCGGTATAGATGATATTAGCATAGACACATTAAACCTTTGCGACTATCATGTTTTACAGTTTATTACTCATATAGTTAATGTTTGCCTAGAATCCTCGTTATTCCGCTACCTAAAGAAAGCAATCCCACTATACTCTGTTTTTAAACCAGGAGTATTTTAAATTTGTCACCAGATTGACCTTGCACGTGATTGGTTGAATGCGAGGAAGGTTCACACACAGGCAATTTTGAATTTTGATTTTGAATTTGAAGGTTAGGTTATTGACAATTCGACAGTTTCGTGTCATTATTGTAAATTTTGTGTTCTTAAACCCTTCTTTATTATATTTTGAAATAAATACACTCATAACTTCAATGTTAATTTGTATGTTTAGTGTTGACGATAACAAACGAAAATAAATACAATAATAAGTAAATAAATAAATAATAATAATTATTAATTTAAATTTACCGCCAAAATATCTAGTGATATTTTCTGGTGATTTTTCCTAGTGTAAATCTGACTTTCGCGTTTACTCCTCCTGGTTTAAAAACAGAGTAT